ACTGCGGGAAGTAGTTTGGCTGCCCCAAGCACTCGTGTGCAGTACACCACACCTGCTAGCATATATGAGTAATTCTTCGCAGTCCGGAACCGTCTTATCTCGGGGTCTATGCCTAACACAGCAAGAAAATGTATCAGACCGCTGCTATAGATTAAGCCGCGGGTCCCTGTAAGTATGAATGAACTCAGCGAGTCTAGCAATGCCGCCATCTGCACCCCTCGATCGCCGTCGTCCAAAGCAAACCACAGTGATCCTGCCAGTATTCTCTGGTCGTCCTTCCACGGGAACAACTCACGGGCGTCTTTCATCAGATCGGCCGCTTTCACTCTGCGCGGCTTACGCTGCGGTACAACGCTGCCATCGCTCTCACCCTCGTCCTCCAACTCATCCCCAGAAGCGTTACTCTCGCAGCTGCTTGATGCCCTGCTGCTGTCTTCTTCTTCTCGAGTTTCGTCTTCGATGACGCGGAGATAGTAGCACACAAACCTAACCATGTAGCTTGCATACCTCGCCTGACTCTCCGGGTTCTGCAGCCGTGCCAACGGTCGCGGGTCAACCTCGTGCTGCTTTGCGCTGCGAAGCCAACAGCGTAGTTCTCGCGGAATTGTTGCAAGATTCTTAACACAGTTTTTAATAAGCTGCTCTGTAAGTTTCGCGGCAAGCTGCAGCTTTAGTTCGTTTTTATTAGGTAGCTAGACTTGATGTGCTAGATGCACTAGATTGCGGTCCTTGAAATGCTCTGGCCATTGCGTGCGCTTAAACCAGAGCGTCTTATTAGTCTTTGCTGTCTCTCCTACGACTTGTTCTGCGTCTTTAAGTTGCTTTCGGACTTGTTTGTAGTTATTAAGTTGTTGCTTATTAACGCTTTGTTGCTGCCTACTTCCGCGACTAATCTCGGCATCTACATTAACGACAAAATATTTGCGCAGCCCTCTACTGTTGAAAAACGTCTGAACTTTAACTAAAGTAAATAGACTACTCTTGTTACTAATCCACGGAAGCTCGTGTGTTTTTTTATAGTGCTTCCGCATTTTGTCGCTGCTTATAGTAATGTAACTGCATGCTGTACACCTAAGACTATCTAACAGCGCCTCTAGCTCTTGTATTGCTTTCGCTAGCTGCCTAGGAAGTTAAATTGTGCTCGGCTCTGCTGTAGAAAATTAATTGAAATATTAAACAACCTCTTATCGCTATTGTACGGGCGTCTTGTGCTGTTCTTGTAGATGCCTGTTAAGATTTAAGACGCCTGTGCAGTGCTGCCTACACATAAGCACTTTATATTGCCTAAGAAAGCAAAATACATTATCGCAATTCTCCTTTGTAACAATCTTTAGCTAGTGCTGCACGTCTGTAGCGCGCGCGTTGCTGCTGTCGTGCTGCTCAATAGGCGCTCGACTGTTCTATGTAGGGTTCTCTATTGTTGCGCAACCCTAAGAACGCAACCTTAATAACAATAAACTCTAGCTGTACATAGTAAAACTCTAGTAGCAGGTTGTGCATGCGCTTTTAAGTTAACTTTGTATAACACAGTTTTTAATAATAATAAAAAAATGTTGTAGAGCAGCTGTGTTAGGGTACGCGGGGCATCCCTTAAATATTCGCCTAATTTAGTTTTCTACCCTAACGCTAAGCGGGTTCTAGCGCAGGGAAGGGCTGTCCCGTCGTATTATATTGGTTAGGGCTGTCCTGTTGTATTATATTGGTTAGGTTCTCTAGGTCCTTTTTTAATTCCTTTCTTCCTCCCTTCTTAAACTTAGTAATCTTAGCTATTCTTTCTCTTTTTCTACTTCTTTCTTCTTCTGTTAATATCTTGCTAACTAGGGTAGCTATCGATAAACCGGGCGCAGATCTGAAATCGTGGCGCAATTCTGCACTAGAAAGTGTGGCTAGAGATCCTCTGCAGTGGCTGTGCGCTGTGCAGTCACGTAAGGAACATCAAAACTTTACCTCTACCTTTCTACGCAGATATCTTAACAACGAGAGCAGGTATCGATAAACTAAGTGAAGATTTGAAATGCTGGCGTAAATCTGCACAGAATAGCTTCTTTCAATTTTCTCTAGCTAGCTCTCTGGTGTAGCTAGCTAACCGCGATCCTACTACCGCGATCCTACGCCTCGCTTCTTATCGCATTCTTATCGCTACTAACAAAACAGCGCGATTGTAGTGTAATTGCGCACATCCTCTAGGGTAGAGTATCTTAAGCCTCTTCCTAGACAGTTAGTTAGTTACCTATACTTAAGCCTAGGCAGCTAACTGCAACCTTTATAGTAAAGGTAGTATAGAACTTACTAATGTCTTAAAATAGGACGCCTAAGAAGAAGCTAAGCTAAGAAACGCCCTACAAAAGTTAGTTAACGGCTGCCTAGTCTGCTAGCTAAGAGGCTCTCTAACTTAGCTAGATTACTTACACTTACATTGCAAATAGTGTACAACTATTAAGCAAGGCCTAAGCGTAGAGACCTGCAACTATATTAGAGCCTGCAAGCTTTAGTAGGATTAAGGGAAATAGGGGGTTTAGAATACACACACCTGCTAGAGATGCGGTATAAGCTAGCACTTCTGCGCTACTAGGCAGGACAAGGCTAGGCTCTATTAGTAGCTAGGGGTGATAATTCCTGTTCTTGTTAGCGCGGCCTACTATTTAACAATACTAGAGGAAACCCTACATAAAAAGCTAGGGTTTCTAAGATTTAACAGCGTTACGAACCTAGAGGAAATGCTAACTAGAAATTTCTACTAGCTTGCACAAAAGCACGGCTGTTGAAAATAGGGTTATGTTGTAAGCAACGCTATAGTTGTCTTAGCGGCTGTCCTAACCTAGTCTAACGTACAGGAGGAGATTAGTTGTTTGCTACGCCGCGATAGTGTTAGTTTACATGCAGTGTCACTAGCTACCTGCTAGCCAAGCAGCGAATAGGTGTTGTCTTAGCGGGTGCTATTCGTTGTTGTTTTGACAGGGGCGTCCTGTTGAATGTTAGAGTGAGAATGCAGTGTTTATAGCCACTTACTAGTCAAACAGCAAATAGGTGTTGTCTTGGCAAGGGGTTTGAAGCCCTCTACAACATCTATACTGCCGAAGGTTGTGAAATAATAGGCCGCTCTAATCGCAGAATATACCCGCCCAGCAATAATTATACTGCTTTGCGGAGTAGCGCCCCTTGCTCGCGCACAACCTAAACTGCTAACTACTTAACTGCATAACTAATATAATCCGCTTTGATAGGCCATAGGGTTAGATTTGCTCCATTTCCTCTGCTCTGCCGAAGCATCACAGAGGTCGGAGGGTCCCTAAGACAGGGTCTCCACAAGAAACTGAGATTTTCGACTACATATGCATGACGCTTCGCGAGTACCCCTAAAGGTACAGAAAGCAGGATACAATCGCCAGCTGGGTTTCCCCGAGAGCACAGTTAGATGCACGTCTAACCAGCCCTACTAACTGTTGATTGTAGATACTAATATAGAATTAAATTGCAAGGGGGTTTTAGGGACGAGGGAACATAACATCCAGCACCCTGTGACAAGCCACAGGGTGCCTTAGTACGAAGAACAAGTGGTGAATATTACTCACTTAACCCGAAGGAAGAAGGTAATTAGGACGGGACGGAACGGGACGGGACGGGACGTAGTCAAAACTATATTACCGATTCGGCTAAGATAATCTTTTTGTCAGAAGACCAATATTGCTAACTTGGCTGGGGCTAGAACCACGTTCGCACGGCGTTGGACAAACCAACAGTGCAACTCCACAACATTTCCTCCCAGCCTCTCAGAGACCAGTCGTGTGCGAGAGTGTGGCCTAGCAGTATTTTACTAAAGTAAAATGCTAATCATCTTTTAGGAGGGTTTTTGGGGAACGCCTACGCATCTCGTCGCACCAACCCCGGTTTACCGACTACTATTTTGCAGTAGAGCCTTGGCTGTAGCTTATTCATTCCCTAATCTGCCCTCTTTAAGTTGATACCCTGCCTGGAACCGCAAGTATTTAATTGGTGTTACCCGCTGAAATACCAAAAATCTGTTCAATAATATTCTCCGCAGTACCGCCTTCCTTGGATGGGGTAGCCGTTTCCCAGGCTGCCTCTCTGGAATTGAACCTTAATTCCCCGTTACCCGTTGAAACCATGGTAAGCCAATACCTTACCATCGAAAGTTGATAGGGCAGAAATTTGAATGAACCGTCGCCAGCGCAAGGCTATGCGATCTGTAAAAATTTGAATGAACCACCCAAAAGCCCCGAAGGGCATTGGGCTTTTATCTAATAAATGCATCCCTTCCGAAGTCGGGGTTTTCAGCATGTATCAGCTCTAGAGTTACCACGGATATCTAAGCGGTAAGGTATTTTCAAATAAACGATAACTGATTTAATGAGCCATTCGCAGTTTCACGGTATGATTTGCCCGCACTAGGATGCGCATCACCGCATAACCCTAGGCGTGCACCGCCCGAATCCCCCCTAGGGGGTTTCAACGCGGTATGAATTGCGTAATCTCGAAGACAAGCATACGAGTTCCCCAGTCATTTCCTCTGGTGTAGCGAGAAAGGCGTTTCCCCCGATGCAAGCATAACTAGAATTAATTCCTGAGGGGAGAGGTTACTCGAAAGCTCACGCACACGAAGCGCGGATAGCTAGATTTTACCCCCCCCCCCCTTAAGATTGCGCCTTACTTCCTTGACCGGTAGTAAGGACCTTTTCAGTTGTTCAGATAAGCAAGGACCACGCCTCCCGACTAACATCGACCCCGAGGTCTTGCGGCCTCTTCAAACGGGTACTCTGCGGGAATTACGCGTATAAATAAGCTTTCACCAGTCGCCTGCAAAATCTGAGACAGTCGCCGAGCCCCGGGTAACGCGCTGGCCAGAGTTGACGTTGCTGCAACCGCTACCCCACCCCGGAAACAAGGCTTGCAAGTATGATACCAATTTTAAATGATGCAGTCAAGACTACGTTGAAGGTTTGAGCAGTCGAAGACACTCAAGTCCCCTAGACTGCCAACCAGACCTCTCTACCAAACACTGGGAGATAGAGAGTTAAACGTCTAGAGTTACCGCGACGTCGATCTGGCTGGGAGGGCATTGCGCGCACCTCTGGATTGCTTCCTTCTTGCAGCTTGACCACTGTCCCCCGAGAGGTCACGTTTTTGCAGGAGGTGTCTGAATTCTCCAGGTAGCCCGGTTGCCCAGGCACCCAACGTTTGTAGGCGCCCCAACGTATCGAGGCACCCAACTGCTGTTGGCGCCCACCCATGAGGTGAGCGCCCGCCTTCTACTACTCCGTCCATTTCGCCATCCCCACCGCCCCGGATCGAGAGCCTACCCCTCACATCAACCTACTCTTGGCAAGCCGAGATGCGGTGGTCTCAACTGCCCGTTGGCGCAGGTCGATATTTGGGTTCCCTCTTATGTAGTGTAGGAACACCGTTCGGCTCGAGATTCGCGTCGCGGGGTTAAGGTGGCGGAAAACAGCTCGGAGGTGCGGTTTTTTGTATAGGAAACCGTGTAGACATGCGCAGCCCCATACAAACCATAAAGCGATTCCGCAAAATATAGAGTCTAGTAGTTTGCGTTAGGTATACTGGTTTCTAGCATGGACTGGCTCATACAAGCTGTATACCGATCGATATCGCAAAGTCGGTGAGTCTAGTAGTTTGCGCAAGGTCTAGTAGTTTGCGCAAGAGTCTAGTATTTTACAACGTTATATGTTGATATCTTTGTGAGTAGAGTAGCTATCAACAAACCAAGTACAGATTTGAAATCGTGGCGTAATTCTGTATCAAATTGTGTGGCTAGAGCGCTGCAATAGTGGCTGTGCAGCGTGCAGTCACGTGAGGAACATCAAAACTTCACCTCTACCTTTGAACGCAGATATCTCAGCAACGAGAGCAGCTATTAACAAATCGAGTCAAGATTTGAAATCCTCGCGTAATTCTGCACAAAATGGCTTCTTTAGATTTTCTTTAACTAGCGCTGTTGCTAGAATAGCTAGCCTCGATCCTACTACCTCGATCCCACTCCTCGTTTCTTATCGCTCTCTTATCGCTACTAACAAAACCGCTCGATCCTACTAGGATCGAGCACATCCTCTCAGGTAGGATAGGCATCTTTGCATTAATGCTAAAGAGTAGTATACTACACGCTTTTGTAGAGCGTAGACCTATACACTACCTAGAAGATTAGATCTAAATAGTTACAACATGTAACGAGAACATACAAGAAACCTACAATACTATTAAACCTCTGTTCTTAAAATATATAGAGGAATAAGCACCCCTAGAGCAGCTATTTCTTAAAGTAGTAGAAGAAGAAGATATAGATAATTAGTCGTTTGTTGCACTGCTTAAACCTATAGAGGATAGAGACAGGTCCTTCTAAAATCTTACAGACGAATATAAGATTCCTAACTTAGACAACGAAAGTTGTTAGTACAAAGTTTCTATAAGGCGTAACTGTAGGCAATAGTGCTTGCTTCACGTTACTAAGGATAGTAGGAGATAGCTTGTATATTCAGACTACAGGTGTAGGTTGTAAAGAGAATAATCCTTGCCTCTCTCTATAGAGCGAGGCGCGCCTTATAAGCAGGTTTAGCGCGTACTCTGTTCCTTCAAGGGACGTGTGCCTCAAGTCCTCGTTACAGTTTCTAAATACAATACATTATCTATACAGGTTACTAGGTACCTCTAGCTACGCTTACAATCCTAATCTTTCTTTGCCTGCTTACGCTCTGCTAGATAGATCTAGCTAGGTTGTTAGAAGTAAAGGAGTTGTACAGCTAGATCTACCTAGAACCTTAAAGTGTAGAGAGAAAAAGGAAATTTTCTAAAAACAAATAAGATTCTATAAATTTGTAGAAAAATAGTTTAGGATTACATGTAGAGGTAAATAGAACTTCTGTAACAGACTGCTATAACCCTTTATGCTAGGAATTCTGCTGTTAGATTCTGCTATTAGAATTCTGCTGTCGGATTTTGCTGTTAGATATTGGATTCTGCTGTCGGATTCTGCTGTCAGATTTTTTACGCACGGGCCAATTTTCAGAGGATTTGACAGCGAAATCCTCGATCCTAATATACTTAGTCCTTCTCTCTTTAGCCGCTGCTCGGAACGTTCGCCGGTCGGCTGCCGTCAGCATCAGAGAAGTCATCGTCGTTCTCTTCCTCTTCCTCTTCTTCCAAGCTATCCTCTTCGCCCTCGTCATCTTCGTCGCTGCATTCATTGCCGCCTTCCTGCGCCGCCATCCTTGCCTCTGCGTCAGCTACGAAGCGCAAAGCGTAGCAGACGAATTTGACTATATAGCCAGCGTAGCGAGCCTGACTCTCTAGGTTCTGCAATCGAGCTATAGGCTGCTAATCGATCTCCTGCCGCTTTGCGCTCCTTAGCTACTGCCTCGTCTCTCGCGTAAGCGTCGACAGCCCCTTAACGCTTCTCTCTACTAGCAGCTCTGTTAGCTTTGCTGCCCGCCGCAGCTTCTCCTCGCCTTAATTAGGCAGCCGGGTCTAATGCGCAAGATGCATTAGATTGCGGTTAGCAAAGTGCTCTAGCTAGCCTGTCCGCTTAAACTAGCTAGTTTTATCTATCTTTGCGACATTAGCGTCTATAACCTGCGCCTTCTCTTTATATGCATGTTTTGTTAGCTTCTATTCTGCTAACCGCCTCCTAACAACGTCTGTTGTCTCGTAGAGATTAGACAGTGCGCAACTGTTGTCTGCTACCTTAATAATAAAGTATTGCTAGAGCCCGCTAGTTTAGAAGAACGTTTGCGCCTTAACCTTCTTACAGAGTGCAACGTCTTTACTGCTCTAAGCTGTCTAGTATACGTTATTGCAGTACTTCTGTATTCTAATCTTGTTTGCAGTACAGAAGCTGCAGTTGCTAGTAATCCTGCATTGATAGACGTCTAACGGCTCGCCTAGCTGCTTAATTAGCGGCCTTAACAGCGCAGGCAGCTTAACATCTTACAGTGCGGCGATCTGCTATTGCTAGTAGTGCTCTACGACGAATTTCCTCTTTTTGCTTGCTACGCTGTGCTAGTCGTGCAGGTGTACATTAACATTCTGTATACCTATAGCGTGCTCCTTGCAGACTAGCACCTAATAGCGCTAGAGATGTAACAGGCTGAACGCCCTTTAGATAGCTCCTCAATAGAATCTCGGTCTACCTACAGAATCTGGGTGCTACCCCGAGCACCCGGATTCTATCGGCCTGATTGTTACTTAGGCAACTAGCATTGTATATAGATAGCTGCGTAGCTTAGGAGCTTAGTTCCCTATCGAATACAACCTCTTGTATACCTTGCAATTGCTCTACGGAGCGCAGCCCCTTACAAGAGATAGCAGAAGCGCTCTTGCATATTATTAATTGTTATCTTGCGTGCACGCAGTCGCTTGCGGTGCTGCGTTGCAGTTAACGTTGCGGGTAGCTGTGCGTTCTAGCAGAACTCTATGCTTAGTAAGTTAACTCTAAGATAACCCTAAGTACTTCCTATAGTAGGCCCGATTTCATCGCGTAACCCTAATGCTATACCTATTTTGACGATGATTGGGGGTTAAAGACACGATGTTCGCCCCCTATAACAGGCCCGATTTGATCGCGCAACCCTAACGCTATACCCGTTTCGACGATGATCGGGCCCTAGCATCCGCGTCCTATAGGTTAGGGTAGGATCAAGGGCATCCTCTCGGGTAGTATTCACCGTGCATGTAGACTAATTCGCTCCGTTGCAAAACGCCTTATAGTCGCTTTACAGGCTTCACCTTCAGTATCAGAGCAGCCTTGTCCCACAGCGCGAAAACCTTCTGCTCACCCATCCAATCTCGCTCTTTGTCCAAGAGTTCTAGGTCGAAAGCGAAAAGGACTTTAGAGAGGATAAGACGCATTTCCGCATATGCTAGACTAATAGAACCATAACGTTAGCCTAAGATTTCTTTCCTCTTCCTTTAGAAAGCAAGCAAGTGAAGAAAGGACCATTTTAAGACACGAAATGAAGAGAGAAAGAATATACGTACTTTTTACCCAAACAGTTCCTCGGTCCAAAGCTAAAAGGATTCAGTGCTCTCTTGTTATCATCTTTGTATCGTTCGTCACCCAGCCAGCGTTCCGGCACAAAGAGCTCTGGGTCCTTGTAGTTGCGCTCAGAGTGGTTCATGGCGTGCTGGGAACAGTATACCGAGGTGCCTCCAGCGATGTAGTAGCCTGAGATACGGTCACCGCCCGCTGGTACCACGCGAGGGAAGCCCGTGGGAACAGGTGGGTAGTATCTTAGGGTTTCCTGGAAGACAGCTATAAGGTATTCCAGTTTGTTGACTTCCTCCATAGTGATTTGATCGGCGCAAGAAAAGCGAGAACGGATTTCAGCGATGGCTTTGGTATATGTGGAGGGGTTACTAAGGAGGAGGTAGGTGGCGCCTGATAAGGTGGTAGCAGTAGTCTCACTGCCCGCAATCAGGAAGCCAACTGCATTGTTGTCCATTTCCTCTCTAGTCAATCTTGTCGTATCTTTTTCTTGGTTCTTTATTATATGGGTGAAGAAGTCTGCTCTTTCTCCTTCCTTCTCATGTTCAACCTTCAATAGCCGCTTGCTCACAAGGTCGTGGGCGCGCTGGGAAAACTCTATTCGTGAGCGTATGGGGTTTGGACTTTTCTGGAAAATGCTACACAAGGCGTCGATGTGCTTGAAGATGAAGTGCTTATTCCTAGCAGCATGAAAAGCGAACGCCATGATGGACCTGTAGGTTATGGAGATCCAGTCATGCTTAACAGAGTCGCGCAGACAGTAGAGCGGTTCGCCGAAGATGAGGTCGGATATGACGTCAAAGGTTGTATAGTCTATCGCATATATAATCAGTCCGAGTCTGTAGTGCAGAATATTGCAGGGTTCACTAACTGTACCATGTCATGATGTCGACGCTTTCATCTTTAGCGGCGTGTTCGCCCAGACGTTGGACGAGAAGATCAACGTAAGACTGTATGAGACTTTCTTGTCCTCGCAAGGCTTTGTCGCTGAAAGCATGAGAGAGGTTGCGTCGCATTCGCGAATGTCCTGCTTCATCGGCTATGAGAACCGAGCTATCACCGTTGCCAGGTGCAATGCTATTCTCTGATTAATAACTTTCTGCTTGCGTCTCCGGAAAGACCCAACTTACAACCATTTCTTGTCCTTAAGGTAATGTCCGATGCTCTTGTTCTTGCCTGTTCGGAAGCCGTAGATGTCTTGCCACGCAGTCTCCCCTGAGATGAAACTAACTTCAGTCGGTGCCAAACGAACTACATCACCGTACTTGTCGTGTGACTTTTTGACCCATCTGACGATACTGCCATCGCGCATATGTAGGGCGTAAGGGATGCCACATGCGCGTGCGAAAAAAGGACCAGGGATGTGTTTAAGAGGATGGAAGAAGATATTGTATACAACTGAATAGATAGCAAAGAAAGTGGCCTAGTCGATGTTAGCTAATGTGCAATGTCTAATTTCGATTTATATCGTGTTCTAAAGATTGACATGTTCGCTGATATTGAAGTATTCAAAAGACCCCTAAAGAAAAAGCCTAGACAAGAAAATGGTGCGAAGAAATTTTAATTTGTACTTACCAAGACTGAGAACACTTCAAGTGGAAAGACAGCGCCTTTGAAGCTGAAAAGCTTGGAGTCAGCGGGTAGTGTGTTCGCCAAGAACGTCATAGTGGAGTTAGAGAATGATCGCAACTTGAACTGAGGTGTTCCAATCCTATGTATTTGTCGAGGATAGGCTTGACTTGAAGACCTTATATAGCAACGAAGCCGGCTGACCCACCAGCCAGCAGACTTGTCAAAGCACCATCGCATACATTACGGATGGTCGTCTTGGATCAAGCCCGTGGTCCATCGGAGGGTCGGCTAGTGCGCGGCTTATCGATATTCAGGCATTGCTTATTTCAGTGATCAGCTAGCACGGATCAATTTATGATCTGCACATCTAGTCGCCCTTCGTAAAGGGCGCAACCGTCATCCGAGGCGTAGTCAACTCTACGCTTGCCCCGTCTCTTCGGCCTACTCGCTCTATTCGCTTTATCGCTTCGCGAACTCGCTCCTAGGTCAATCCCGACCATGGATGTTGAGTGTGTATCTCCCACAGAAATTCGTAGAAAGTACCCATGCAATACGATAGAAGTAAGGTTCAATGTATAGGTTGTGATGTCTTATCGCACAGCCAGACTGTGATGGTGGTGACGTAGTGAGGTTGGTGCTTTGCTGACGTTCGTGGTGGCGGAGCAACCTTGCGAGAAGGTCGGACGTGCTGTGAATAAAGCGGAGGACGGCGCGATACAACAAGAAGTCGTTAGAAAAGAAAACCTCCTCAATTTTCGCAAAAAATTGAAGGGATAACGACCCACAGTTGGCCGTCTTTCTATATGCCGTGGTCGGACAGATGAAACCCCGAACACGAATTGAAGGGTCAGCCTTGGCACGGAAACGGGTAGCAGCTGATCGCGCCCGGATGATGCCCCGATCAATGTTTGCGACATGTGAGCGGCGACGCTGGGCTTTATCTTGTGAAGGACGCTGGTGATGCCTTGTCATCACGAGAATTATGTCTGGGATGCCTGAAAGATGGGGGTTCTTCACACTGATTATTCGCTTCGAACCTGTGGATCACAAGATCACTTGCTCGACACGGATGACTGTCAGTAGGACAGTATGTTTGCTCCGTACTAGATTCATCGCTGAGTCATTGTCGCATCTATAAACTCATGAAGAGTACACATGCGATCTCATATATCGCGAACTTGAAAGATTTACTTCCTCCAGATATCTTACAGGTCCATCCACCTATCTCAAGGCGCATCAAGGATACATAGGTCCACATGTCAAAACATGTCTCCTCGCTAGGACCAATATCTAAGAACTACTCAGCCCAAACTTTGTAACAATAACCGACAATCAACCAAACAGCCAGTCGCGTTGCTCTTGCGGTACAGTCTCGGCGTTTACTGCGACATATACCGGCTACACCAATAATCTTCCATCCAAACGATTGTAATAAGCTAACGGACTAGGTTTCGAGTCACCTAGGGTTTCAACTTAGTAACCCGAAATAAGCTGTCTATATAGGAATCGTGTTTATTCTCTTAACAGAGTTACAATTGTCACTCTGTATACATAGACTAAAGCGTTCAAGCTACTATTTTAGCTACTACTCTTTCTACAGCCTATTCCTTAGTTTTACTCTCTTATTGTGCCTTAAGAAGCCGTAAGGCCTATTGTAACGGGCTGAACGCCCTTTGGATAGCTCCTCGATAGAATCTTGGTCTACTTGTAGAATCCGGGTGCTCGAGGTAGCACCCGGGTTATCCGCGGACCGCCTGAACGACGTTCAGACGACAGCCGCAGGACCCAGGGGCTGTCTCGTGCACCTAGACCTTACCGGCCTGATCGTTACTCGGGTTACCAGCTTGTATATAGTTAGCTACGTAGCTTGGGAGTTTAGCTCTCTATCGAATACAACCTCTTGTATACCTCGCGATTGCTCTACGGAGCGCAGCCTCTTACAGTACCGTAATCCTCTAACTGTGCCGCTTGATTCCTTAAAGTAATTACGCTTACCCTTGTCTCCTCCTAGGTGTAGATCGTAACAGGTGGTGAGAGGCCAATTTTCGATGCAAATTCCAATCAACAGATCGCTGTCTTACTACAAAAGCTAACCCTAAGTACCTCGATTCTACTTCTTAATGCTACTCCTCTTTTCCTATCTATCTCTTTTCGCTCTTACTAAACGTAGCTCGATCCGACTTGGATCGAGGTCGTCCTCTCGGGTATGTAGGGTAGGCTTATGCTGGTAGAGCGTCTCTCATCGAACTCACAAGATCTTTTTGCTTAGGTCGGAAGCCGAGCGCCTTTGATTTCTTGCTTGGGGCCAAGAATGAGTTGCCGCCAAACATGTACAAGATTCCTTCGCCCTCGGCAATCTCTATGGCCGATGGCTTACTCGTCTCGCCACGGGCGAAGAGCAGATCGCCGAGCACTTTTGTGATCGGTCCCCAGGTGTGAGTATCCACACCAGAATAGATTAGGTTCTCCCATCCTTTCGAGCTGGCAGATGCTGTAGTCTTATCCGGGTTCCTGAGAGCGAATTCCGCAACAGCCACGGTGAGCTGAGAAAGGTCTTCGACATGCACCTCCAACTAAGGTTAGTACAGAGCGATGGAGGACATCGAATTGGTACCAAATGGGACACTTACATTACCCCAGATATTCTCGCCTTTGCCGATGTATGCAGCTTGGCCGTGCTGCTTTGCGTACCGGGTGTACGCAGGCAGCTGCAGGGAAAGCTCTTTTAGTCAAGACGTTAACGCTATTAATTATAGAGAGGAAGAGATTGTGGGCTGCATACTGTTACCAGGACCTGTACCGCGACCGTATACGGTAGGGCTGAGGACGATATACGCCGAAATCGTTCCTCGAAGAGCGGCGGCAGCGACACTACTACATTGTAAGGGAAGTGGTAAGTTAATTGGCCGAAGCCGTGAGTTTCTTGAGCCTTACATTTTGTAGCCGCCGTAGAAGAAGGCGGTGTCTGGGAGAGAAGACCAGCGGTCGTATTGCTCGTCCTACAAGACATGAGTATCTGATGGTGCGTGCATGTATGAACCGATGGGATGAATTACCGTCCACACATCGGCTCCAGCTTCACCTCCTGAACCATACATAACGGTACCTGACCCGCCTGTGTGTAGAAGGACTGGCTTGGACTGAGTCTCGCGCGCTCGCTCTTCTAGGCCATCGACCAAGGCCTGGATGCTAGTCTCGTCGCCTCCGAATGCGACAGCGAAGTTCAGCACCACGTCATGTTCTGACGCAAGCGACTTCAGCTTTGCAGCGTCCGCAACATCACCAGAGACCACATTGACTCCGAGTGTCGTGAAAAGCTGTTCCTGCTCGGGTTTGCGGACTAACACTGTGATGGAGGAAGCCGTATATTGCTTCAATAGGTCGGTAAGGACAGTACCTGTGAAGCGTTCCGTGGTCAACAAGTATATTAGTTATTAGGTCAATCTGTACCCACCTCCGATATACCCCGCGGCACCCAGGACCAGGAACTTTGGTGGATCCATTTGTGCTTCTGATGCTTGATATGTCTCTCCTTGCGCGTAGTGTCTTGTGCTCGAAACTCGTATCGGAATTGGACGCTGCTTGTCTTGCAAGGAAGCCTGTGCAAGTGAGATTATAAGGTCCCAAGCCACGCCACTCTCCGTTGTCTATTTGTACACATCTTAGTATCTTCAGCTGACGGAAGCACTGGCCGGAGTTGGTCACTCGCTAATCTCTGGCCCGCACGATTGGTAATCATTGTATGCTGCTGTTGTTCCATCTTTGGCCTCTTCGAAATAGATTGATCATCCTGTGACGTAGCGCCAGTTCCCTGCCTATCGCTCGTAAAACAGTATCCAGCATTCTCTAGAACGCCGAAGTGATACGAAGTGATAGATAACGATGTTTAGCCCTGTAAGCTGTTATCATCCACAACGGGTAGCCGCAGAAGCGCTGCCTGAAACGGGCTGAGCTTTGCCCGAAGCGGAGTGTGGATGTTCTTCGGAAGACATTTGCCGGCGGCTAGCCTTAGGTACGCCTTAACTGCCGGGCTGCCTACCAAAGAACCCTGCGTCAAACCCATCCGCATTCCTTCTTGGGTAGCGTAGACGGCGGGGAGCGAACGCGTTGTTTCGACGGCAAGGATTGTCAGCAAGTTTTGTCAGCAGGTATTTGTGTGAACATCGCGTTAGCTCTATACACACACGGCTGATCTCATCAAGGTGCATGCTTACAAAATGCCTGCTAGTGCCCTTCAAGCGATTGATGTTCTAAGCAGAATGTGTAATCCAGATAGCGATGCGACGTGAGCCCCTGCTTGTGAGTGCCTTCAACAGACCGACGTTCTTGATCATCGACTCTCAGAGACGACACACCACAAGCGATAGCGACCAAAGACCTAGCTCCCTTGCTCCACGATATCTGTGTCATCACAACTGTTGGGGAGGTCATCGTGCGTTACACGGAAGCTGGTGAAACGTCGAAGCCCACTTTCTGCTGTACATGAGGTTTCCAAGCTCCAGCACCCAATAATAAGTTGCGACAAACTTCGGCTACACTTTCGACAATATCGGTATTGTGGTCTCGGCGTGGCTGAGGAAGGTGAATGTCACCACCTACGCGAGGTACATCTTCGATTATCGTGCACTTGTGGGCTTTCGTCTTACCCTTGAGCAGCCTCCGGCCGTAAACGCGATTGTAAAGCAGAACGGCAACGCTTATGATGTGGGCTTTGGTCAAGACTTCTGTGCTCCGATCTTCAATCTCTTACGCACAGAAAATCGCCCACAGGCTTGGGAGGTACTACACAACACGGTCCTGACGAAGGACCCCATAACGTACTAGTATTGCAGTGGTGTACCAGACTATGACAATCCCCTGATCGACCCAGAGCAGCCAATCCGTGATTATCTCCAGAGCGTCTCTGACAGTGACAATCAGGAGCATCAACTAGATCTCTTCTACGATTACCGGAATAACAAAGCGGCATACCGTGAATGGTACTTATATCTCGAGACGAGCCAGATACCAGTTCTTGCCGTATGGGGTGAAGGTGACCCGGCATACGCGTCCGAAGATGCTGAGGCTTACAAGAGACATACAAAGAACTTGGAGATTCACTTCCTAGATGCAGGTTATTTTGTCCTCGAGATCAAGAGATCTCTAGGCCTGTTATCTTTGAGTGTCGACGGTATCTTACGACACGTGATACAGTCATTAGTGATTGCGGCTTTGCTATAACACGCAGCTGTGCAGCAGTTTTGAGCAGCCCAACGGATCCTTAAAGTACTTACAGTTGCTGTTGATTTATGTCAGTCTCGCTTGTAACACGGCAGAGTTGCAGCAGCCTTGCTGTCCAAGCTGGGCTACTTTCGCACCGAGAATTTTGGAATTGCCGATTTTTCCTACGTAGTGTCGCACAGCCGTCGCTGAAGCGTGTATCGGCTGTTTATCGACACTTTCGACTCAGTGCCGTTAGCTTTGGCCATCTTGGAGAAACTTTGCCGCCTAATCTAGAATTATCGGCTACTGCGCATGTTCGGCGCGCACAAGAACGAAAAGAGAATCTGGTAAGGGGCTGGTCATCGAGTCGATGTCAATGTTCGGGTGGCTTGAGCGCCCGTAGGTTTACGCGATGATGCGCATCACAGGCTAGTAGCGTCTTAGTGGTGCCGACTGGGGCAACTCTGTAGAAGGATCGACGAAAATCGATGATCAAGGATGCACACGTGCTAGATCCTGGGGGTCGATCTTTTCATCTACGTTCGCGAGCAGTTTTAGTAGCCAATGCCATCCGATGCTCAGTGTTGACTGAATCGACAAATGTCGTGGTGCTGAACGATTGAGTGGAACCCATGATCAGGGCGACGGCGCATGTAACAATGACAGACGAGATCATAGAGAGCCATTAGACAGACACTTGCTGCAAGTCTGTTCAGTGTTGCCACGAACAGATCTTCCTCACAGCCATGCATTTCTCCACGCGATAGACTTAGAACCGGCTTCCAGTCGCGTGGCGCTTCGTAGAATGAAGCACGCGCTAGGGACAGACCCTGATTCGCACATGGGTCCAGGGGCAACCAGCACGACTCGCTGCCCACAACGCTAAGAGTGACCGTACAGCAACTTGCTTTTCCTGGTTAGCAGTGGATCATGACTTTCGTGCACGGCCTGACGACTGGAGAACGCGGACAGCGCACGTCAACTGTCAATGGAAATGTTAAAAACTGGTCTTCCCCATGGACCGTTGTGTCCGCGGAGGGCTATTCCATTCCACTACCATGTTACCGCTTTCGCGGCTTCTTACACGGCGTGCAGCCTTGTTTTCGCTTGTCGCATCAACCGTCGCACAATCGCCAACTTCTTTAACCGATTCTACCACTCATTCCACGGAGGCTAGACAAATCGCCGACCCGATCCTCGACCCCATTCTCGAAACCATTGGATCAACTCTCCAGGGGGATGGATTGATTGACAGTACACTTGGTGCTATCGGCGGAATACTGGGCGGCGAGCAAACCTTCGACTATGTCGTCGTTGGAGGCGGAACTGCAGGTGCAGGCGTTGGCGTGCGACTAGCTGAGGCAGGGTTCAGCGTTGCTATAATTGAGGCTGGCGGCTTTTACGAGATCGAGAAGCCGGTCTTTGGCACCACACCAGCAGGATCCTTCTTTGGAATTGGATCGAGCCTTCTCGACACTGTACCGACGACAGACTGGGGTTTCGCCACGGAGCCACAGCCGCACCTGAACAATCGCCAAATTCACTATGCCCGCGGTAAATGCTTGGGAGGGAGCAGTGCCTTGAACTTCATGGTTTACCACCGCGGGACCACGGCAAGCTATCAGATGTGGGCGGATGCTGTTGGTGACCAGAGCTATACTCTAGGAAACCTTACCCCATTCTTCAACCAAGCAGTGAGCTTCACAGCCCCTGGAGAGCGGTCGCTTGACAATGTCACGACCGCTTACGATGCATCGAGCTTTTCAAATAGCGGTGGACCTGTGCAGGTGGGCTACGGATACTGGGTTTCGATCTGGGCATCATACCTCAAGAAGGCCTTCGAGGTTCTCGGTATTCAGGAGAACACAGACTTCAACAACGGAAAGTTGCTTGGATACCAATATTCGCAGAGTACCATTCGGTCCAGCGATCAGACTCGAAGCTCGTCGGTTGCTTACATACACGCCGTACAGGCCAATTCCGCGGCCTCAAGCAATCTCAAAGTGTTTACCCATACACAAGCGCGGAAAATACTGTTCGACAATTCTTCCGCCAGGCCTAAGGCAAGTGGAGTCGAGGTGTCAGCCCTTGTTGGGCTGGCACAGTACACCATCAAGGCTCGTCGTGAGGTGATAGTGAGTGCTGGAACGTTGCAGTCTCCTCAACTCCTCATGCTCTCGGGCATTGGCCCGACAGACGAGCTTCTGGAGCATGGTATCGACCAGATTGTTTCAGCCCCAGGTGTTGGTCAGAACATGTGGGATCACGTTCTGTTTGGTCCTTCATACTCTGTCAAGTTTCAGACTGTAGGTTCCATACTCCTCAGACCACTACAATTGGCCAATGCGCTTGTTGAGTACATAACGAGCGCCAAGGGTGCACTTACCTATGCTGCCGACATATTGGGCTGGGAAAAACTTTCGAAGCTGGAAAGATATCGCGACACACTTAGTCAAAGCACACTCGATGCTCTGGAAACCTTCCCCAACGACTGGCCCGAGGTAGAGTACATCGCTGCCGACGCGTACGCAGGGAACTTTCGTTATCCCCTGGCGCAACAGCCTCTGAACGGCAAGAAGTATGTCAGTATCCTTGGAGCCATGGTGGCACCGCTGTCGCGAGGCAACATCACACTCAAATCAGCAGATCCACTCGCTGCGCCGGCCATCAACCCGAACTGGCTGTCTGATCCAGCCGATCAGGAGCTCGCTATCGCCTGGTACCGTAGGATGCGCGAGATCTTTGCGACAAAAGACGTCGCATCACAACTTGAGGAAATTGGTGTTGAAGCGTACCCAGGGCTCGACTACGACAGCGACGAACAAATTATGGCGGTCATCCAAGACAGCGCAATCACAGTGTGGCACGCCGCTTCGACCTGCCGAATGGGCAAGAGTGTACTCAGAGATGGTGTTCGTGAGCGAGTCGATGAAATGGACGTCGTCGACTCTGAGGCCAAGGTTTTTGGGGTAGATGGGCTTCGTGTTGTGGACGCCAGTATCTTTCCATTCCTGCCGCCTGGCCATCCTCAAAGCACGATCTATGCACTAGCAGAGAAGCTCTCCCAGATCATTATTCGGGATGGTCGCAGTACTACGTCATGAAGGCACCGTGTTTGACGTAGAAGTTTTGCATCGACCCACGCTACCAGAACAATACCGAGTATTACTTACGAGAGACTATCAATCCTGTTAGCGTTCACAAATGGAGCAAGAAATTGCACCTGGTGACTGTATGACCACCAAAGTGGTGTTGAAGAGACGATTTGATGATGGCCTCCAGAACACGGTGTCTGACGCCTATGCTTCCGATCCATGACAGGACACCGAGAGCGGAGAAAGGGAGAGAAGAAGAAGCGCATATTTCTGGTCGAGCTAGGATGATGCACCAGACTACAGCATAGTACGGTTTTGACATGGCCTTGCACACCATGGTTCTTGAACAGACGTTCTGGTCCACTAGCACCGGTGATACCCTCACCTCACGGAGAGATCCAATGGCGTTTCCATCTCGGGTTGCAGTATTCGTAACGAGTTTTTGGATCTCCTAGATGCTGGCTCGCTAGGAAAGCTTGGAGTATCACTTGTAATGGTTCTTCTGAACGCCTTGAGTGTTCCACTTGGTCCTAACCACTTTTAGTAATGGGCGCTAAGTAAGATGGTGATAGTAGTACGTGTTCATAGATGTTCATGATTGAAATAACTCTGTTGCAATAGCTGCACCGCCTCTCTGAGTTTCCCATTCGTGCTGGCGTCTCTACCGGCCAGGGTATCCATTAAGTGGATGAAGGTCGTACATTGCAGCGCTACAAGCGTCACGGGTAATAACTAGGTACATTTCTTGCAGGCAGTTGATCGACAATTGACCAACTCCGAGATACATGTCTCGAGTTCCTCCGAATTCCCAATATGATGATCTCCCATGCTCACTGGTCCAGTTCGCATCGATAGCCTTGATCGTCAGGTCCTCCAGAGTCCGGTCTCGCTTGCGTGGATCCGTGTGGAACTGCAACCCAGCCAACATATTGACTGCAGCTGCGTCGATCACAAGACATACACTGTACCGGCATTGAGGCCGCGACGAGCGGCCGGGTAATAGTAAGTCAAGGCCACCCGTCAATGCGCGAAAGTTCTCGCGCACGCGATGATCGCTGGCACCCGCCAGTTCTTCCTCATCTTTGATCAGTTCCAGCTTAAAACGTTTGCGTAGCTCTTCCCTTCTATTTTCCGGTCCTTCATAAGCTTCGAGATGACGCTCGACTACCCGCACCCAGTTCCCCATTGCTTGCTCCAGTTTTTCAAGTGTCGCATCGTCATAGCTCGTCAGGAACACGTAGTAACCCCACGTCCCGTCGTAAGGCCTTGGTGCGCTGATGTCTTCATCCCAGTCAACAGTCGACCATTTATCTATTTCCGCCAATAGATTTATCATGTCCTCATCGCCATGGTCGTGGCCTATAGCGATACTCGCCCTTCGCTCTGCGACCGCTTTATCCGACGTGTATCGTTCCGTTTGGAGGTCGGCTGCCGATCCCGAGCCGAAGGCTTGAATGGCAAAGTCTCTACGAAGAGGTACAGGTCGGGAGATGAGCGAGGGATCGCCTGGGATGTCGGGCGTTGTCCGGCCACCACGACCGCGTCCTGTCATGTTGGATTACGACTGTACGGTACGAAGGATACAAGGAAGGAAAGAAGAAGTAAGTTATCGTGGGTAATAGTCTACGAGAGCAGTTGATGCGAGCATGCTGAGTTTTTACACGTTTTCACAGCTGGGTAAATTGCCCTCGCTTATTAGGCAGCCGTTCAAGCTACCATACTAATCTCGCAGCATTCCTGCTTCTACCTTCAACTTATCTATCGTGGTATCTAGACTTCGTCGCATGACCTCTAGATCTACGACTAATGCCGCAGTGCCCCCCATTATTTCTTTCTCTTTTTGCACAGCGAGTGCCAAAGCGTCGAGAACGCTAGCTATCCTCAGGGTCGAGTGTTGATTTGGACAGCGTTGCGTATTATTTACGCGTTGTGACTTGATGCCGATGCTCGGCTTCTAAAAATAGGCATGATCAGGACCCTAATCTCGATCATCGAGGACGACGCACGCACGCAGCCAAGTACTGTGTAGATCCTGAGGTAGTGAAAGCTGATACTCGCACCAGCAAGATTAGAGCCCCGCATAGCATGGAGAAGACAATATTCAAAGCCTGGAACATGTCGTAAGCCGATCGGGTGCCATGCCCTTTCCCTATCAAACCCATGCTCGAATTGTCACCTCATCGACACTGTCGCAGCGTATATCATTTCTGACCTCGCACTAGCATCGACATGCGCAACGCACGACATGCACCCATTCATCGCTCGGCGTGCGGATGTCGAAGTGTACCGTACAGGTCGTAACATGTTGCTACGTACGATTGCCGAGCCGTTCCGTTAACAAGCATCGCGAGCGCATGCACCCAGGTACAGCATTCCCCAGACGGTAAGCCAATGTCGATCAATGCTGGAACTCCGCCTCATCAAGTATGATCTTGATGCTTAGAGAGCGAAAGAAAAAGTACGTGAGCATGTGCGGCGGAGCATTGTACCAAGCTCCTATCTTATTGGATCGTGCTCGGCAGCGAAAACGCGCGCAAAGTCGGAGATACTTCATGCAAGGCACAACGTGTATCGTGAGTGTACGTGCAGTCGCAACGTCACTTCTCCACTGAAACCACGCTTCCGGCTTACAGGTTCCTGGCGTGCGGACCGAACATGTCCTGATCGAAGCTCTTCCGTCGCATCCAATGCCAGGTTCTCCGCCTCAACAAGATCGACCCAGCGAAGCATACACGAATGCCAAACGATTGATCGTCAGTCGATGAGGTGTCGCCATGACCATTGTTCTTCCCTATGCGCTGCCAACTCTAACCTTCATCGCGATCCCGCTCGGCGGCGAAGGAGTGCAGCGTGCAAAAGACCATGAAGATCATGCGCTGGTGCCAATTTTTGATACTTGCGCAGCATCACCAAGACCGCGTTCGGCGTCAAAGGAAGTACAGGACGTAATCCGGTGCTTACTTCGGCCAGCACGGTATTGACGGGCACCACTGACTTCACCGCATCATCGAAGACACTGTGCCTGGCTGTCATCGCATAAAAGCCACTGCACCACCGCGCACCAAGTGTATAGCATCCGATAAGTTCCCCAACAGATTGCACGACTCTAGGATCAAGACTACAATTACACACTCGTATCATACCACAATCAAAATGCCTTCCCTTACTAGCATCCTCGCCCTCGGTGCGCTCACTACCCTCGCCGCGGCCGACAACATTTACACATACACCAAGCCTGGCTGCACTGGTCCTGCCTTCTTCTTCAAAGACATCGACCATAACGTCTGCGCCGTGTCTATCACCGGCAATGCTACCTCCACGGCCGATGCGATTGCAAAGGGTAAGAGCATCGAAGTGCAACACGCATATGACAGTATCTAATCATTTCCAGGTCTGACGACCGTTGCATCCGGCAAGCTTGAAGTCCAAGAGACGGGCAAGAAGCACTTCCTAGCTTGGGACGAAGGCCCAGCCTCGAACGCAGATGGTCCCCTCCAATGCGGCACTATCTCAAAGAACATTGCTGTCAAGGAGCGCGAGACCTGCATCTCCGGTTCTATCCATGGATTCTCTTGGACTGAGCCTGGTGCAGATGGCAATGACTCGAACGACTTTGATATGGATGATGATGATGCGGATGATGTTGACGACAAGGTCAAGCGTCAAGCCAACGACGACCCCATCTGGACATGCACTGGTTCCACCGACCCTGATGCTGTACACATTGGCGGCAAGTACTACAATGTTGATGATATTCCAGCAGCAGATAAAGAGGCGTTGATGGAGTGCGCGTGGAATGATGTCACTCCGGGTGCGGAGTTTGACAAGTACATCTTTACACCTGACTTCTAGATAGAAAGGAAACGAGCGGAAAGGCTTCAAGAGAGCTCTATCTTCGAGCGTGGATGACGCATAGTCGTATCGTGTTCATTGCTCCTGTAGCAAGTATTAATATACGTCTGACACTTTTATATTTGCCACATTCCTCAACTTTGCATCGTGTGCAAAAACAATTTCATGCGCTATTCACGACTCAATCGTCGGAAAGTCTTGCTTCCACCGCTTCAAACCGTCGCTTACGGTACTAGCGACCGCCGCCTAGTAACAGAAGGCTTGAAGTACTTCTGATAACGTTCCAGATCGAAACTACCGTCTTCAAGTTCCTTACTGTCAGGTTCGCCCGCCCAGCAGAATGTACGACAATTTTCGAGGACCTTACCACCTTCCAAAACTGCATTGCACTTATCCCATCTATAAGCGGCAGTCTCGTAAGCCGCCAAACGGTCGAACTGGGCTTCCGAGGTCACCTTCCACAAAGTACCAGTCACGCTGCCAGAGTAGCAGGGTATTAGTGTTGGGTATATGCCCCACATCTTGATACTGAAACCAGAAATGGTAGCAGGCCTTGTAGTCGGGAGTTCCGGGAGATCGAGAATTGCTTGGAGGACCTCAGGATCCATGAGTGAACCGTAGAAGAACATGTGGAAGGGTTGGAAGGGTTCACCAGGCATGTTTGTTTTCGTGTCTTTGAGGAACTGCCAGTAGTGTGCTTTGTCTATGGGCTCAAAGGCTCCAGAAGGCATTGGAGGAGGTGGGGGTACTGTGCTCGTCGATCTCAAGGATTTGGACAGCTGTCGAGGTGGAGGTGAAGGCGGCATTATTATAGTTGGTGTTGATATATTGTCTTCTCGACAAGATGGAGGTGGAGGTGGGTGCTGAGGCGGAGGTACATTGTCCATCGTGGAAGCCGCTGAACGTGAAAGTGCACGTCGGATTTCCTATTAGCGTTATTGCCTTATGCTCTGACTACTAAGCTGTTACAACAGCTTAGCTTCTAAACTCGCTCCACTAAGGACGTTGTGCGGAGCTTGTTGGGGCGTAAGATGGCCATGATCAGGTGAGACAGCTAGACCCACAACGCCCTACCGAGGGGCGGCCGCTACCAAACTTTAGGTTAGATTTGCCGCCTCGTACGTCTAAGGGGCCGATCTATCTAGGGACGGTCTAAACGCAACTCAGCTATCAGTTCTACAGAGCCTTGAAAGCCTCTTGATCAATAGTACGAGTTCATCCGAAGGCGCGGACCACAGTGCCCTCAATCAGCTTTTTAAGAGCCAGTTCAGCTTCCTCTAGAGGCGTACAACTTGGAACGGCTCTCTTGACAAGACAACGCAAACTCGAAAGCCAAGGCTACCCGGAGCAATTCCAACCTGGAGTATCAGAACAAACTGATAAAGTTTCGATTTCACAAGTGTTCTTACTCACGATATGTCCTAGAGGTATTTTCGTACTTTCGCCTTAGCAGAGTAGCGAAGCACAAGTTAATGCCAGCTCCTAGCTCTTCTACTCGAGATAAGTCATACAGTCAGGAAGCTCAAGAAGCTCAATGAGTACAAGTACATGTAGATCTCGTAGAAGACATTCGCACGACGCGGTGCATTCTGGTGTACATTATCATTCCTTTCGCAATACATTACGTACGTCACATCAGCCCATGATCCATGGTCATACCAATCGATGCGTCACCCTCTCTTTGCACAATGTCCACGGCACCACTAACCTCGATGAAGTCTTCCAACTCTTCGCTCGTCGTCTTCAGCTTCTCCTTCACAGCCGTAACACCTTCGGAGCCCACTATGTGCCGTGCAGGTGGATTATCATGGCCACCGATTGCCGTCAGCGCATGCACGGTCTCCGCAATCAGATCACTCTTGACTCGCATCGGCAACGGCGCATACAAACTCGTGACGGTATCCGAACTTAACAGATCGCCCATTGTGGGTTCGGCGTCCAGATTCATATCCGATGCGATGCTTTCCTCCCCAGGGGACTTGGTGGCGTTCTCGTCGAATGAGGGATGAGCAGCGGGATTGTCGATGCGCTCAAGCTTGTCGAGCAGACCGGAAAAGATCTCGCGAGCTAGAGGCGCAGGGTTCTCGCCTTGCAGGTACTCGGACATGGGAGGTACAGAGGTTATACGATTTGTGAGAACGTTGACTTCCATGTTGGCTTGAACCAGAGACATCTTGACGTTGAAAGGAGCGATCTCGTAGGCGAGGCTGTCGCAGTATCCTTCAACTGCCCATTGCGATGAGCAATACATGCCCAAGCCAGGGGTTCCAAGATGGCCGGTAATTCCAGTTATGACAATGATATGTCCATTCTTTCGTTCGCGCATGATGGGTAGCACGGCTTTCATGATGTTCACGTTGGCGAAGAAGTTGATCTCGAAGATCTCATCCACTAGGCTCCTTGTCCGACTAGTCTGCGCGAGCTCTTCAACCGAACCGATCACGGCTTCACTTGCTGCGCACAACAAGACGTCGATGCGCCCAAACGCCTCTACCGCCTCGGCGACGGCTGCTTGGCATTGACCAACCACCCTGCACAACAACATCTGTTAGCAGCGCGACGGCGTTTGACTTTGATTGAATCATTGCATGCTCACCTGCTATCAAGTCCAACAACTCTCAAATGCTCTCGCCACCGATCCGTCGCCTTCACATCCTCGAGAAATGTACGAAAGTCTTCACTTTGGCCCTCTCTCTTCTCAAACTCAATCGGCATAACGCCCGCGACAACATAATCGCCATGCTCGAGCACCTGCCGTGCTAACGCGATTGCGATGGGCGATGCGCCTCTTGTGATGAACCAGACGCGAGGAGCATTGTGGGGCGGAAAGTGCGGTGACCTTGGTCGCGGTGGTTTCGTCGACGATGCCGGCTGCGCGTTACTCGTCATGTCGCGGGTAGACTTGTCTGTGTATACCTCATGGCGACCGGTGTGTGAACATGCTTCGCGATGGGGATGCGCGGTGCATCTCAAGTGGGGGCCTCCGCAATGACGCTAGCCCTGACCCCACCTTAGCGCGCACGAAAATGACATTGCAGTCACAACCACCATCTCGAGATTTGCCAAGACTTGGGGATAGTGTTGATTACCACGAACCAGCTCTAAGACTACGTTGAAGACTCACTTCTTGTATATCTTGGCTGTCTTTTGTCGTTTGCCTCAATCTTGTGGCACCAAAATTCAGTTCGCCTCCTTGGAACCTATCAAAGTTCTCTTTCACCTGCACTCCGGGTATGTCAACTCAAACATCATGCGCCCGCCATCTCCCAGCCTCTCCCCTTCCAATGTCTGGCTCGTCTTCTCGATCTCATCTAGCTTCGTTGATGAAAACCCATTCGTTCATTTGCAAACTTTCATCTTCAACTTACTCTCTATCCTACAAGCCAGTTACACGGTCTCATTCCGTTTTCAAACAATGGCTCCATCTACACGTATCCCATTTCATTTCATTGCCTTGCAAAAGCACCCAAAACCTACATCATGAATCTTCTTGGCTAGAATCCTGCCCAGGCGGCTAACTTCGAGCCAGACAGTCCAGTACGCCTCTACCCTCAACTGACCAGCCTTTCAGTTACCATCATCTCCATTGCCGAGTGTCAAAAAGACCCATATTGCCAAGGGATTCCAAAAGACGAGGTAGCCTTCTTCCGTGGGTTTGAAGACCGTCAAGCCCGTCACCAGCGTCAGGTCAAGGTCCGATCAGCCAACCGTCAGAGCTGGATCGAGTGTGACAACCGCAGCTACACCGGCCGTCGCAAGCGCGTCACTGAAATTCATCTTCCATTCCCGATGAGTAAGGCATTCTCGCTGGCGCAATACCAGCGCCATGCTGTGCATTTAATGTCCCGTGTTCTGAATGTCCGGACCAACGCCTCACCCTTCACACTTGTCCTCGACGATCTCAACCAGCGCTCCGATCTCTTTATTGCGGAGATAGTCAGGCGAGCCCTCTCACGCAATATAAATGTCGTCTTCGTCACGTTCGAGTCCAGACCTTCCATCGCTCCCATCCGCACAGTCCAAGGCTACGGTCTCACCGGCGAAGAGATCCTACGCGACCTCAGCAAAGCCATGTCCGACTGCAAGGAATCACTCGTTGTTGTTGACAACCTGTACGAGCTCATCAACAACAAGGGGATCGAGATGATTCGCCTTTTCGACCTTGTTGCCAACAAGTTCGCATCCACACTCGTTGGCGTGTTCCACACCGACATGCTCGACGCACCTCCAGAGTCTCCCTATGCGCCGCAGCCACTGGAACTCGTCAAATACATGGCTACCTCGATCATAACATGCAAGTCCTTTGCGCACTGTCTCGCCGCCAAGGCCGCCAAACAGCGCAGCTTGCCGGAACCTACGTGGGGTCTGCTCCAAGGCGCCGAAGGCATTGTCCAGTGTCTTGACGCCAACGACCGCCGCGGCATTGTCCTCGAGGCAGAGTTCCGACGCAAGTCTGGTCGTCCAGAGGGTGAGACGTACTTTCTGCGTGCGCCTCGGCACTCGGATTTCCACGCGCCTGTTCCCGGTATGCCTACTGGAACGTTGAAGACGGAGTACGTCGTTTTGCTTGAACAGGCACCTGGGTATGCCGATCAGGGTGTTGTTGACGCTGTGGATGCGGCGGGTCAGGAGGTCGAAAGTACGTTCAACCTGGGTCTTACTGAGAAACAGAAGCAGGCGAGGGAGGGTGTTGTACTGCCATACTTTGATGCGCAAAAGGGTGAGGGTGCTGGTGAGGGCGGCAGAATTCTATATGATATGGGCAGTGAGGACGACTTTGACGAAGAGGAAGATGAGATCTGAGTGCCGTTTGCGGGCATTGACTTCAAGATTCACTGGCGCTGGTCGCGGATTTGAGGTGGGATTTTGAGATACCCTGGACGTTTTGGCGATGGGAGAACGAAAGAGATCAGGTTAGCACTGATCATATGCGACGGAGCTTGATGAAGCTCTCAAGGCTCCTCATCTCCAGTAGGATGTTCGCTCGAGCGAACGGCTGCCTTCGCAGTAGAGCTGAGACATAGATGGAAACATTCAAAGCCCCATCACTTGCCCCTTCCCTGATGTCTATGGAGCGAAAAACTGGACTACGACATCATGTCTAAACCTTCGTATTGTGTGTGTGTTTCGTTATGAGCTTGGAGGTTGCGTATATACCCATGGTTAGGGTTTGAATGGTCAGCCTTGGCGTCCGTACTCACTCAGCGACATTCGCGACCTAATTCATTCCCTTTGCGCCAACATTTCCCGCACACCACACGCGCCGCCGCACACCATGACAGACAACGAGAGACCCCGAGCGACTTACAGCGATCCTTTCGAGCGCGACACCCGCCGCGCGCCCCGCGAAGCTCGCGACCGAGGCGGCACACCCACCGAGCGACGAGGCAACCGGTCGCGCAGCCCCCACGAGCGCGGCAGTCGACGCGACGCGCGCTACCGCTCAAGGTCGCCTTTCCGCAAAGATGAGCGTGACAGCGGAAGCAGGGGAGGACAAGGGCGAGGCCGTGGTCACGACCGCGGACGGGGCCGCGACGATAGGCGGGCTGGAGGCAGAGAAGGCCGAGACGAAGAGCGCCCATCCCACCGGGACAACCGCGACCGCTCACCCCCCAAAGGCCCTCGTAACCCCGGAAAACCCCCCGTCCACGGTTCCAACGCCGCACGCCCTCCTACCGGCCCTCGCTCCTCTGCCCCCAGCGCTATCAAGAAGGAAGAGGCCGAAGCCGACGAAGACAAGCCGGACGTTGAGATGGCAGACACACGACAGAAGCCTGACGACATGGACGACGACGAGTGGGAGATGCTGAAGGTCATGGGATTCGGAGGGTTCAAAAGCACAAAGAATACAAAGGTTCCGGGCAACGATAAGAATTTTGGGGTGAGAAAGGACAAGCAGTTGCAGGCTAGGCAGTATATGAACAGACAGGGTGGATTCAACAGGCCATTGAGTCCCAGTCGGATGTAGGCGAGGGATAGGGAAATCAAGGCACAGGATGACTATGATCACGGTCGCGTCACATGCGATGAAGGGTCCACAGGCACATTCGTGGGGGCATATGGGCGAGGGGGATAGTACTGGGACGATAGAACAGATCTGTCACTGTTTTCCTGGTGTATACCTCAGCAGGACGACGGTCGCATCGGTACATGCAGTATAAGGCGGGTTGGGATGCCATAGCACGACCTAAGTCCACCGCGGAGCAGCTCCTGGTAGGGCGCCTTTCCACCTCCTACAACCCTCATACACGTCTTCTTTAGTCTGACCATAACAGAAGGAGCTCGGTCTGCGAGCGAAGTAGCTGCATGCAGTAGCTATATCAGTTTGAAATCCTTGCAAGGACTCGAGCGGTAGCATGAGAAATACCACGATATCACGCAATCCCACACACCAGTCCTATAGCCTCCCCGTGATGCACTCGATGAATCTTCTACACGCATGCTGGGTGGACAGTTCGTCTTGTTGCGTATGCTTGACGGTGGAAACGATGGCCCAGAAAGGCGCCCCCCACATGAGCCAATCAGCGCGCCAATAACCCCCGACCTCCGCGAAATGTGTCCCGAACCTGCCCCCGCAAAGCTCCAGACAGCTCCAGCTTGGGCACCACACAACACCATGACGCGCGAATCTCGGCATGGCACCCTTTGGAAAGGGCTGACGTGCCTTTTCGCCCTCCAATTGCCTTTTGCAGGTGCGCAGGTCGCAGAGGTTGAGAAGGCAACCAATGCGAGCTTGCTCTGGGGACCCTACCGCCCCAACCTCTACTTTGGCGTCCGGCCACGCATACCAAAGAGTCTGATGGGCGGGTTGATGTGGACGCGGGTTGAGGATTACCAAAGCGTGCAGCACAGTAGGTTATCACCTCTGAACCTCAATGAACACCAATGCTGACCTGGCAGACTTCAGACACACTTGCGAACAGCACGAGCTCGATGGCTACGGTTGGGACGAATACGACGTACGCAGCGGCGGCCGACAAACTATCCACGATCCCGCCAACAAGATCGACATCACCACCGATTTCATCAAGTTTCCCGGTGGAGAGCACGGCGGTAGCTGGGGTGCGAGGATCAAGGGTACACCGCGAGAAGATGCTGGCCCCAACCTGCGAACGACCATCGTTTGGTACAACACGCTCGAGGGCTTCGGAAACTTGGAAGTCGCAGGTGCGGACCCATCCGAGCCTGGCATGGAGGGCGATGTGATTTTGAAGGGGCAGACTAAAGAACTGGGCGAGTTTGAGCTCACGGTCACGGATGGCAAGGGCAAGCACCCTGTTCATGAACACCCCAGCTACGACGAGAAGCCGTTGGATCGGACACTCGTGCACAGCGGACAGGTACCAGAGGAAGCCGTATGGCAAGTCAAGGCCATGATGTTCGCACACATGAAGGGCCAGATCGACGTCTTGGTCCCCAAGTACGGCGAGCAGAACCCACCACCGCCAGAGCAGGTCTACACAATCCAGCATCTACCCGGTAAGGGCAACATGCACCTGGTGCAGAAGGTCTTTGAAGGTGCCTTTGAGTTCGACGTCATCTTCTCGTCTGGGTCCGTGCCGGAGAAGATCACGTCGGAGCATCTTACGCAGCAGATCGATTCCGTCACGTCAGGCTTCTCGGCTCGCTTCACGGACATCTTCAAGCCTCAGCCACCTTTCGTAAAGGAACGCTACGAGGAATTTGGCAAGTCGCTATTTTCGAACCTCATTGGTGGCATCGGCTACTTCTTCGGTGACTCCCGTGTCGATCGATCCTACGACCCTGCGTACGAGGAAGATAGCGAAGGCTTTTGGGAGGAGGCTGCCGAAGCGCGAAGCAGGAACCAAGCCCAGCTCGAAGGACCGTCTGAGTTGTTTACCGCCATTCCATCGCGACCCTTCTTCCCCCGCGGTTTCCTGTGGGATGAGGGTTTCCATCTCCTCCCCGTCATCGACTGGGATGCCGATCTCACTCTCGATATCATCAAGAGTTGGTTCAGCCTCATGGACGAAGATGGCTGGATCGGTCGCGAACAGATTCTCGGCCCCGAGGCCCGCAGCAAAGTACCAGAGGAGTTTCAAGTCCAGTACCCTCACTATGCCAACCCACCAACACTGTTCATGGTCATCACGTCCTTCCTCGACAAACTAGACGCCATCAAGACCGACACCAGTAGCGAGAAGCTGCAACAAGAAAAGTCCTACTCGATGCAGCTCTCGAACCGCGAAGCCGCCCTTGAGTACCTCCGCTCGCTCTACCCCTTGCTCAAGCGCAACTACTTCTGGTACCGCAAGACCCAGGCCGGCGACATCAAGAGCTACGACCGCGAAGCCTTCTCCACCAAGGAAGGCTACCGTTGGCGCGGGCGCACACCTTCGCACATTCTCACCTCTGGTCTCGACGACTACCCTCGCGCGCAGCCACCACACCCTGGTGAGCTGCACGTCGACCTGATCAGCTGGATGGGCATGATGACGCGCGCAATCAAGCGCATTGCAATCTACCTCGACGAACAAGATGACGCGGCCGAGTTTGCGCGCTACGACGAAGCTATTGTCCGCAACATTGATGACTTGCACTGGAGTAAAAAGGACAAGGCGTACTGTGACGCCACCATTGATGACTATGAGGAACACTCGCTTGTTTGCCACAAGGGCTATATCTCGCTGTTTCCCTTTTTGACGGGCCTTGTGGATAAAGGGAGTGAGAAGCTGGGCCATGTGCTTGATTTGATCGAGGACGAGGAGGAGCTGTGGAGTCCGTTTGGTATTAGGAGTTTGAGCAAGAGCGATGAGTTTTATCATACGGCGGAGGATTACTGGCGGGGTCCGGTGTGGATGCCGATTAATTATTTGGCTGTCAAGCAGTTACTTGTAAGTTCTCTCTTTCTCTCTCTTCTTTACTGCCACTACCCCTTCTCGTGCTATTTCATTCTTACTAACCCTACGTCTCTCTCCAGAACGTCGCGACTCAATCCGGTCCCCACCGTGCTCGCGCAACCAAAATCTACACGGAACTTCGCAATAACTTGGTCAATACTGTTTATGAGAGTTGGAAGGAGACGGGCTTTGCGTGGGAACAATATAACCCCGAGACGGGTAAAGGGCAGCGCACGCAGCATTTTACGGGCTGGACGAGTTTGGTGGTCAAGATTATGGCTATGCCGGATCTGAGTGGTCAGAGCGGGCATGATGAACTCTAGGTTTGGAGAGGACATGTGCCGCATGCTATTAGCAAGCGTGAGAGAGCTGTAGGGCATACTCGCTGCGTTGCGGAGACTGTATGTATGGCTTACGTTTAGTATTGGGAGTTACGAACGCAATTCAAGAACAAGGTTGCTTGCCTGCGAGTATACGCTTTCGTGGGCGCAGGCGCTCGGCCGAACTTGAGTACAACTGCAGAGGCAAAGTATGTGAGTTGTCTGGGCCGTTTGGGTTGCGTCGCTACTGCACCAGCGCGCTACATCGATCAGGGTTGTTGCGGACCCGGCAGAGGTGGGTAGCTCTGAATTACTTCACTAGATAGGGTGGTAGTAAAAATGATTCTTTTCTATCTCCCTGCTCATGGAGCGCATGTTATCAGCAGGTTCAGAGGCTGCGGTGACGGATAGTTGATGAGCCACTCCCGTCTAGCGCATTATCATCGAGAGCAGACATATTAGGACCGTGATTGTATTCTTCGCTCAACCTTTGAAATCGCGTGTAGCACACTTGATATCTTGATACTAGATACAATAGGTTTCCTTCAACTTGAACTAGCCTCGAACATGACATCAGAGCCTATGGCCATCATCGGCATGAGCTATCGCCTCCCAGGCGCGGTGCCTCTGAGCCAGCTCGTCTTTAGGGGAGTTCAACGTCCATCCGATATACCATTGAGACCCTCCAATGCGGCAATCTGGGAACGAACGAGATCTTGGCACCACGGGAATGGGTTGCCGGATCTTGCCAGGGACATGTATCGCAGGTATTGTTCCCTTGGAAGCCACTCTGAGCATACAACGGGAAGCATTCCGTTCTTAGCGACGTGAGTGGCGAAGAAGATGCGCGAAGTTCTTCCGTTGCCATCTTGGAACGGATGGATGCTCACGTAGTAGAAACTGTCCCAAGCTGCTTTGAGCAAAGGGTGAATTCCGGAACCGTCTTCCCCAGCAACAACAAAGTCTGACCACCGTTTAAGATTTTGGCGCAGTTCCTGAGGATAGGGAAAGATGGCCTTGGGGTCTGAATGAACCTGGATTGGGAGGATGCGTAGCTCGCCAGCTTTGAAGTGGACTTTTGTGCCGAGAAAGAGGATGCGTGAGATTGTTCGTATGTCTTGGAGCAACTCTTCGGGCTTTGTTGCACGTTGAAGGTGTCTGCTGGACAATGCAGCTTGTGTCGCAACGATGTTGTTGCGTAACTCAAGGTACTGATCTGACTTTGCGGCATCACCTTGATCTAACCGCACCAACTCTTCCGCTGATGGTAGGCGAATTTTCATCGCCTCCTCGAATACGTGCTCGCTGTTTGGCATCACCTTTGGTATATCTTCCTCGATTCTTCTTGCGGTCGCTAACGAAAGAGAGTTGTTCTCGATCATGCAACTTTTCCAAGAGAAAATAGCAAGAACGTCGCTGCAAAGCCTTATATGATGTGGGCCAGTGTTCAAGGGACATCTCTTCTTACACCCTAGGTGGACCTTCTCGCCCAGATTGTCCAACCTGCGTAACTCTTCCTTCAATTTCTCTTGTGCCGCCATCCACGGCTCCTTGTTCCGGATGTTGTAGATCGAGTCCCAGACACTTCCAGACTCTGCAAGTCTCGTCCACTCTGGCCCATCTTTGACCAGGCTGTTGAATCGTCCGTAGTGTGTCTTGAGGAGTGCATTTCGTGCCGCGATGATTTCCTTCGTCCAGGGCATTCTTCTTGCTTCGTTCTTCACGGCGTTGAAGTGTTTTAGGGATTAGTGTAGGTGCAAAGGGATTTTAGGAGGTTACGAGTGTGTGCTTATGTTGTCTCAGCAGCTATGCATCCTTGGTACCTGCCTGCTATGCTTCCTTGGTACTTGCCACGCTTCCATGGTACTTCTTCACTTAGCCGAGAGGCTGGAGAGCCCCAGAACGTCATATGAGGACGAGCCAAAGTATAGGCAGACGTCTACAACGTCCATACAAGTGGCTTTTATCGACACCAGAGTACAAAATCTGCTGCAGGATATGCTGTTGACGCGCTGACGTTTGAAACCGCCTTGATTGTAGTCACCGCGATTGACTAACATCGATGGTAATAATCGCGTTCGATGCCTGGGTCCTTGCGATCCCTGAATATACTGACATTCCTCAATATAGAGCCTATAGTAGCCTAGAGCCGACACCGTAGCTACCGCAGCGGCCGCCTCTCTACATCCCACCCGCGTACACTTTGTCTATCACAATCTTCCCACACCATTCCCCACCATCCCGATTTCAGGTCGTCTTTTTCCACTGGCCTGAACGTGTTAGCGTCGGTCCACTCGTTCTCCTCCGCCCAAGTCACAAATCCATGGCCCCAATCACCATAGCACCCTAGCCCAGCGCCTATGGATGTCTGGCCCAGATGCGGAAACTGGCCGTGCAACGTCCACTCGCCAACGCTTCCGTCTTCAGTGTGAGAGCAAGCGAACACACGCACTCCCAGCACGCCGTACCAGCTGAAGACCTCGAGCACCGCACGCGCTTGCTCAAGCACTCGTACTGGCATCCATTTGATGCTGAAAAAGTGCTGCGGGCTGCGCGACGCGAGTGCGTCCTCGACCTCAGATACGGCGCAGTTGCAGAGAGGGTCATTTTGGTCTCCGCTGGCTACATGCGTATGGAAGGCGATGAACTGCTGCTTTCCGTTCTTACGGCGCGCAATCTGGAGCAGGTCTTGGCCCACCGGCTTGGGTGAGGAGGGAAGAGACGGCACGAGCGCGGTGAGCAGAGGGCCTACAAGTTCGCTGCTCACAGTCGGGTCGCATTGGTGCAGTCCCACGCACACGATGTCAGGGCTTCCACTCTGCTGGCCGTAGATGGCTACGGTGGTCCTGTCGTCGGGTGTGGGCTTCACGACCACGGCTTGATCATGGCCCCAGCCCATCACGTCGCCCACGAGCACCGATGCGTCCTGTTCCGCTTCGAGCTCAAGGTCGAAGTCCGCAGTTACGAGGTTGGCGTTGCCGGCATCGTCAAAGTCGATCTTCGCTAGATTCACCCACTCACTGTCCTCCTTAGGCCCGGCGCGCGCCAGCAAAATACTCTGTCTGGAGGCACCGGCACCTTGAAACGGCTTGACAAAGCCGTAGGGTGCCTTGGGTAGAGACAGCGTCCTTTGCACCAAGTTGTCGCTCAGTACTCCAACCAGTACTTGATTCTCGGACTGCGAGACGGCGACAATCTCTCCCCCGGCGATGAAGTTACCGGTAACGAAGCGAGTCAGGTTGAGCATAAAGTTCGCTGGGACGCTGCTTAGGATGGTCGCGTGTCTGGCCATTGAAGCACGCACCGCCCAGGAATGCTTTGGTGAGAAGGTAGCATAGGTGCCATCGGAAAACCCATTGGGGCCTGGTTCCGATGAATATTCCGTCTGCGTCATCTCGATATTCCCGCTCCCATCGGCCATCGCTGCGTAGGTGAATCCGATGATGCCAGTCCTCCCGCCGGATCGCATCCAATGCAGGACCTCTCTGCTCGGCGCGATGTCCTGATCGATGAGCCTGTTACGAATGGTGAATGTCGATTGGGTCTTGTCCGCAAACTTGACTTCAGCAGGGGTCCAAAAGTTGATGCAGCAGCCCTCACTGGTGCTGCCGTCGAGATCTTGGATCTGGATGAAACCGCCGGATAGCAACCCGTCAATCGAGATCTGCATCGGAAATTGGCCATTCACCACGAAGTCAGCAGCCTTTATGGTGTTGCCATAGTCCACATCGCCTGGCGATTGAGTTTTTCGAGCGCCGTAGTTAGAATGGTCGCTCAGGTCCTTACGAACCGTGCATTGGCTTTCCGTGACGTTGTCATGCAAAGCCATCCACAGCGGAGCGGGATTGTGCTTGTCGTATCCGCTCCATCCGCTGTTCTTCCAGTCCTGGGGTTCGATAGCGGTCATTGGCTGGGGCATGAGTTGCATGGCCTTGAACCAGCTCTTGTTCTTTTCCCAATTCTCGATCTGCTTGTCGCCTTTATATCCGACACGGAACACCTCGGCGGTTGACTCCTTCAAGCAATACATGCTGTTATCGTTAGCAATTTGCGCGGCTTGCAAGAGATGCGCACGACGCCTACCATCGAGCGCGGTTCACCGAGGCTTGTGGCTCCATGAATTGTTTGTCACCTTAAGACTCGTCAGCTAGGTCTTGAGTCTATTTAACATCCTCTCACCATATTCGATCCACTGGTCTCCGAGCTCATTGCGAACCAAGAGGCCGGTAGCGCTGTCATCGTCGTGCATCTGTTCCCATCAGCTTAGCCCAAAAACGAGGGCCATTTACTAACGTATCGACATTGAAAGTCCCAGACTGCATGGTCTCGTGCAGCGTGCCACCCCATAGACACATAATTCGGGTTGTGGAAGGCCCGCCGAGGAGCCCGGAGATGCCCTGAGCTGAACAGGTCCGTAAGGAAATGGGCTGCGAAAGCCTCGTGGACGTAAGCCGTGCGAAGCATCTTCATCTTTGCCTCATCTGAGGGCTCGTCGCGTGCCTTTCGAGCTATCTGGAGGGCGCTAGTATGACCGACACAGTACGCCATGACCGCGTAATCACCCTTGTCCAGTTAGCTCGCAACTCCAAGGCACTCGAGTGCACTTACAAAGTGGTCGATGTTTGTGTAAGCGATCCAGGCATACACCGATGAAGCTTTGGTGAAGCCTGTCTGTGTCATTTTCGTATATTCATCGTCGGTTGGGATATGGCAATGTCCGTGGTCGTGGCTGTAGGACATGTGCTCATGACTGAGATGGTTAGAAAGAGCAGTGATAGCGATTGGCTACATACTATGCTGTGGCTGTGTTGTCTCCAGCTTTCGTGGCGGCATTGAGCGCATCGTGCTCGGAAGTAATGAGCTCTCTGACTCCCTTCAAGTAACCGTCCGTGTCTCGTAACATGCTCTGGACCGCCGACTCGAAGCGGGCAAGAGGCTCTTTGGACGATTCCGGATGTATGAGGGTTCCAAAGCCGTGAGCGTTCGAGATGGGAAAGTACGCCTCGTAGCCTTCCTTGTTCGTGTAAAAGTCGCCCGCAATCGCAATGATGTTACTGAAATTCAAGTCGACGTCCCCTTCTTTAGTATTCACAGTCACCAGAGCCTCTTCATTTGGTAGCTTATCTTCATGGATACTAAACAGTTCCACGAAGCGAGCTGTCTCTTCGTGTTCAGCAGCTACACAGTCATTATCATATACAAATTGAATAAGCAGGTGTATCATACCTTCTAGCCAATATCCTCGAAAAGGCTTTTTGTTCGGAACATGACTGTTGACTGTATACTCGCAGTCTTCGCCTGCAATCTTTGGTGGGTTAAGGTATCCAAGCTCTTGGAGTTTCTGCTGGAGAGCTTCGCTGGAGCTTTCCGCAGCTGTGGGTGTGGCTGCCATACTTGCCGCCTTGTCAAAAGAGTTGATCTTCGTACCACCTCACGAGCTGTAAAGTCGAGCCGAAGCAGAACTTATACAAAACGCTCCTCATGCTGAGGGTACTGAATGGCTTTTTCCAGCTAGGCGACCATATCTTTCGAGCTGTATGGCATATGCCAGTGCAGATGCATCGCTAGCGTGTTCACATCGTAGTTGTGAGTTCTGTCCACGCAACTTGAGGCCTAGACTGTTGTCGACGAACCTAAAAGAATAACACCATCCTAAAAGAGGTCGCCAAACTGCCGACAGCTGTCAGCCTCACCTGCGTGGCTTGCGCGACTAAGGGAATCGAGCGGCCTAATCGAGGAAGGGGTACGGGCCGCAACCTAATTCAGCTTCCCCTCCCATCGCTCAGCCCCGTACATGGACGCAGCTTCCATACCCGATGAGCTTCAAACCAGAACTGTCCATGGAGATCCGTCTAGAGCCCCAAGTGTTTGCGCGACCAGGCGAAGCGAGTGGCTTAAGCGAGGGCCGAATACGGGCCGCACCCTGATTCAGCTTGCGCCCGCATCGCTCAGCTCCGTACAAAGACGCCGCTTCCATCTTCGATAATTTCTAAGCCAGATCTGTCTTTGGAGATCTGTCTAGAGCCCTAATTGCTTGCACGATAGAGCCGAGGAACGAGAGCCCAGATGGGGCTGATGGTTGAAGGCGGGCAGATGATTGCCCGACCCTTCGTGCTGCACCTACAACTGTGTATATATGTAAGTGTATCCTGTCGGCAATGCTTGTGGATAAGCTTTGCAGCAAAACTCATACTTGTACACCTTAAATCGCATCACACATACAGACACATCAATTCTTTTCCAAGACATGGCAATCGAACTTCAAACCACTATTGCTACGAGCAAGGAGCGAACTTTGGGCCGGCAGAAGGTATGTTTGCGAATTAGTGGAACTCTTGGTTATCTTTATATCTAAATCCTCCAAAGGCACAGAATGATGCGAGCTCCGACAGTGTTAAGCCGACGGAGGTATTCAAGAAGTACTTTGGTGGCATCTGGGTGAAGATCATTAACAAAACCCAATTCCACCTTAGCTATGTACCCGGCGACCTGGACTACGGGGAGATGATCAATGGCCCGCCCGACGCCGATGCATGGAGCACCGGAGGTTTCGGCATTGGAGGCAATACATTCCTCGGTGTGGGTGTGAGACCGAAGGGTGGAATACAGATGCGCTTGAAGCTGGATGATGGTCACAATTTTGACTTTACCCTCGTAAGCTTGAACTCTCGACGCTTATAGCTGAGCGATCGACATGCTGAGAATCAACTATAGGGACTCTCATCGGCACTGGTGGGTAACTACAATGCGGCTTTGGTCAAAGGCCACGACCGGGGCGCTGCCGTCAGGGCGCTGAACGCAGCTGGTGGTGATATCTCATCTGACAAGTACGAGGGAGTCATGGGCGATATCAAGCATACGAAGACTCAGTTCACTATCAAGGTAGTCACCGCGCCCGGCTACGAGATGATTTTGGCGATCTCCCAGGACGAGTGAAGTCTCGGCATTCCGCAGCGGTGTGTCCTAGTGTGTACAACCACGTCAGAGTTGTGTACGACCTCTGCGTACTGCGAGGATGTTTGGAGGATTTTGGTTAACATGACGCAAGGATGCCCTAGTAGATTGCGCAAGATGTCAGATGTTGTTCTCATTACTGTACTGGAAAGACAGTTTCCAGAGCTGCGGAGTTTGGGTGTTTTGGGAGTGCAAGTACAAGTATAGTAAGGCATTTACTACTAATTCGCTTAGGTGCAAGTAGTCCGATTAAGGGTCATCACCATGCTTACGTCTCTCGTGTCTCCTTCTCGCTTCCACATTAACGCATTGATGTCCAAGATTTGGGAACTTCTATGTTTCGCTATATTGTCTTCCTATTCTTCCCTTGAGAGACTTCGCTATGTCCCTGCCTGCCTCTTTGGCCCCTAGGGTTGCCCGCACCAGGAAACCCCACGAAGTCCCGCCCAGTGACATTGAACCTTTCTTCTGCAGTCGCTAGCATCAGTGGCCATGCTGCGTAAGTCAATTACACGGCTGCATGTACGTTCCAAGATACTTCCATGCACCATCGACGAAACTAAGGTCTGTCCGGATTCGTCATCGATGTTGGTGTCGTTGGTGACGTTAGCTTTGTCAGTGAGACTCCCGCTGTGTCCGCCACCATGAAACGTCAAGGTTATCCCACCATCTCTGTCGTTTAGGTTCCTACCACTCTCAAGTACGCCGTTACTAACAGCGCATCGCAATGTCAGGCCACAATTGGCTGAGTCCCAGAGGCCGATGCAAGCATCACTGACTGGTTGGAGCAACGTCTTATTGCATATCAAGTCCAAGAATCTTAGAATTTTGGAGGTGCAAGACGAGGCGACAGCAGTGAAAGTAGTATAGAGCACCTCGATCAGATCAGTTCTGCCAAGACTGCAACAGAAGCAGTCAACGCCATCGGACGCGCAGTGCTCGGCGAATCGAGCAAACTGAAAGTCAGTCTGGTAGACATTATCCTGCCTTACACACTCCGGAGTCATACAAATTTATCTCACTAGTGAAGGTGGGACTATGCAACTGGATCGTGATAGATTTTGCTGCTTACGTCTCCCTCCTTTTGATTCGAAAGTCTCGGAGTATCGAAGAGCCCATCGGTCTAGTAGTAGGTGGGTCGAAGTTGGTACCAGCCAAGCTACAAGAAGCTTTGTCGAAGCCTGTTTGAGAAGCCTTGATTTAGCTAGGTATCTGCGTAGTCTCCCTCACCTATCATGTAGCTTCCTGCATTAGCATCACATATCATAGAGTAAAGACAAAGAATATCTGCACGCTGAACAAAGCGTTCGCACAGAGTCACTACAATCGAGATTCAGATCTATTACCATGCACTCAGAAATCATGACTATCAATCCATCTTATAAGCTTACGTCGTGTTGCCAAGTCGCCAGCCTATTTTATCGCCTGTTACCTCCGCATTGGGGACGGAAGTTGACTTTTCGATGTGAATTGCTATTTCAAGATCCATATGCGGATAGAGCGAAGGTATCACGCAACTTAGAGAATGCGTTACTATCACTTCATCAAATGCACCAAAGATTCGTATTACGTTATTCAAACAATCGAGTGTTGGGATGACATCAAGAGGATAGAAGAAACGATTGAAAAGACTTCCGAAGAACCACTTGAGGATCTCTACGATGATATCCCCAGATGTACAGACAACAAGAACCTGTTCTCGATCAAGTGCGAGCTTCAAGGCTGTTACATGGATGATGCATTCACAAAGGAATTGTAGGTCGCGGTTCAGTCTTGTGCGCGTTATTGAGTGCGCGCGCGCCTTGCTGGTGTTGCGAGGCCATTCGGTTGGCCGCCTGCACCGCTCGGTAGGCTGCACTGCCCAGTTGGATGCCTTACTCGGGTGGCTGCATGTAGAGGTTTCGTATAGGCTCTGCCGCTTTTATTGGAAGCGTTGCTCGGTTGGATGGTAATGTTATATAGACTTCCCCTTGTTCCCGCTTTTCGTGCCATGCCCTGTTCTGCTCCTGATCTTCGCTTCTTCTTGTTGTCAACCTTGGAAAGTGGCACACCCGACCAGAACAGAGGCTCCATCGCAGAAGTCCGATCAGCCTTCTAAGGTGCGTGGTGCTAGGGGGTCCCACGTCAATTCATCGGCTCCAGCCTAGCGCTTGATCCTAGTCGCATCCTGCGAACGGTCGCAAACGACGCTACTCTAGCTTCTGAGTCGACAACATGAAGCTTCGATACGCCCTGGGGGTAATCTATGCCTCGACTTTGTCGCTTTCAGGCGTATGCGCCATTGAGCTGGACGTCGATTCACCAGGTAGGTATCTGGACTAACTATGGCTCCTCCGGATAGCGCTGATATTCATAGATTCGATCAAGAATGCTGCAAAAGCACTCTCGACGAACCTACGGAAGTATTACACTGGCGACAGGCTAGGCGACGTCCCTGGCAATCTTCCAGATCCGTATTATTGGTGGGAATGCGGTGCTATGTTCAACGCGTTCATCGATTACTGGTATTATACTGGAGACGACCAATACAATGCTATTACAGAGCAAGCGCTGCAGCATCAGATTGGGGACTACAACGCTTTTATGCCGCCAAATCAGACTAGAACCCTTGGAAACGACGATCAAGCATTTTGGGGCATGGCCGCCATGTCAGCCGCTGAGAATAGATTACCTGACGTCAAAGACGGACCTTCATGGCTCTCTCTCGCTCAAGCCGTGTTCCAAACTCAGCATAATCGATGGGATACAGAGAAATGCGGTGGCGGGTTCAAGTGGCAGATCTTTTTCACGAATCCCGGATACACCTATAAGAACACGATCTCTAATGGATGCTTCTTCAATATCGCTGCACGTCTATATAAGTATCTTGGAAACGATACGTACTCTGATTGGGCCGAAAAGACTTGGGAGTGGGAGCAGTCCATCGGACTCATAAGCTCAGATTTCCATTTCTTCGATGGCACCGGCGACGCTGAGAACTGCACTTCTATCAAGAAAATTCAATGGACCTACAATGCCGGCGTGCACATCTCTGGTGCTGCTGCGATGTGGAATGTTGTACGTATACGACAGCTTTGGCTTACTGAAAAGGCGCACGTCTGCTAACATGAATCAGACTCAAAATCAGCTATGGAAAGATAGGGTTCAAGGCATCCTCAATGGACTTGACGTCTTCTTCAAGGATGGTGTCATGACGGAAGTCGCATGTGAGAACAATGGCATGTGCAACCTCGACCAGCGTTCCTTTAAAGCATATCTCGCCCGCTGGTTAGGATACACGGCCATCGTCGCGCCATGGACGCGCGAGCAGGCCAGTTGCGACTATACTCAATGCACGTAAAACATATGCTGATGTCGTATCTTCACATTCACAGATCGACCCATTGCTTAAAGCCTCAGCAAAGGCGGCTGCAGCACAGTGTAATGCTGGTGCAGACCAGGTGTCGTGCGGTCTCCGATGGACGAAAAATGGCATAAATGACGGCAGTTTTGGTGCCGGTGAACAGATGGCTGCGTTGGAAATAGTCCAGGCACTGCTTTATCCCACTGTGGATGGTCCGGCTACTACTGAAAGAGGTGGTATTTCGCAGAGCAATCCAAACGCTGGAATCGAGGCGCCTAACGACGATGGTTCTATTCATTTCGATTCTATCAGTACTAGAGATCGGGTTGGCGCAAGTGTCTTGACTGTTCTTGTGGTGGGTGGTTCGCTTGTCGGTGCTTGGTGGATGGTTTCGTAGTTAGTATGCATGCTCAGTGACGGCTCGCTCTACTACGATGTACGTACAGCGAACGCAGTATGAATCAAATCGCGAGGGGAACTAGCAATAGCGACGCTATCGACTTGCTAAAAGAAACTTTGAACTGCTTCACGCTGTGGAGTGCACCATAGCTAACCCGCGATGCTGTATAGGCATGTGAGTGCCTTCGCCGTCACACCTTGGTCTCTCGCATCGTAAATGCACGGCTACGGGAGGACCATAGCCAACATAACTCGTAGTTGACTCGCAAGTGTGTAGCCTTCTCGAGTAATGTGTGGATCAGATTGTGGAACAAAGTAGCGTGTAGGTTCCCTATGGGCGGCATAGAAATTGGTGACTGCGAGAGTTAGTGCACGAGTTCATACCGATTTTAGAACTATAGAAAAAACAAAAGAGTTATACAAGGCTTCTGTAATACAGTTTCGACACCTTGAAAGTCAAAAAGCAATATGCATCGTTCTCTTCTCATGTCATCGTTATATTCCAGTACCAAGTGAAGTGAAGGTAGGCAGCTCACCACAATATTCCCTCTAACCAAAAGCCATCCCAGGAGCAGACAAGGACACAGGGTCAATCAAAGGCTCGTACTCTCTCCGCCTTGTCTGAAACGTATGTACAGGGTCATGTATGCTTCTCGTCCACCTTGCAGGAGCTTCACCATCTTCTGTGTCTGTAGTTTCACGTTCCAATCCGTCGCATCGAAATCCCTGCCGTCGCAATTTGCTTTGGGTGCGATGCACGATCTCTTCGTCCATGGCTATGGTATTCAACAACGCTATTTCGCGTGCTTGTCGAGCTTGGAGAAGCATGCGATCAGTCATGCGGACGAAGTCGCGGCGCTCGCCAAGGTAGGGCCGTAGCAGTTCGTCGACCCGGTATGAAATCATGAACTCGTTGAGCTTATCATAGACGTCACCGTATCGAATGGGCCAGGGAGCACATCTCTGCTCCGCCGCATTTCGTAGGTCATTCTGTTCCCATTCTCTTTGCATAAGATATGATGTCATGTCTGCAGCGATGGCGAAGGCCCTGCGCCTATACGGGAGTTGCGCAAGAAACGGGTGGTTCCAGAGCGGATGATGAGGAGACGCTGCATCTGGACAGGCAGATGTCATAGCGAGATACATGGCCCTGGCGTTCGGATGGAGGTCGGCGACAACTGGGTCGTTCCATGCCTCACGTTGTTGTGACGGTACGTCTGGTCTGATAAGTAGTGTGGTGAAACAACTAGCCCTGTCATCGATCGAGAGGCCTGCTAGGCTCGGTAAGTTCCATGCCGGCTGCGGAGGTTGTGTGATGTATTGCATCATAGTGAAGGGGATGTTCAAATGACTTGTGGGATTCGTGATCGGTTGTACCGTGACAGGCTGAGTGCTACGTTCGTCGTCTCGAGGTACGTGTTGATCGGCGGACTCGGCCGTCGTCATCGTGCTGGGACCAGCGACCGTAGGACCACTCGACACTGTTTGAGGTTCCGCATGAGATGGTAGAGGAAGAGTGGCCGAGGATGAATCTGTTGCTCTATTCCTGGGGTGGGAGTGTTGACCGCTAGTATCGATAGCGTGTGGATTACTTGCATGTGCAGCAATCGAATGCTCTTGCGATTCCGCCCAACAAGCTTCATATCCTTCTGGGGCTCGTCCTTGTGCTAACTCGGGAAGAATCGTGTTAAATTGGCCGGGGTGAGTTTGCTCCTGTTCAGTTGTACAAGGACCATCGGGCGTAGGTGAGGCCGCATTTGGGGACCGCGACAGCTGCGCGCTCTGATCAGTCACTGGAGGACCTTCTGGATCTTGTTGTGACTGCATCCTGGACCAAGCAACTTCCAATACCTCAGTGCTGTTTTTGAGTGAATGTTCCGGGCGGTAAAGAGAGCTCGTAGTGCCCTCCTCTGTACGCCGCCGTGAGACGCAGTTGCCTGTATGGCTGAAGCTGGAACTGCGACAGCAAGTAAGCGAAAGATGAATATGACGTGATATCGATAGAGGTGAAGGTGAATAACTCTCGTCGTAGAGTAGCGATGTAAGCGTCGGGCAATGCAGCTTGGGGATGTTGTGTTGATGGCGCGGAAAGAGGTGCAGGTGGTTCTGAGAACCTGCCACATGTCGAGGTAGGCGCCGTCGCATCGCGCATCCCACTCTTGCAACGGCAAGGAAGGTTCAATTTACGTAGTAGCATCCTACTCCATCTGCGTTGGACCAGGTAAAGAAGGAGATTGGCAACGGCACAGATGCACAGACTCAAAGATTAAACATGTATATCTATAAAACTGTAATCAAACTAGTAAGGAAGAATTTGAACAAATTGTCCGGATACTTAAGACAGCTGTGAGATCTACAAAGCCCAAGCGGCAAGAGCACCGAGCATAGATATTGCCATAGCGATTGAGTTGATCGACGACACGGAAGTAAAGGTCCCTGCACCAGTCGCAGTAGCATTGTTAACGGCTGATACAACGTCGATGGGAGCAGGGAATGAAGAGTTCGCGCTACCTGCAGGGCAGGTGAGGTTCCAGCGAGGAGTGGTGCTTAGATCGTCGGTGACGGCGAACTTGACTTCGTTCGCTGGATTGGCGTCGCGAAGGGTATACCAAAAGACATTTTCTCTACCGAAGAGCCGGCAACCGATTTCTCGCCAATATGTAGCAGCATTGTCAACAGTAGACTACAGAAAGGTTACCAAGTTAGTACATGTCTTCCATGTGTCTTGTGTAGTCACAACTCACCTCAGCATTAGCCCACTCTGGGCCACTGTATGGCCAACCAGTTTCGGTGATCCAAACGTCTTTGTCGCGAACAGCACGCTCTGTGGCAGTCAAGGCGCCATTAAAAATAGCAGCTGCATTCTCAATGCTGTTGTCGACAGGGTCCACATAGAAGGGAAAGATGTTGACGGAAACGAAATCGACCTCATCAACAACAGCGGCGTTGGAGCTGTTCACCCAGGCGTCCCAGGCGTCGACGTGAGTATAAGGCTTGTCTGCGAGCGCCGTATTGTTCAAACGCGCGCGAGCCTCCCTGATGAAGCGCACGATAGTATCCGGTCCGTTTCCGATTCCGGCGTCATTCCTCTCGCCAGATTTTGAGGCTCGATAGAGGTCCTCGCTACCAACAGAGATACCCACGACCAGATCCGCCAGATCCGAGCCATGCTCTTCGAGTGCTGCTTCAAGCGCATTGAGTTCGTTGTCAATGCTGTCGGTCCCCGAAGCCCAGATGCCTAGAAGAAGGCTTGTGTTCGTCGCAACTGCAGCCGATAATGCAGTGATTGGTGTATCCTGGGTCTCCCATTGGACATTGGAATACAAGCGGATGGTGTTAATTCCCTCAGGTGCACCTTCCAAATTCTGCGCAGTCCTGAATTCACGCTCGAAGTCTTCCTGTGTCTTAGGATTACCCTGGTCATCGGAGGCGCCAGAGTTAAAACCCACGATAGGACTTTGAGCAGCTGCACAGCTCAATGATGCTGCGATGCTGAGTGCTGATGAAATACGCATGTTTGCAAAGAGTGAAATATAGTTGGTGACAGGCGGGAAAGTAGAAGAGAAGAACGTGTATCAGAGTCAATATTGTGCCACGACAGCTGTTTAATTAGGAACAGTAGAGATTACTTATTGCCATGTTTGTCTACGATGGGTGCCAAGCATTGCATGAGATATGGACCGCATCTCGGAGGTATTCGCGGATATTTGTGGTAGTTGTTAGTGATTCAATTGGACCTTTGCGACCTGGTCTATCTAGGCAAAGCTCCGTGCCAACTCGCTAGGAAACTTTAACGTTCGCGTACTGCCGCACTGAAATTCGCGTCACTACGACTTGTAGCAGGATGTGGGGTGTGTGTATATGTGGGGAGGCAGTGGGGTTTAGTCCGGCGGTGCGGAGATGAACCATTGAGAAGCGATCAAGATCTCGTATTGATGCACAGAATGATGTCTCGGGTGCCCAAGGCACGTGACCGTGATTGACAAGAGCAGAACAAATCCTCTCATCTTAGAAATGGTCCAATACTGAATCTCGCAGAGCTGAGTTGGGCATCGTGATAGTTCCGTAGAGCAGATCTTGTGATTACTCATCCAGGCACTTGCGGCAGCACTCCAGCATCGGGCCGGTCATCTTTGATTCCGACTCCGCACATCGTCTCAGCGGTGGTTGCAGCATATCATCTTGCTTGGTATCAAATGCGACCCTAGGGGATGGCCATATTCGTTTTCTTGGCAATAGCGTTGGAGAGTTCCGTCCCGCGTTTCTACTTGATGTCAGTTGTATCGTTTTTTAATCTCTCGATCGGTACGTCTTGGCTGGGCGTATCGGATGCCCCTACGTTTCTATGGGCTGCAACGCTGACGGGGGATGTGGCAATCTGAGCTCACCAAGACGTAGGAAAGAATGACTCGAGTGCTCTGCTCAAGGTTTTGAGCTCACCAATGTTGCATCGATCGCACGAAATAGCTGCCCACCATGGCATCATCGTGATAGTACTGAATTGCTTTGAACAGGGTCGCGTTCCTGATATTGACATATCAGTCACTGGTAGCAGAGAATTTGTCCGTGTTGATGTCGAGCAACCTGATCGCGTGCCGTATCGCACACGCGGATGTCGCTTCTGTATGCCTTGTGATCGCCGCCCTTGGTATCATAGTCGCACATCTATTGATGCTCGTCAGTGAGGATTGATCTCTCCTTCAAAGAACGTCGGTGATATCAATGTAACAAAAACTTCTCGGTTTGAGACCTTAAGCGTGGGTTGCTTCCAGAGTGAAGCGATGCAGATTTGGGATAACGGTATGGCTCCAGCTTGCCATGAGGCGCGCAACGGTCTGGAGCGGAAAGCTCGCGTCCATCAAGCTACCTGGGTATGACAATGCAACCGTGAAGGATTTCGACGAACAGATATGTCCCATCTTGCTTTTCTATGGTTTCGCAACAAGCATTGAGTTCGTGGTTTGGTGTTCTAGTCAGGAACACCAACGATAACTACAAATGTCGCCCGAAGCCGCCCCACCATCCTTACGTCATCGATCTTCGCTCAGACCCGTGCGTGTGCTCATGCATCCAACATACCCTTCTTCGCCTTGACTCTGCGCAATAGTGTCTTCCATCCCATATAGCCATGTCCGCCCTTCTCCACTCCGTCTACCAATCTCGCTTTTGCTTCCGTGTACCATACCCACCAGACTGATTAATGGCACACCATGTTAGCCTAACCGCCAGAAGGACCTGCATCGGAATTGCACTTACTGGTCAAGACCACTGCGGTCAATGGAATTGCAATAACCCACATCAACCAAAAGTCGCGCGACACCGTGAGGCGATACGGTCGTTCATCCTGAAGTTTCATGAACTGGCTTCCGAAGATCGAAGCGACTGTGCCTAGCGGCATGAACACAAGCGTCATCACCGCAATAGTCTTCATACTCTGATTCTCCGACTGCATCAACTTGCTGTCACCCTGCGTGACGATGTTGAATGACATCTCGATGATGTTCGAGAGCCTCGCATTCAGACTCGCAAGCCGTCGCTGCGTCGACTCAAACAGGGTCTTTCTGTATTTGAGTGCCTGCCGAGTATGACTTTGCGGCATCTCTGGACTTTCACCTGTCGCTACCTTGTGATGGCTATAAAGATCATTCAGGGTAGCCAAGGCTGCTTCGCAATTCTCACGCAGATACAATGTATGTTTCGTGAGGGTGTGCAGCTCCGTGAAGAAGTGTTTCGGCAATTCCTCAGCTGCTTTCCCCGGTTTACTTGCGATTCCTGAAATTTGCTAACGGAACATTAGCATGAATGGTATTACGTGGTAGACAGGAGGGGTTCGATATACCGTTTCCAAGGGTCCAAACGTGTCAGCTATGGCCCAGGCAGTCCAATCCAGGATCTTGTACATCTCCTCGAACACAATCTCCAGCAATACATACGGATCGTTGAGCAATTCATCGCACGTGGTTGACGCTGTAAGTGCTCGGATTCTATCATGCAGCGTGCTAGGGGCGCCAAAACATACCAGCTCTACTCTGGCTTTGACTGGTATAGCGGCCAAGGTATCATCACTATCTGATGTCGACGTTCGCACTGGCTTTGGCAATGTCGTTGATGGCTTTCTGATTCTCAGCACAATACCTGGCTTCAACCAGGTGAAGTGTGTTCGACTCGGAGGCTGTACCGTCTTCCGACCTTCAGCTGCTTCGGCCGGCGCGTTCGTGTTCTCGGGTATAGCAAGCGTATTGCACAAGAGGTGAAACCATATGCACATCGAGCCATCCAGATCTTCTCGTGCAGCAAATGACTGCGAAACAGCTCGTAAGCTCTCATCCACGAATGCGCTTGGAATACTGCATGTGTCGAACAGCTCAATCAGTGCTTCAGTTGTCCCTGGTGCAGGCGTATCCCGGGGTGCAAAGCTAACACTGTCAGCATCTACGTTGTGGCTAACGGACATCCTCACATCACACGGACAGCTCCCTCACTTTCCGACTCGAGCTCTTGCACAGACTTCAGATCACACTTATCAACACCTTGAGCGGCATTTTCGCGCCATTCGAACAGGTCCAGTGTTATGCCAGTACTCGTCCTACCCCGCTGGGTCGCCGCGAATAACGAAGCTCTTCTTTCAAATTCGTCCAAAGGCTTGCGATCGGCAGTCAAACCTCTGAAAGAGCTCATGTTTCGGCGTGGTCCTATTGAAGGTGGTTTGCTGAATTGAGCGTGCGAACAGTCGGTCTGTGAGGATGGTTGGGAAGATGTCGCACGCTCATATTACAGCGATACTGTACCGGTAGCGACAGCTCGCAGGCTCGAAAGCCATCGCTCAACTCGAGCACTATCCAAGGCGACTGCTGCCTCGTCTTCCCTAGTCACCAAAAAAGGTCGAGTCCAGCGCCACAAGTTTCGACCATAGCCGTGTACCATGTCAGGCGGAATTTTGGCTCGAAAATTCGGGCCATGAGACCACAGGCCAGCGGTTCAGTGCTTGGCATTTTCCAGCTTCGGCCAGAAGTGGACATGCAATTTCGAGAGCTGAGAGAAAAAGTCCGAGCGGACCTATCGGGATGAGCCGTCAGGGTTACGCTTAATTGGTGGCGCAAGGCTGAAAATGCCAAGGTGGCAGCTGGCAAACATCGAACCCCTCCAAGTGGTACTGTACACGAGGTCGCGACCGATCTGTCGCATCCGTCCAGCACCAGAAGAGCATTCACTCCACTACGCCGGGTGTATCCGCGCGTCAATCCTGTGGCTTATCGATATCACCCCTTCAAGTACGAGTTACGAAGTGGTGTGGACGCGGCTTTATGTTGACACAGCTAAACTCCTAAGAGAGCTGTCCATACCAGCTTGCATCAATGCCGACGGCAAAAGGCGCACAGTCGTAGCGCTCTCTATTCGCTTCATACTGTCACATGGAGAATCATTCTGCATGGCGTAGGCATGAAAGTCTCGCCGAACAATCTTAAACGACTAGGGTAGCCGAAGATGTAGAACTACTGGATGCGCACACTGCAGCAACGCTGCCAAGGTCAATACGTTGCAGATATCATGCCAAAACGGCCCCCAACGGTTCCTTTCGTCGCATGGTACTGGATGTTACATCGTCGTGGTCTCGACCCTTTCAATTCGTACCTTGCCCTACAGAGCCTGTCTCGAACGCCACAATGCCTCGATGGGAAGAGTGGAGTGATCAGGCAATACGAAGCGACCAATAGAAACACCCTCTGCGCGGGCTGAAGTCGAGGGTACACCCAAAAGCAAGTGTTGTAGATATCTGCGCATTCGAACGGGCGCTACACCCTCGTACTAATCAAGCATTAGTCCGAACAGCAAGCTAAATATGAGAGTACCATACACTATCGTCCGCCGAAGTTGAATTCAAACTTAGTCCCAGATTCACTGCGGCTGTATCTGAGAGAGAATCGAATGGTATAAAGACTCTACGACCTCTGGAACCTTTATTGGCTTTACTAACACCCATCAGGCTTACCCCTCCAATCTCTCTGGCAAACACGGCGGCGGCTTCGATCCCAACAGTAACACTTCTATGCAAGTACCCTCGTCGCAACAATTCTATCCAGTGAGTTCGCCATCAACCTTCTACATGACTCTCTCGATCTGACAATTCTTATCAGACCCAGTTACATCACGGTGGCGGAGGTGCTTACGATCCAAACAATCCCACAAAGCCTGTCGTTGTAGTGCAGCATCAACCAGTATCACAACTACAGCCTACATTCTCACCCCAAGTACGTATCCTTTTCCCTGTTCTTAGTCATTACCCTGATAGAAGTAAAGACACAAGCCACAAACTACTACCAGCCTTATCAACAGTATCATCAACCTCCACCGCAGGGCGCAAGCAACCAGCCGGGATTCATTACTCAGCTGTGTGGTTGTTTCAAGTGAATAGATCGACACTACCATCACCATGGTCGCGAATGACGCTCAAGCATCAGTTCGCGAGATCGCGCCATATGAACATGCTGCTCCGTACCAAGGTGACAATGGAGCAAACGAAAAACAACCAGGCGTCTCGTCTATAGTGGTTAGTTGACCCATTTTCTTCCTTCATTCGTCGGCTGACATGACGCAGCGCAACGGCCCGATAGAGCTGAAAGGATATTCGTACATCTTCTCACCCATCACTACGGTGAAATGGGGGTTTCCGAACTTCTATCGCAAGCCAGGACTTGGATATCAGAAGCTTGGCCAACACCGTCACCGCGACTGCTTTGATCGCGAATGGACGGGCGATTATGATGATCGATACATCTCATCCTGGGATGGCCAGGTTTCTAAGCTCGTTGTACAAGCCGTCGACGATATCTTCGAAAACAACACGGGATCTACGTACCGGAAAACATTCATCCGCAACATTGCGCCAGTGTATTTGCGACTGGCCAACTGGCCCTTCAAACACATTGACTTTGCGCGGCTCAATGGGAAGATTCCTAGTGAAGACTACCCTATGCTTTGCCTCAAATGGTTCATCGCATCGTGTATGATCACGATATTTGCAAGTTGACTCTCCTCTTGGCTATGAGATACGACTAATGGTAGTTCAGATCTCTAGTCCAAGCCCTGCTGAGATAGCTTCACGAAACGGGGGCAACTACGATCCCGTGCCATATCAGTACTTTGGGTACCCAAAAGTCGCCAAAAACGCGATCGAAATGCATAAACCCAAAGGTCTCGCGTCGAGTGAGGCCAACCCTATCGCTGAACGTGTCTTGCGTCCCAGATATCTCTGCTTCTTGCGCGAGGAAGGTAAGCCGGCGATGATCATAAAGGTCGAAGATTGGTAAGTCGACAAGGCACATGCCATCAGTAAACCTCTGACATCTCCAGGCTGGCACAACAAAGCGGTCACAGTCTATCATATGTCTTTATCGCATACACCGCCGAGCAGTTCAACACGCCCAATGACTTTAGGGTCTTACATGAGATTGCCGACGCCGCGGCGCGCAACGCGGGTGTCATTGCATACTGGGTCGGATGTTCTTGTATGCCTGACAACCAACTCGAGGAGGACGTGTATCGTATATGCGACGTCATTCGAGGCGCGCAGTCCCTCGTGATCGCAGTCACAGCTCCGGCAAACAACAGGTACGAGATCAACACACCTGATCTCATGCTTCAACAATGGGGTAGCCGAGTGTGGACTTTTCCGGAAGTTCTCTTAGCTCCTGCTGGTGAGATGATCAAAGTCTACGTGCGTGACAGCGATCTATCGCAGCCAATTCTGGTCGCAAAGAATCAGTTCGCTGCTCAAGTCTGGCACGACGACGCTCATGTCGCCCGACAGCTTATCGACCACTACGAAGGAAATCTGATCTTGAGCCAGCTTGAGCTCGTCACGCTTGCTCTCGAGTGCCTGCACAAGCGCCAGACTGGAGAGTATCTTCCCGGTGATCATAGCTACGCTCTGATGGGCTTGCTTCGCGTCAGGCCACAGATCGATCGTACGGACTCTGCGTTCCAAGCATTCGCGCGGTATGTAAAACAGCAAGTGCATTCGCATATCCTATCACTGATACCCCATAGTCTCTCCCTTGCGAACGGTAGCGACCAGCTACTGGAGCGTCTAATATGCATGCTGCCGAAGACGCCGGACCAACCGTGGCACTCGATGGACGATGCCTATAATGCCAAGCTCTGGGACATATTGCCTCAAGATGTCGGTATTGCCGGTGTTGGTGAAGACGATAGCATCATCCTTGACGGTTGCCGTGCCGCAAATGTACGGTGGAAGTCGTTCACACCAGTCGCTCACACTCGGCGCGACTCGTGGAAACGTCTGATCGCGAAGTTGATGCTGCGTCTCGGCGGTGTCGTGTTCATCGTTGCTATTGCACTCCTTGCTATCCCTTTCGCTACCTCGATATTGCGCGCCATCGGCGCCTTTTTGCTCATCTACTCACTGTTAATCATGGGCTTATCGCCATGGTTGCTTCGCTTGCTCTATCTTGGCAAGTTTTGGGAGCAACAATGCTGGTTTTTTGGCTTTGAGGGCTACATGGACCTGGAAACGATTGAGACCCAGATATTTGGTGGTAGACTAGGGCGCATGAAGTGGACCGTATGTGCGCTCTCATTCCATCCATAACGTTGTACTGATTCTGTTCTCGCACTTGTAGGCAGCGGCTAGTCCACTTTCCAGGCACGAGCGCAATGTTCATGGCGAATGTGTTCCTATCGATCCAACAACCGATCCTGCCGTTGCAGCTCTTGTACAACGAGCGAAATCAGCTGGGCCTGGAGAGCAGCGCCTCTTCACGCTCGTAGATACCGGTGAGTGCTGGTGGTAACATGAGCAGCGCGAAGAGGATACTAATTTGTCATAGGCAACATGACGGCGACTCTCTTCCTTGCCGAACGCCCACCCGTGTGTTTCCTTATGGCCGGCTCTGAGGGCGGTATGAAGCGCATCATTGGTTGCTCCTACGACTGGACCACGGCAACGATGTACCGAGAAACCGTGCTGCGAATAGGTACAGAGTTCGAGGACAAGATGTCGCGCATCGGACGTGTCAAGATTGGCTTCAAGCGCAAGCAGCATCCCTTCGGCCCGCTGTCCCAGGTTGGTGAGGCAGAAGGTAAGCAGTTGTAGTGGATATCGCCCCGGAATGCGTTATGATGTTATGTTGTGCTATCGCGTGAAGTTTTGATTGCGCATGAGTTTCAGCTGCGTTTTGTGGATGACGAATGGGAATTGTTGGTAGCCTGGCCCCTGTGTCCCACCATAGCGTTTGTGGGGATTTCTACTAGCTCAGATAGGGCGAGCCCGGTCATCTTAGTTTGGATCCGTGACGACAAAGGGCCGACTGTAGCGTGAGGACAATCTATCTTGATAATCACATAATCAATGCATTCGACACACCGCATCTCGTCCTAAAAACATCCACAAAAGAGATAACCGCGCCGTTCCATAGCACAAGACTTGTGCCTCTAAGCGACTGACCATGTATCATTTTGTTGCCCCACTCTTCTTGGTCTCTTCGGAGGGCCAAGCGAACAGGGCCGACCACCAGCTCAACAACATCGAAGCCGTGGCCACTAAGCAGCGCAGAAAAGTTCAGAATCGGAAGAACCAACGATTGCATCGTGAGTCTGGTCTCAAGCACCCTAGGCGTTTCTGAGCTGATTTCGATAAAGGGCTACGAAAGAAGAAGCCAAACGCGGCTTCTGCTCAAGCCTCGCGCCCATTCCAAGTTGACCGCTGGCGTTTGGACGAACTGGACGACTTGCTCATCGATGCTGAGGATTCCGCTACCAAGGAGCTCACTACCAAGGATGCGAATGTTGTCACCTCGACTGCTACTCCCAGAAGGACTGTGGTATTCCGGGACTCACTCTTATGCGTTTCGACCTTAGTTCCAACCACGCTCAATCCCCCGCCCATGGTCTTCCCTCTTTCCACCGACCACCTCCTCCATCTAGTCCAATACAATGTTTTTCGAGCTTTCGTCTCCAACAAGCGTACCCTGAATGCGCTTCTCAAAGGTTGGTCATACGACAAGCCTTATACAGAATGTCCTGTTTGTCCTATCAGTTTACCCTACACCGACGACACCAACATATATCCTTTGAACCCTAACATACCTTCGTCGCTATTCCCCACTCGCTTGCAGCAAGAGCGCACGCACTCGTCCTGGATCAATCTCTTTCCATTCCCTTCGCTACGAGACAATTTCATTAGGCACGAGGAACGACTCGATCACTGGGATCTGTTGGATGATCTTGTTGGGGAGCTTATGGGGAATATACCGACCCAGGAGCGACGAGGTACGTCAGCTGCTATCACTTTGTCTGATCCAAAGACTGCCCCGGAACAGCCGGTCGCAGCGGTAGGCAACGATGACGATGGGGTCACAGCGGGCCGCAGAGGACTTATAGTCTGGGGAGAGCCTCATGTTCAACAGAACTGGGAGGCTACGCCAGAGTTTCTGAAGAAGTGGTCGTGGGCAGTGCAAGGATGCGACGACCTGCTTGCCTCTAGTAACCGTTGGAGGTTGGCGAGAGGGGAAGAGCCTCTAAGTCTTCCGGCAATAGAAGACTTGTCTTTAAATTAGAAACGTCCGGATGCGGTCTAAGAAAGATGGCCTCCAGGATGCGATACTTGTTATTGCAAAGCCACGATAAGGCAGAGAGTAGGATATCGGAGGATTGGTCGCTGGTGTAAAAAGACATCTTGTCGCTATGTTATGAAGAACTAGAAGATACAATCAGATTCAGTGTCTCTGCAGAGATCCTACTCGTCATCCGGCAATCCTACGATCTTGAGCGAGTCTTCCCATAACCTTTGGGCCTTCTCTACATCATAAGCCCATGGGGCGTAGCCCGGTGCAGTGTACTTGTCATCGCCTTCCTTGTATGGCTCCGGCTCTGCGCAGTCAACCAAGTATTTGCCACCCCTGTTCTTCCAAGTCTCAGCAACGGCGGCCCACACCGTTGTCGCAGCACCCTGCTCGACACTCTTGATTGTAGGGTATACGTGATCCTGACCATCGAAAGCATCCGGAGGCAGATGCTGCATAAGTGCGGTCATAATAACGCCTGGATGGACGCTCGTGGCGTGAAGGTGGCGCGAGCCATATCGACGCTCAATCTCATTAGCCAAGTAGATATTCGCAGTCTTGGATTGGCCATAGGCCATGGTAGGGTGATAGTCGCCCTTCTGGAAGTTGTAGTTGTCGGAATCATTGATGCCGCAGATGTTGTGCGCTGAAGATGCGAGGCTGACGACGCGGGACGGGAGGCTAGGCGACGCGGCTCCTAGAAGGGCGGGTTCTAGAAGTTTGTAGAAGAGGAAGTGTGATAGATGGTTTGTGCCGAATTGAAGTTCGTGCCCATCAGCTGTGAAACGGAGATCTGGTATAGCCATGATTCCGGCATTGTTGACAAGGAGATGGATCTTTGAAGCCTTGCTAAGGATAGTCTCAGCGGCGGCCCGAACCGACGAGAGCTTCTCCTGGTCCATCTCGACGATGGTCATGCGTGAAGGCTCTAAGATACCCTCGAGGGCGGATTGAGCCTTAGCTGTGTTTCGGGCGGTAAGAAAGAGGGTCGCGCCAGTGGCTGCTAGAGCACGAGTAGTTTCGATGCCTATGCCAGAAGATGTACCAGTAATGACAATGACCTCTCCCTTGAGTGTGTTCTCAGCCTTTTCGTCCTTGATGATCTGCAAAGCTGTTGGACGCGCATCGCCTGGGCCTTTGGGCGAAACATGGGCCTGAGCGTAAGGAGACATTGTTTCAACGAGACTGAACTTGGATACAGAAGGTGGGTGTGGCTCGATTGTGATGAATTGGTGAGATCTTGAGTGATTGTGAAGTGTATCGATGGAAAGATGTTCTACAGGCTGGCAGGCTGGCAGGCTGTCCACATATATAGTGAAGGCACTGCACATAGTCACACATCGCCGGGTCGCCGCGGACTCGGCACTTACAAACCATCGCTCTCATAGGGGCAGAACACGACGAATGCTTACACCGCTGCTCCGTATGGGCGTGTCTGCTATGTCAGGTATTAAGTGCTAAATGCTCGATATATCACTTAAAATGAGTCTCAATACCTGGATACGTGGGGATACTCGGGCATCTAGCTGCGAGCTAGGCTAGAGGAAGCGACAATGTCATCCTGTGGGGCTAAGCTAGACCGCGAGTATGGCCGGGGAGACCCCGAAGTCAAGACGGACTAGGCTGGAAGGGGAGAAAATGTCATCTGCGCTAGTTGTAGATCGCGTAACGAATTTCGCCAAGAACTCAAAAGCCTTTGACGGATGCCGCTTTACATAACGTTATGTAAACATGTTATGTTGGTAAAGCACCATGCCAAAATAAACGTTAGCTGTAGAAAACACCATGTAGTGCCGTAAAGCAGAGGTGTCGGACAAGTAGATACTGTAACTCTGCAGGGGCTATAAGCTGGCATCAATCGCAACTCAATGTGCAATCACTGCATCAACTTTCTGGCTAACAGCATCCTGAACAAGACCTTCAATACTCAACACACGGCCACATACGACCTCGACATGGCTCTAGTTCCACCCACGACGAACCTCAGAGAGCAGATGGAGACCACAGCCCGAGCCTTCTTGTCGGCATTCGAAGAGGGCGCAGCTCACAGCGACCCATCAGTCATCAATCGTGATCTTACATCTGACTGCACACGTCATTTCCTCCCGGCAACTGTTATGAAAGCTTTCGGACTTGCGGCAGGTGCTTCCTTCGACACGAACGCTTTTCAAAGCATGTTCGGGAACGATATTAGAGTGCTGCACTTCAAGGATAACGTCATGTCCAACTTGGCCATTGACGTGGAGGCGCGCCGCGCCGCTTTCACAGCGAAAGCCGATGTGTTTGTCAGGAGCAGCGGGAAGACGTATTCCTCTGAGGCTGCTTGGTTTTTGTACTTCAATGAGGATGGGTCCAAGGTCAAGAAGGTGGTTGAGTTCTGCGACAAGGATGCTCTGTTGGAGATGGCAAGCGATGTGGCCGCTGCATAGGGAATGTAAAGATGAGTCAGATATAAGCTAGGGAGCTAGGAATGACAAGGACTCAGCTAGAATCAGTGATCTATCGCTCCAGAAATGTACTCTCGAGAACTTACATGACGTTGCGATCGTGTTGTGCTGGAGATAACGCACGGCGACGCGATTGCCGGCCACTGTCGATGCATCTTGGCTATACTCACTTGAAATTTCAACAAGCAAGTCAACGAGGGCTGGAAGTGTGAGAAGCAGAATCACGAATGGGCTGAGAATAAGAACAAAAATGGTGTGGAGCCAGCTCTTCGGTTTCCACCAATCCAAAGACATGACTGGCCATGTCGCACGCCGGTGATTGAACTGACTAGAGCGCAACATGGTTGCGAATCTCGGCCCGCTGGATATGAAAAATATATGCATTTGTGTGCACGATATGTCAAGCTGCCGGCTTCACATTCACACAGATCCACTTCATGATTGCATCAACTGTTCTCAAGTACGCATGGAGGGAATCAAGAAGTACATCTTGTCCTTTGCAATGAGCGATCGATTGCATATGTGTGCAGTCATTAGCGGTGCCTGGTAGAAGTGGCTGCATCGTAACGGCGACCACGGGTACCCCATTGTGGCATGATAAAGCGCAGTATGCGTCAGACGATGGCATGCATACACAAGACCAATACCTCGTCTGGCATTGCTGATCCAGGCGCTGGATCAGTAAATTACAACCCGTTTTACCTTGTCGCAATGTGCCGATGATACAAACGTGCTTGGTCTGTCGGACGGAGTACGTTGCGATTTGAGAGTAGAACTTAATCGAAGTATAAACCCACTCGCGCCAACCGCACACGACATTTCAGCTTGGGGAACAAGATCAAGATTGGGCCCAAGCTTGGGACTTAGATACTGCCCGTCAATAATCAAAAAGCTGAGCAGTCCCTTGCTACCTGCACAGCTTAACATATCCTATGTTCATGGCTTGACTACACGAAGCGACGGATAAGTGGCATGCAGATGGTCTCACGCCGAGGCTGTGGCTGCTTAGAATGCTACACTCCACTCTATTCGAATGTGGTGTTGCGCGTGCGACAGGTATGCAGATAGGATCACCAACGTGAAATTGCGCTACATGCGATCTTCATTGCTTATAGTGTTATAACGATGTGCGCATGAATAGTAGTTCAGCAAAGTCATGGCTCTGACAAGGGGGAGTCTGGGCGTCTGGGCGTAAGTCAACTGAACGGTGAAGCCGTGCAGCGTTCCAGATACAGTTCATTTCAGGAAAATGGTGTTGTTGCGGTAGAGCTAGATATGCAGCTGCTGGGTGATTGTATAGTGTTCATCCGGAATAGCTAGGGGTGGTACCCGCCTGCAAATCCCGTGTTGTGCTTTACACAAATGCCTTTCGAAACGCTGGCAGTAGGCACCGCACATAGGGTACCAAGTTGTATGCGAGGTTCGGCTATGCAAAGGCGCGTTGCAACTATGCGCAATACTGAGGCTACCTAACCCAGCAGATGATGATCCGACCGGCGACAGCAGCGTATCGACGATGGGACATGTGTGCAGGCAGACTCTCGGAATTCCGTCTTGCTTTAGTGATCACCTTGGTTCAAATCGGGAAAGAAGCCGACATGCAGGGTGGTATGGCTGCCAGCCACCAGAACTTTGACATTACGTAACGACATCCTCAAGCAGAGATTCAGTCAAGGGACTCAAGAAATCTTGCTGTAAGTAGGCGCATTGCTACGATGTTGCCACCCAAGGGTAGGAAGCACAGTATCGATCACCAGTGCGGGCCACCAGGTAGGTAGTAGTAGATGCCGGAGGGAACTATACTTCCCTTGTTGCCGAGGGTCTATCATAACAAGTGGAGCGAAGCCACTTGTTCCTGATGCCCGGTTCTACCCGCCGGGCCGAGCCCTACGTTAGATGTCGGTAAGCCGCAGGAAGCTAAAGCAGCCTCGCTAGCCATTGCGGTTACACCTGATGCAGATACGAACACCATTTCACACGAAACCCATTGGCCAGATGTAGTTAAGCGCTGCCTGTCATCGCCAACAAAAGCAAAATTTGGCGTCTAGATACTGGTAGCTCATCTGCACTCACTGTCACAGTGTGGAGGCTGACCCACATGCAGTAGGGGTTGTATACAACACCGTGTGGCTGTATCGGCACGAAGTTTGACGACTGATTCGATAGCTTCGTTGTTATCATATTTTCTAACTTTCACACCGACTTTGAAGATGCATAGTATGGTGCCCAAATGTACAGCTTCGCTTAGATGCAAAGAAAGTTGCGTTCACGAAACGGGGTTGGAGTTGGTGTGAACGATTTCTCAATTTTCCGCGATTATGCTATATATGCCGAGTTAGAGAACTGCGAAACATCTCGACTACCGGTCAAGAGTGGAGCATCTCACCCCTATTTCTCTTGTTGACGATCTTGCACATCAAGCACACACGGCACTCGCCATGAAGTTTCTTCTTACTATTAGACTTCCCTCTGTCTGTTCTGGGACGGGCCATTCCAGCTATGCTATCTTCAAAGATACTAGCTCTGCTCTTTCTATTCCGTTTGCCAGTGCAGAGGCATTCGACGTATGGATATGCGATGGCGAAGAGGTGACGGGTGACCTCATGGACAGCTGGCTCGCCCAAGCTTGCCATATACCCAAGTCGATGCTAGTGCGAGATGCCACTAGCATCCCACGCCTGCAGAGATACGCCAATGGCCGTGTAGCTCAGATGGTCGAATTCTCCGAGCGAATGCCAGACGACCCAACGAAAGAATGGGAAGAATCAGTGCTCCGAGATGCAGAGATGCTCTATGCCCGAGTCCGTGCCAATGTCGGAAGTCAAAGAGTCCTTGGCGATAAGACGGACTCTCAGCTTGGGAAAGAAACTGTCCTGCTAGTCGGGGCGGGTATCATGAATCTGATGACCGCTCATTTCTTAGCTGTGCGTGGCTACCGCATTCGAGTCGTCGACCAAGGGCCAGACCCTCGCTTTTGCCAACCCAAGGATCGGGCGCGGCTAGGCGTTACAAGCGGCGGTCATAACGCTCGCATGTTCACCAACACTGAAGCCGACAATTACAATGAGCAAGGCAGCGACATATACCGGGACATGCAGCCCATATTCCGGAATACTGTCCGCAATGGCGGATGGAGTGTGAAGTCGCCAAAAGACTTTTCTAGCAAAGAACAAGCTTGGGTCGACGCTTTTGAACGCATTCCGGGTTGGATGGCCGCGACCTTCAAGAAGAATATCCATGAGGTGAACTGTGAGTCCGGGAAGATCTGGCAAGAATTTATGAACACCTACCCGCAGCTGTTCAGTGACGTCGGCTTCCACAAGGACATTATACGCATGTATACGGAGCCAGTCGCCTTGGAATCATCCATCGGTCTGAACGGTAGACTTGGTGCGCTTCTCCAAGCTCCTAGTCCCGAGGAGTTCCTGGAGCAATATCCCAGCTTCCGCCCTGCCGCCGAGACCAATCATCTTGCCGGAGGCATCATTGTGGACGGTTTCACAGTGAACGTCCACCTATTCATGGCTAAGTTGATACATCACCTCGCTACCCTGGGCACAGAATTCGTGTGGGATTGCGAAGTCCAGAGTATCCAGCGCAACTCTGGAGGCGAAGTCATCATGCTCAAGTCAGAGAAGGGAGACCTGACGGCTGATCACTTCGTGATAAGTCCTGGTACAACAAAAATTGAACTGTTGAACGGAACGGCCTCGGAGAATCTTGTCCATGGTGTTTTAGGAATATGGTTGCAGATCCCTAATCTGAATCCGAAAATGCAGAATTCTATGAAAATCCATCGACGTGGCCACAAAGTAGAAGATGTCAACATCACCGTTGCCAATGATGCAGAAACTGGTGAAGACATTCTCATCTTTGGAGGTGGATACGGTTACGTCGGTCTAGATCGCCCAGCACCAGACTCGCCAGAGATGGAGGCTCTGTACGCCGAGCTTGAGGAGGTTGCACGAATTTACTTTCCGCAAAACTACGCTGCAGCAAGTAAGCGTGGCCCTATGGCCTTTTACCCGGGCGGATACCGTAAGTTCTGTGTGCGGCCTTTCACACCTACAGGCCTTGGTCTTTTCGAAAGAGTTCCTACCGCTGGTGGTGGTCAGCTGATCATTACTGGTGGTAACAACACGGGTGGCTTTGCACAGGCTCCTGCTGTGGGACGTGCAGTGTTGCGATCACTGATGGGCGAGGAAGATCCCATTCATGTGCTTTTCCACCCTGATCGCGGAAGACTCCCCTTCGCCAAGACCATTGATTTGCAAGTGCCATGCAACAGTTTAAGGCTCCAGGATAGTTTGAATACGAAAAAGCGAGAGCCATTGAAACTACTCCTGCTCTGCTCGGATGGTCCTCAGCATCGTTACCTCCGCTATCGTCTCGATCAAACCTTTCCTGGCTACCATTGCATCCAGGAAACAAGCTATGGGCAATTCCACCAGCTATTGAAAAAGCGCCGCATCGTTGATGCGTTCTGGCAGAAGTATCACGGGCTTCGCCGCCAGATCTTCGGTCACGACCGTCAGCGCAAGGCGTACTTCGACCGTCTTATACCTCAGGATCATGTATCGCCCGGACCGAACCTCGTCGTCGAGAGCGTCAATTGTCGTGACGTATGGGACGCAGTGGAAGAGTGGCAGCCCGAGCTGACCATTGTCTCAGGCACAAAGTATATCGGCAAGAAGCTGACCGCGCGTGCGGGGCTGATGATCAATATGCACACAGGCCATCTTCCTGAGTACAAGGGAAACCACTGCATCTTCTTTGCACTCTACGATGGCGCAGTCGATAAGGTCGCATCAACGCTACATCAGCTGACATCGAGTCTGGACGGTGGTGACGTCCTGGAGAAGGTCTTCCCGCCTATCTTGCCAGGAGATAATGAGGAAAGTCTGTACACGAGATGCCTAGAGATGTCGATAGATCGTTGCATAGATCACGTTGGGCGCTTTTCGGAAGGAGAGCAGCTGAGTTTCGTGCCACAGAAGGCGGAAGGGAGAACGTTTCGACATCGAGACCGTACCCCGATGAAGGAGTTGTGGTTATGGTGGAAATTGAACGTGAACGGCTTGCTTACTGGAATAGCTAGATCAAAGTTGGCTATCTCATAAAAGACGCTATTTCAATTTGGAATCGCGCCAAGAGCCGAGCGTTGGGGCCACTGTGTAGCGAGTGTCTCTAGAGGTCTGGCTAGCATGCACTTGAACCTCGTGTTCGAGAACACATATATGTATAGCGATGCCTTGATTTCAGTTCTTCTATGTAGACTGTTGAAGACCCCATGTGACCTCCAGAGTATTATGTGAAATAGTACCTAGATGCTTGCCTCCTTCTTCCACCTTCAATAAGCCATACAGCATGCTATGCGATCTTGATAGTAACCTTTCCGAGGTTCTTTTGGTCGAACATGTACTGATAGGCCTCTTTCAACTGTTCCAGACTGAACTCCTGTTTGTCAACAATAGGATGAATATTGTTGGCTTCGATAGCCTTATTCATGTCCTCAAACTGCACGCGAGAGCCAACAAGAAGACCTCTTACTGTGCACAGGTTACTCAAACAATCCAAGAATGTCGGCTGCTCCTTGGACGAGCTGCCAATAAAACCAATGATGGATATTACACCGTCGATGGCGACGGCTTTGAGCGACTGAGCAATGGTTGCGGGTCCACCATAAGATGTGAAGCGCAAAGTATTACCAATCGATCGATCGACTAGACCATAAGCATGGACGCAACAACAAGCGCCCTTCGAACCACTGCAGCCTAGCCGATGGTATAACCGAAGGGCGTTATAGGACGCCTTGAGAGCGATGCATATTCCGTGGCTTACTTCCGGAACACCGGTGTTCTCGGGAAGCGACAAGCCCGTGACATCGTGCGCATGCGTCGAAGGAGCTCTGAGTACAAAGGCAGCAAGTAGGCACAACACAAGAAAGCCATTCGCTCTGAAAATCATCCTACACCGTACGAGACCGCAGATTCAAGACTACAATGCCACCACGTGCTCTCTCCGTTCACCCCTACGTGTCGTTTCTCTCCGCCGCCTTTGGTGGCATGTTCCTGACAATTGGCTTGGCCTACATATTCTCCCCCCGCCGCGGCTATGAGCTATTCGGCTTCAGCGCTGCCCCCAGCACACCCGCTGCCTGGTCGCTACCAGAATGGGCGCTGATAGAGCGCATCATGGTTCTATACGGCGCAAAAGACGCTTTCGTGGGCGTTGCCATCCTAGCGGCGACATTGGCTGGAAATCGACGGAATGCGGGGTTGTTGCTAGTTGCGGCAGGGGCTTGTGCAGGCGTGGATGGGTGGGTGGTGAGAAAGGAAGCGGGAGGCGGGGAGTGGAATCATTGGGGGTATGGGAGTGTGATGGTTGGATTAGGCGGGGTTATGATGGGGGTGCTAGGTTGATGGGGTTGATGGAACGGCGGTGGCATTCAGATGCTTACGGGTTAAGACAATGGACTGCGAGGTTCCAAAGAGTGTCTGTAAAAGTGCGGTACATGATGATCTATCTGTGGAAGTTGTCCTTTGAGTAACTACGTAAATGGATTGTGATGACGAAGATGGACCCTTCGATCTTCCACGTGCAGTCGCGTGTGTTTAGCGCGACTTCGGGACAACGCGTCATGCCAGTCGCGTTCCGTCCCGCATCTCAAACGAAACCACACGTATATCTAGATAATCGCGATGGCCGATGTCTGGAGCGGTAAAATCGTGCTACCAGATAATAATGCCATCATCGGTACATATGATCGCTCTCCAGGGCTGCCGGGGCTAACGAACTTCAGAAATCAGCCTTGCGTCGCAAAACTTCGCGTCTTCACCTACCCTTCCTGCTACGTCTCTACACTTCCTAACCACCGTCGATACCTCCAAAATACCGCTGTATCTTGCCGCTGGACCCAGCCTAGATGTGTGGACAACAGAAGAAGCGACTCAAGCTTGGTTCGAGTCGATATTGTTGAGCAATCCCCCACCGGGAAAAACGACCAGCCATGATGTAAGACAGTGGTGGGACCTGGCGCGCTCGCAATCGCCAATTGGCATTCTTGTACAAGTTCAAAGAGGCGAAGAAGAAGATGTGCATAGGCCGAGAGTGACTGAGATACTTTTCTATGGCACTATTGCTGCTTCGTCAACAAGCGAGCTACCAACACCACCGTCCTCTTCGCCTTATGTCGATAATGCGCACGGCGAGGTCCTGCCTGAGCTCCGAGTACACGCTCTACCCCTATCGTCCGATTTGCTGCACACTACTGTCGACATTGCAGGCGACGCCGAACCGCATTTCCTCCCGCCAATACACAACTCCCATGTCCTCTTAAAATCACCGAAACGCAACCGCGACCTCTTCGAAGAAGCTACCATCCAATACAAGAAAGCACGGGGCCGAGGCGGACGCGCAGTTTCCGCAGCCGCAGCCCGTGTCAGCGAGTCCCAGAACGTATACACCCACCGCAAATCCTCCCTCTCCATCGATACAAAAGCCTCGTCCTATCCAGACTCCAGACCACCGTCTGCGTCCGACCACTTATCTCGACCTACATCGCACCGCATCTCTCGATCGCCAAGCCTCTCGTCCGATACAAGACCGCTGAGTCGCAAGGGATTGCCAGAAGCTCATGCCAGACGGAGCAATTTGTCACAGGTCGCGACAGTCCCCATACAGCCCGAAGAGCCAACAACAGAGTCGCGGAACAAGGATGCACTTGTGAAAGTGGTCATGGCCGCAATGCGCATGCATGGGCTGCAGCAGCGGAAGCAGAATAGATCGCGTCGTGCCTCTGCAGCTGGTGCAGAAGAAAGCCAACAGTTGAGCGAGGAGGCTGCAGCTGAGGAGGCTGCGAAGGATGACGAGTACAAACTCATCTACCATCAGACCTACAAAGGCGCTGCACTGGCATTGGTATGTCACACACTTCCTTGTCCACACCTACGTCTCAAGACACCAACTAACCATGTCCAGCGCAAACACATGTCCACTGTCCCCCTCCATGCCACCCCCGACAAAATGCGTGACATTGTCGAGAAGCTACTTACGCTCTTCCTTTCCGATCCGCTCGCTGAACCGGAACCGGTGCCGGTTCCTGTGGAATCAGTGGCGACGCCTGGTGACAGGTCGAGAATTGGCCTTTTCGGGTCTGCGCACGGCCATGCTAGTCCGTTTGATCTGCCGAGTACGCAGAGGAGGCCGGGGATGATGAGAGCTGTTACTGATAGTCATGTGTACACAGGGAGCCCAGTGAGTAAGAAGAGGGTCAGTACTGGCGCAGGGCAGACGTTGGGCGTGCCGGAGTGAGGTGCTGCGCCACTGGAGCATGCTAGGTGGACCGACTCAGCACGGCAGGCAATTATGACAGATCATGTTGCGGATCAGACACGAGCTGTCGATATATCGCGCTTCGTTTGGAGGCAGCGCTTCTGCACGTTTCCTTTCTCGGCACTGCTTGCTGCTCGTGTCACAATCAGTCAGCATCATCAACCCACGCAAAGCGGAATGTCGACAAATTTGATGCTTCGACGCCATACCCGGCGTGCAGCACTGAATTACGCGCCCTTGCAGTATAGTATCGCGAATACGGATGACGAAGTATGTCACGGAAGTGACCTCGACCGCTGCAACGTGTCGTTCATTTCTGCAACGTCGTATGCCAAGTCGTCGTTGAAGCTGCAAGAACCATAGCAATGCGACGGTAGCATCGAATACGATCAACAAAGCTGTATAAAGCCCTACTGCCATGCTTCCAAGGAAATATCAAACAAAAAAGCACACTTCGCAACTCCCACCTCATTCACGCACCTCACTGTAGCAATATGCGCTCCAGTATCTCCGCCCTTGCTCTGCTTGCCTCCGGCACATCAGCAGCAGCATTCCCTTGGATCTGGGACGTTACCGGCTTCTCTAGCATCTGCAGCGCCGCCACATGCCGCTATTCCTTCAACGTTTCCGCACCTACCGGGCCCTCTGGTCAGCCTTCTTTCGACGCCAGCTTCTGTTCCGGTACCAGTGTACAGGGCGGGTACAAGTCCTGTGGTGTGGTCGGGGTTGACGTCCCGGCCGATGTGCAAACGCAGGAGTTCAACCAGGGTATCGATATCGGCGCCATCGTTAGTGTGCAATACGCGTTCACTCAGTGAGTACAGGCCCGAAAGGATGTCGGTGAAAGGGTATGCAAGCTGATTGGTGATAGGGGGGAAGTGAGATACACGTACACGGGCAACAACTCTGTTGCACATACCGGCCTAGGTCCTGCGGTGGATTTCCAGATTATACCTACAGAGGTTTCTGCTGTGGCTTAGTAACAAGAGATCTTCGCCGATAAGATCTAGTAGAGTCGGCAGGATATAGATGTTCGGCATGAAGCGAACTTTCTCACAGCAAAGCCAGCTAAACATATTATCTGTTTGTGCTATCTGTCTATATTCTGTTCGTGCTGTTCCGACGCTTTCCAAATAGGTATGTATACAGCTGCATATAGTGAAGCCAAGTAAGTGTTTGGGAACACACTTCTACTACGATACAATACAGTGTAATTCAACAGCGTCGTGCCTGCGTCTTATCACCAGCACGTCCATCGTAACAATAGAGATTGTACATGACAAGAAGAAAAGGGTTGGCAGTACATTAAGTTCGGGACGAGGATGAGAGTTTCAGACCCACTTCTTCTTGGACCTGCCTTTTGAACACGTGTACACGAGGTCACGTGTTAGCGCATTTTACGAGAACGAATAGTACTATAGTGCGTTATTTAGGCCTGATAGCATAGTAAGTGCAGTGCTGCCTAATCTCTTCTGTGCCACCTACAAGTCACAAACCTCAGGTCTTGCCCATCTCTGTCGCTCTGCATCCGCTGATAGGACGGATCTTGTTTACCCCGCTATCAGGCCGATCGCCACCTTGGCTCAATAGCACTGCCAGCGTCGTAACAAGAAAGCACTAGTAAGCAGTTCATGCTTAGCTTCACTGCCGCGACTTGGACAGCGTGAAGGGACACGCAACACGCTCCCAGCAGCCGCCAAAGACGGCTATGAATCTTTACTGCGACTTCAATCCACTCTACTTATGTTCTCCCTCCCTTGAAGTCGCCGCTGCCGGTACGTTGCGCTTTCTGGTCTAGTGTCAATAAGGCTGTAGCATGTCTGTCTCTGTAGCTACATCACTTTGTGATCGGTGCTCTCCTATGTTCCAAGGCTCTTTTCCTTGGGGAATTCACAATCATCATGCTTCCATTCAGAGTCTCGAAGAAGCAGCCAACAAGAACTGTGTCATTTGTAGGGATGTCTGGAAGGATTTGGTTAAAAGACCGGACTTTGATCGCGAAACTTTCCATGGTGACACCACAAGAGAAGATTGGGTCACAAGATATTACATAGGTCGAGATTGTATCAGCGTCTATTTATATGGACCTCCAGCCCACACTCATCTGTTATTTAGGTATGGGGGAACGCAGCGTAAGTCTGCTTTTCGACCATCTCGAGTGTGATCCCTATGCACTAACGTCAAGCAGTAGAACATCGATCCCAACCTCATACCTCACGCACCTGGGCCGGATCTACCTCGAACTCAGAGGCTCCGAAGAAATGGCTGTCGCAATGCCTTGGGACACACCCAAAATGTCAGGCTGCAGAAGTTTTGAGAGCGCGAAGGCCTAGAAAAGCTTCTACAATGCGCCTTCTCCAAATTGAACAGGTGGATGAAGACCAGGTCCGCTTGTTGGTCAACCCGTTTTCAGATCCCGCATTCGCGCCTCGTTACGCAACATTAAGTCATTGTTGGGGACAAGATCCATTCTTCATGTTGACTAATCAGACAAAGGACCAGCTAACGAGCGGTATTCTGACGTCTATTCTTAGCCAAACGTTCCGGGATGCCATATCGGTGGCAAAGTCTCTGAAGATCCAGTATATCTGGATAGATTCCCTGTGTATAATCCAAGACTCGGATCAAGACTGGGAAGAACAGGCGCCTCTGATGGACGAGGTTTACCGTCATGCTTTTCTTTGCATTGCGGCGGCTGCTAGCGCCAAGAGCAGTTCTGGGTGTTTTCGCACACGTGAAGCCAGCTCCAGGGCAACTTGTGAGGTAACGACGTCTTGGAACGATCGACCTAATAGCGTTTATCAGATCTATAATTCGAAAATCTGGCCCAACGTGTTTGAGGATCAGCCTCTCATAAGCAGAGCTTGGGTAGTTCAAGAACTACAACTGTCACCAAGAATCCTATACTTCAACTCTACCCAGATCTTCTGGCAGTGTTACGACAAACTTGCCTGCGAAGAACTTCCTACGCATATTGAGCCCGATTGGGGCACGGCCGATCAGCAGGATGATAATCTCAAATTCAACACCTACGTCTATCACCATCAGCCTTTGATCGGCGACCGAGCTCCGCCCATGATTCGTAAGAACGAATATATGCGTATCTGGTGTGGAATCCTTGAGCAATACACCAAATGCCGTCTTACATTCCTCAACGATAAGCTAGTGGCAATATCGGGCATAGCAAGGCTCTTCTGTCAGCCTCTCGCCGATACATACTGCGCAGGGCTGTGGACTCGACGAATGCCAATCGAACTTCTCTGGACAAGGGGCATGCGGGATTTTCCAAAGCCGGCACTTCCAAAATCAACGCAAGAATGTTATCGAGCCCCTTCCTGGTCCTGGGCAAGTATTGATGAGCCTATAACACCGAGTCATTTCCACGATCACTACCAAGATCGGGTCATTATTCTCGTGGAAACCAAGAGCTGTCATGCAACTACCAAGACGGGTGATGCTTTCTCTGAGATCCTGAGTGGAGTCATTCGGTTATCCGGGTTTTTATCAAAAATGAAACTTCGACCAATTCCTGATTCAGAATCTGTTACACACTGGAGTGCATTCCTCAAAGATATGTGGCTACATGACGCTGATTTTTTGGGTCTACCACGCGTTATATTGGATCACAAACCTCCGGATCCGCACGAGATGCTTTGTTTGCCCATCTTGCTTTACTTTGATGGTGAGGAGTGGGAACTCGAATGCCTTATCTTAGTTGCAATTGAAGGCAAGAAGGACACCTTCGAACGCTTTGGGAGATTGACTATTCCAGTCAACGAACTTTTGGCAGATTATCGCGAGTGTGAGCTTGGAGGTGAAGGCAGCGATTCTGAATTTGAAGATGAGGACAGCAGTGTTGAAGTTCAGAGCAGGCATAGCCCTTGGCATCATTTCATACTCTCCTGGGGTAAGTACTACGTTAATGGTGTTAAATCTGATGAATCGCTGGAATACAAGACGATAGCTGTTCCAGGGGCTGTCGAAATATCGATCGAGTAACAGCGTGGGAATAGATCTTCTCACAGGATACACAAACCACATGTAAAGATCCTCCTACATTGCTTCATTGTGCTTCGTCCCCAACGTTCGACTAGTCAGGCAAAGCAGATATTCCCATCATCGCAGCGTACAAATCATCAGCTCAACACGGAAGTACCCTAGCAGAGGCGGTTCATTCCGTGCCGTGCGGTATCCGGTCTTCTGATAGCCGTAACCCTCCCCTTACACAAAGCATCAACATGGAACTGACACCCCAATCCCAACACCTGTCCCAGCCTTCCCTCGCCCCTCCAAAACCTCTCTCTTAACACATTAGCCCGTGCCTCAGATAATAATTCCTCCTCCTCCTCACTCTCGCTCTCAAACAGCGTAATCTCCCTGACCAAATCCCAATGCTCCGCCCCATTCTTCCACCTCAACAGCATCGGTTCCAACAGCCTCCCCGTAACATTTTTATTCCGACACGTAGTAGCAAAATCCTGGATTTGGCCGTCAAACCAGGATAAACCAGGGTCAGCGGGCTGCCAGACGGACAGGGAACGGAACGATGTAGTAGTAGTAGCCAAGTCGAGGAGAGAGAGCGCAGCTTGGAACATGTACGATACGTCCATACGTGCATTCATTCTATACTGCGCCATATCTTTGCTCTCGGCGAACGTGAGACCGTGTGGTAGAATACTGTCATCCAGGGGGAAAGGAAGGTGGGCGTGCGAGAGATCAGGCCGGAGAGTAAGATGCTGCAGATTCGGCGGCAACAACGGGTAAATCTCCTTTGTGATGGAAAAGTCGACGTCGCCGGTTAAAAAGGGAAAAGGCACTTCGAGCGTGTGCAGTGCGGTGAAAGGAGTGAGGTCGAGGTAACCCATCAGCATCTCGCTGATGCGCGGTTGCTGGAAGAAGTAGGCGGATGTGTCGCAGTATTCTGCACTCAAGACTAGGACTTGCAGCGTCGAGGAGAAACGGCGGAGGTGGTCGCTCCACGCGTCTAGCGAGAGCATCTGGTGGTGATGCGAGGGGGGTAAGGGGCCGGGGAAGAAGAATTCGTAGGTAAAAGAGCGTAGTTTGGGCATGCATTGTAATAAAGAAGGTAGAGCCGGTGTGAAAGCGCCGGAATGTCGGAAGACGAGTGTGGTGATGTTGGTGGCTCTCGAGCGATCTACTATGGGGTTCGCAAGGTGCGGGTGTGCTGTGTTGATGTGTTGCAGACCAGCGGGCCACTTGAGATGGGATAGTTCCAACGTCTCGATACTGGGAATGTTGAGGAAGTGATCAAGAGTCATGCGGCTGCTATCGCCCTGGTACGCCACTCCAGTTCTACTGTCGAACATGAGAGATAGTCTTTTGATAGTCGACAATCGGCTCAGCAGAATGCGCGAGGGATAGCGCTTATTCCACGCAGTCTCCGGATCGAGGTTACGCAGGATAGTGTGCAGGTGGTGGAAGGTTACGGACTTGTAATCTGCTACATCCAGTTGACTTAGATTGGGCAGGACAAGCAGGATCAAAGCTGCGTAGGCGGAGTACTCGCGCATACTAATTGCATCTCTTAGATAGTCGCCTGTAGCTACCAACGTCTCATCACCCAACACGGTCATGGCTTTCCAGAACATGACTTGGTCGTCAAAGTTCTTGTCTGGTGGTAACCAGCGCTGGCCTACCGAAACATCTCCGTTAGGCGATAGGCCGAGGCGTATTGACTTGATGTTGTTGGCTTTGCGGGTGGAGTTTATGATGGCTAGGCAGAAGCGATCGATCCGGGGTAGTTTGTTGCTCGGCGGGATGAAGAGGTCAACATGACGGTACAGAAAAGGAATGGCGAGTTTCAAAAGACCCTTGTTGATTTGGCATACAGCGTAGATGTCGTGCTGGGGAAGGTAGGATACAATGTATTCCACGAGCTCGGCGGGCAGAAGGGAGAAGGATGCCATGACAGTAGGGATGACGAAAAGAAAGGCAACTGGTGTTGTGCGATGCTGCCTGTTTGAGTAATCTGTGCAGAACTCGGATATTTCATGCTGCAGCGTGGAAAGTTAGTGGCAGGTCTTGGTGTTGTTGATAGGTGCGCCACTCGTAGTGATGCCTAGTGAGATGGAGGGGGCCGAGAAGGTGATACACAACCATACACATGGCTACGTCACAAGCGGCTCCAAGGTACTATGCCGATCATATGCGTCCGCATATGTGAAAAAACGTATCCCAGCACTGGCGCCACGAAGAGCACCGCAACAGGCTTTACATGTGCTGTCTTCAGCCCTGACGCGACGTTCCAATGCTGGGACTACCCCGCGTTCAGGTGGGTATCGATAGACATGACGAGCGGCTAGTCCAGCCGCCGTGCGTCGTATGAGATGCGACATGTTACTAAGAGCATGGTATCCGCATGTTCCCCGGGTGTTCGGGACTGCTTGGGGCTGACTCGAGGTGTGTGAGCACGGGGGTTGCAAGGGAGCGACGCGGATTTGCGAACAACAGATGGTAGCCGGGCAGACGGCATATCATCGCGATCGCATCTCGAGCATGGCGGGTGGTGTGTAGTCTAGCCTCGGTCAAGGCTCGGGAGGCGGTCGAATGACAATCAGCTGGTTCCGATTTGTTCCTGGGTTGCACTCGTCGACGAGCTTCACGGCACCAGCAACGGACCGATACGCCAAACCTGCCAGACGCCTGCACCTGCGCTCTGCTGCCCCCGCCATCTCCTATAAACACAGCCATCGCCTACCCCGCTGGTTTTGACGGCACCGCATCCCGCTCTCACATAGACGCTTCGCCGAACTGCAAGTCGCCTACGTCACACGCACATTCGCGCGTAGAATTACCCACCCTTGGTCGCAGACGGCCTGGTTCCGCGGCGTCTCCCTTGCCACCTCGCTGAGCGCATGGAAACGACCAGGACGTAGTGTCCGAGCTCCACGGCGTAGTCGGAGTGTCTTGTTCGCTGGTGTTGTTGTTCGGACGCGACACAAAACAACGTGTTGCGGAGCCGCCAACACCTCACCTCCACACCGCCGCTTGACTTGCTGCATTAATAGTGTCACGGATCGAACACTCAACCTCTACAAACAGAGGCTCCCCGCCAGATCCAACTCGCCGTAAACCTACCATGACTACCAACAGGCCCTTCTTTGGCGGCTTCCTCGCCGCCTTCCGCGCGCAACAACCCAACCTGCAGAAGACGACGGCCTCACAAGCAGCGTCCGTGGCCTCGTACTCGCAAACCACGGCCTCGCAACAGAGCCAGACTCTCGACACAGCAGCAGCTTCCTCGCGCACAATAACCACCAAGACGCGCTCACCGTCGCCCGGTGCAACGACGGTCTCCGTGCAAGCAACAGGCCATTTCCAGCCAACCAGACAACACACCGCCCCCTACAACCGCTCCACATCCCCCAAGGCCCAGGCCTTCCCAATACCAGGCGCATCGCAACGAGGCAGACGGGGCTCGGACAGCTCGTCCGAAGGCTTCCACGAAGCCATGGGCGCCGAGAAATGGTACATTGGCGGCCGAACAGCAACGGGGGAGGAGAAGTTCTACAAGCTGGGCATGGTCAAGCGACACAGAAGCGCCGACCGCTTGAGTCTCGACAAGCTCAGCATATGAGATGGTCGGGACGAGATTTACTTTGGTTGAAAAAGCGTAATTGCATCATCGGCGTTTTGGGGGAACATGGACGCGGCATCTCAAGGCAAGATCCAGGTTTGGGTATTTTAGAAAGCCTCCCGTCGTATATAACTTTGGGACCGGCTATAGGCTTACATATACACGTATATATCTGCGCTGCTCTTCGCTGAGCTCACTCGAGAGGGCAGTTGTTATGTGTTGCGCATTTGCAGCATGCATGTGACGACGGTTGGCATGAGTCATGTGGCACGGAAAAGTCTTTGCAGGCACCTTATACCCGGACCGCACACTGCACCTCACGGCAACTCGACGAACCCAATGTTACCCAACGACATTCCCAACTTGGACATTTGCTCGGTGAGCGATACTACATATCCCCATCGGCGGCAAAGTATCCGACCGGACTTTTCTACTCCGATGCCCATGTCGCGCTGCTCCACCCCCTCGCGCTACTCCACTCGCCGGATACGCCAACGCCTCGAAGCGATGTACGCGAAAAACCCTGCACGGAAAAGATTCTGTTTGGACAATTCTTCGACGGAGTCGAGTACCCACCCGCGGATATGAAGCCGTAGGAAGACGCTAATGTAGCAAGATTGCAGAAAGATAGCCCAACATGCATCGTAGGGCACGCATATCTAACGTCTCGAGTCACTTGTTCTTCTTTCTCTGAACATTTTTCCTGACTTGAGTTGGTACTGCAAGTCTTGTATCACAGCAGCACATGTCCTTGTAATCTTCCCCCGCAGGAGCATCATTCTTTCCCAGGACTCGCCTTCTATGAGTACGCAAAATGGCACCCTCTTCCACATCCTCCTCAGCACCCGCTGGCCCACAGCAATCTTCCCACCCGGCCACCGAACCTGAACATCAAACGACCGAGTCTGAGAAAAACACTGAATACGCCTCCATTATACCTGCACCACGGACTGAGGACGACCAACAAGGCCGTCTCCAACTCCAACGCACAGTCTCATCAGTCAGCCACCATGACATGGCCAATGTGCAATACGTCGCAACAGGCGACAACGACACCATCTACAACAAGTTCACCCCACGGCGAAAAATGGTCATTGTCGCCGTCGTCTCCTTCTGCAGCTTCCTAGCCCCCATCTCCTCGACGACTGTCCTCTCCGCCGTTCCCGAAGTAGCAAAGACCTTTTCCACAGACGGCTCCATCATCAACGTATCAAACGCCTTGTACATGCTCTTCATGGGCCTATCCCCCTGTTTCTACGGGCCCTACGGAAACATCTACGGCCGGAAATGGGTCAGCGTAGCAAGTGCAGCGTTATTCACCGCATTCAGCATCGGCACGGCGCTGAGCCCCAACCTCGCTGCCTTCTTCGTCTTCAGGATCCTGACCGCGTTCCAAGGCACCGCCTTCCTCGTCATCGGATCAGCAGTCATAGGTGACATTTACAAGCCGACGGAGCGCGCAACAGCGCTAGGCTGGTTCCTGTCCGGCACGCTGATTGGGCCCGCGCTGGGCCCGTTTATCGGTGGAATTATAGTCACGTTCCGCTCGTGGCGCGACATCTTTTGGCTGCAGACGGCTCTTGCTGGTGCCGCGACTGTGTTTTGTTTCTTCCTCCAGCCCGAGACCATACACAAGAAGCGCGCCGATGAACTCGCCGGCCTGCCTGCAAAGCAGCGCGCAAGCAAAATGTGGGCGTGGCTCAACCCCTTCCGCGTCGTGAGATTATATCGGTACCCGAATATTCTCCTCACGGCCCTCGCGTCCGCTAGCTTGGTCTGGAACATGTACAGCCTGCTTACGCCTATCCGGTACGTGCTCAATCCGCGGTTCGACCTGCAGACGCCCTTGCAATCGGGACTCTTCTACATCGCGCCGGGCTGTGGATACCTCGTCGGCACCTTCTTCGGCGGCCGCTACGCAGACCACGTTGTGAAGAAGTATATCCAGAAGCGGGGCCAGCGCGTGTCAGAAGACCGTCTGCGGTCTTGCGTCTTCTTCCTCGGGGGCGTCATACCCGCTTGTATGATTGTGTACGGGTGGAGTGTTGAGAAGCGCGTTGGCGGTGTTGCGCTCCCCGTCATCATGATGTTCCTCCAGGGCGTGGCGCAATTGTTTTGCTTTCCTAGTCTCAATACGTACTGCTTGGATGTTATGCAGGGGAGGAGCGCAGAGGTGGTCGCGGGGAATTACTTCATGCGCTACATGTTTGCGGCGGCGGGGTCGGCGGTGTGTTTGCCTGCTGTTAGGGCGATTGGCGTAGGCTGGTTTTCGACAATCAGTGCGGGGTTCTTGGTTGCTGGGGCGGGTATGACTTATGCGACGGCGGTTTGGGGGAGGGAGTGGAGAGAGGGGATTGAGGAGAAGAAGGCGGCGAGGAAGGAGGGGGATGGCAAGGTGTAGAGGATGAATAGAGTCCGAAGAAACCGCCCACTTGTAAATCACACCGGTAACGCCGTGTCCAACTCTCCAAACAGCCCTGATATCTACCTCCTACGTGACCTCTTTATTATACCGCAGAACCTGGATTTATTCTGAGAAAGACATTCCATCATCATCCTGGCGAGTTGAGAAGCTGAGGGAAGGCAGCAGGGTAAGAGTGGGGAGGTTAGTGGAGGTTTCGCTTCGAGGAGACGTAGGTGGTGGTGGTGGCAGATCATCCACTGATGGCTGTTTCCAAGAAGCGAACACCTTGCTCCAAGCTTTCTTCAGACCAAATGATAACGTCGTGTGGCCCGGCAAATCGGCCGTGAGGATCGGACCCGACGCGCCCAGCTCAAGTTTAACACTTGTAGTGTCATCTTCCACGCTTTTGCGACCCTCCTCGGACGAAGTGAGTCGTTGTAACTCGACTGCGGAGTCATCTGCAGCAGCCATCTCGGGCAGCACAGATTCGCTCGCCGAGCTGTCCTGACGCGGGCTCTTCTCGAAAATTCTAATCAAGCCTCCCACAGTCTGTACGGTAATGAGGTCTTCCTTGCTCACTGGGCCAATGGCTGGAAGTACGCCTCGGTGATCCAAACTTGCTCCGATGCGGGCCATGGCCATAGCATCCAGTTGATTTGACCATGATGGGATACGATATAGGTAATAAGTCAAGTATACTAGACCAAGTAGTTGCAGATCTATCAAAACCGACATTATGATGACGCTTGATCTGGATAGAACAGGCCTTGGCACGGCAACACCAGGCGAAGTGCGTATGAAACGTCCAGTCAAATTGGTATCGGTAGCAAACAAGGTCAGAACGGCTCGATTGGCGACAAACATGACGACCTCTAGCAGATCTTGAGTACGATGTAGTGTTTGGTTTAGTTTTTGGTCTAGTGATTGATTTGGTGTTTGATCTTTGCCGCCATTGAAGCCGGGTGCGAAAAAGGCGAACAACTGCTCCGTGAGTTCGAACAGATCATGGTTCGTCGGTTTGACGTTGTCAAAGATGCGCTGTTCAAGATTGTCGCACAGGGACACAAGATCCCCGATACCAGGACTTGGTGCCCAAAGATTCGACAAAGGCATTCCGCGCCAGAAGAGTGGCCATGTAAGATCCTCGTTTAAGTAGTCACCATTTTGATAAGTACCATTATATGTATAGTTTGACATATACTCCGCTGCTATATTTAGCCAGGAGCCATTTCCGAACAGCGCGAGAGCACTTGTCATTAAAGGGCCGGGTACTTTCCAGGTCTTAGTATGCGAAGGATCGACGTCGTATGAAGCCGGATCATTAATATTGAAACAAGCATCTCTGGTTTGTATCAGTACTTGTTCTTGTATTTTTCCATGTTACATACGTGTCAGAGGGTACATTGTTTGAACATTGTATAGGACCATTCCAATCATTGAAATTCTCCGCCATCTCTGCTGGATCAGGCCAGTGTTCGAGAAGTGGTCCGTATGTGTTATTATTCCAGTTATTACCTAGTTCGAAATAGCCCCTTGTTGTTGTTGCTTTGCAAAAGAAGGTAGAGCTCGTATTGAATGGCGGATCATCTGCGTTGCCGTCATTTTGACCGATGCTTGTATCCTTGATGGCGATATACATCTCTTCGGTGTGTTCCTGGCGACTGCGACTAAGTGACCACGGGAAAGAGGTATAATCTCCGGGAACGCATATACGCACTTCTGTGTCTAGGAAGCGCTCCCAGAATACGGAGAGAGGTCGGTCACCAGGACATGGTGATGGGAAATCGCCAGCATCCATATCATCGCATGATACAGAGGAGTTGAGCCTCATTATGTGGTCGCGAAGAACTCCAGTCGTAGTTTTCGCCGGAAGACCAGCCACAAAGAAGTCCGGAATGGGGTCTCTGAAGTAGTCGAGGACATCGATCGAGTTGCGCGAAAACACCCAATAGTCTAGTGATGACCATTCCATGTAGTATAAGTTAATAATGTTAGTAAATGGGTCAAATGTCGCGTTGACACTGCATAGATAAGACTGTAGCTCGGCGACAGAAATTGACGCCAGCTCCGAAGCCACGCGGGACCGGAGAGCCGATTGCTTTACGAGAGCCATTTTTGCAGGCTCACTATCCATTCCAATTGTTTCATACAGCGGGAACAAATGACAGCCGTCATCAATGTCTGGATGCCAATAGAAGATATCGTGGCACGTGGTTACGGAAATTTTACCCACGCCTACCAGAATTTGGTATAGAGGTTGTTGTACAGCTCCGATAAGGATGAGGCAAGCTGCAGGAAGTAAGAAACTTACGCCTAATTTTGAACCTCGATTATTTTGTCGGCTTCGGATTGAATTCCAGATTAGAGGTGCATTTGTCCAGCCACAATCTGCAAGTACAAACACATCCCTCAGACTCAAAAACTCATTCGGCTTTCGCCTTTGACAGAACAGCACAGCCGCTTGAGCCAAAACCGCGGACAGAATTGGAACTAGATGGTTATTTATGTGATGAGCATGAGTAGCTGGTAGGGTCTCGTTCGGCATCGCTTACTTGTTATTAGCCCAGCATCGAATTGAGCACGTCGACTGCAGTTTTCCAATTGCGCATACTCGACACGTCATGATCAGAAAAGCCTCGTTGTCGCATGTATGAGCCTGAGTTGAGTGGACGATGCGCAAGCACACAAGTCAACACCCATGGAATGAGGATAAGTAAGTTGTACAGACCAAGAAGCCATAGGGCCCTGGTGCGATATCGCAGCGGTTGTAATGCATGGTTATGGCTTTTCTCGCCGGCGATGTCCGGCTTCTTGGAAGAATGATTCATTCTGGAGGGATTTGTGTCTGAGAGATAAGAGCATAGGATAGACGCAACAATGAAGCAGTTAACGAGATTCGTGAGCAGTGCCCCTACGGCGTGGCAGGTCGTACCCCTGAAGTATATAAGCCTCGGCGAGGCTGAGCTGGTAAAAGTCGCTCTGCCAATTGGCTAAAAGCTTGTCAATGCTTGCTTTATACAACCAATGCAATATCTAACGATAAGCGCAGCGCGGGGTGCAATGTCTATCCCATGTTTCCGCGAGGCGGAAGGTAGCAACCGGATCACATTAAAGTATCCTTGCTTGCGAGCGGATGACTTTGCTTCAGAATGATCGACATCGAGGCTATCGGAACCGGTGCTGAGTGGCGTGAGATACCATGTGTCCTTCACCATCGCCTCCTAGAGATGCGAACGTTTTCCTGAGGGATGATTGATTGCATAGCAATATCAACGCTTGCTTCGATGAGGAGAGAAATGGAAGTGAGTGTGAGAAGGCTGCACGCAATCTCAGCAGATAACGACAGTAGGCATCGTAACCATTGGCTTTGCCTCTACAATGCCGTTGTAGCCCTGCGAAAACGTACAGATGTCGTTGTTGACCGAATCCTGCTATGTTACCTATGTACTTGTCGGAGGGGAAAAGGTGTGACAGAATGGCCGCACGAGGTTTTCCCCAGCCAACCCACCACTAGCCGGTCACCCATCGCGCAGTCACCCCACGAACACCATCGCGACACAGCAGCCATTGTGGTAGAAAAACACGCCAATTTTTAAAATCGTAGATGCGCGCGAATTCAACGTATGCTCTGGCATCATTATGTAATCAACACCGTGCAGCATAGTCCGTCTCCGTTGAGGCGCATGCCGCTTCGCTGCATAAGCCCGCCTCGCACCCGCCGATACCCGAGGCGCAAAACCCAGTCATACCCGGGCTCCCACCCATCAGATTTTCCTGCGCCATCCGTTCGTCGTACCACCCTATCAATTACCATTTATTGTTCATCGTTACAATGGACGATTCGAATCCGAGCACTGGCCAACAAGATGCCAATTCGAGCTCTGGGTCAAGCAAGAAGCGGACCCACCCCGAAGACTTCAAGCGCGCATACAAGGCTTGCATCAATTGCCGGCAGCGCAAGGCAAAATGCATCTTGGGTACCGGGCCAGATGGAGGCGAGCTAAAGCCGCCGTGTCAGAGATGCAAGCGCGAGATGCGCGAGTGCGTTTTTAGGTCGGAGAGGAGTTGGGTCAAGAGGAGGAAACCGGGGGAAGTAGCAAGGGAGGGTGAGGAGGAGGAGGAGGCTATCAGTGGCGGTGGTGGTACTACGTCGGCGTCTGCGATGCGCGATCGACCTCAGTCGAATCCCGCACCACTGCCGTCACCAGGCCATAGATCGTCTATATCGACGCATGGGTTTACGCCGGGTACTAGTCCACATGTCAATGGCTCGAATCGTTCCGAGTTCCATTCTCCTCATGGACACCTACGGAGGATCTCGTCGTCTCATGGCCAGCCAGATCTTGCACATTCGGTGATGCGAACAGTGGTATCGAGCGGGAGCGATGCACTGAATCTATTGTTTGAAGCCGCGCATCATCGCGATGCTATCGACAATCAAGAACAGTCGGGATCACAAGCATATGAAACACCCAGGTCAGGTCCATCCGGCTACGACAATGGCGTTCCGTCGTCGCCATTCCACACCTTTAGAGCACAGCCGGTGCAGATGTCGACGCCGTCACCAGAGACGCTGAAGACGTGGACATCGTGTCGATTCGTGCAGATGGGCTGGTTCTCTGCACATGAGGCAGTAACATATGTCGATTTGTTCTTCAAGAATTGTTCGCCGTTGTCGCCGATACTAGGGGAGTTTTATGCGCATCACGAAAATCACTATACGCTGATCGCGCTGGATCCTTTCTTGTGCACTACTATACTGATGATCTCGTCGAGGTACAATATCCTTCCTGGCGTGGGCGGCGCTTCGAGAGGCTACTTTGTGCATGATAGGCTTTGGGAGCAGTGTCAGCGCTTCATCATGAAGATCATGCTCGGACAGGTCAAGCCATCCAAAGCGCAGAGTAGGACTATTGGGTCGATAGAAGCCCTGCTCCTGCTATCGGAGTGGCATCCTCGAGCGCTACATTTCCCTACGGCCGCTGATGGCTGGGATTGTGAACTTATGATTGGCGCAAATAACACCACAGAAGAAGGCGCAAAGCTGTTAGAAGGGGATGTGACGTCGAACCGATGGCTTGAAGATGTCATTGAGCCCGCGAAACGCTCCGACCGTATGTCATGGATGTTGATGGGTTGCGCATTATCATTAGCACAAGAGCTGGGACTATTCGAGGACAATGCGAGAATAGACAAGGACCAGGTGTCGTACCCAAAGTTCACCACGGAATACCTTATCCTCCGAAGGATCCGAGCTCGGAAGCTGCTATACGTGCTACTCGAACAACTTTCGTGGAGACTAGGCTGCACATCGATGATACCACAGAGCTTAAACCATGCTTTAATGGAGAAGATACCCGTTGACTCTGCGACGGGTGCTGTAGAGCAATGGCAGTCCTTTATGAGCGCATGGGTCGAGCTCACCAAACTCGCCCGGTCAATCTCCGACACCATCTATCCAAACACAGCCACAACACGAAGCTTACTACGCACCGGTCGCTACATAGGCTTGCTCGAGCACTTCCAACCACTGCTAGTATCGTGGAGGAAAAAGTACCTCGACCCCTGCAAACTCAAAGTTGGTCTGCACGATATGCTCCACATTGAATACCAATACGTTCGTATCTACACGAACTCTCTTGGCATGCAGGCAGTCGTCGAACGCACACTCGCGGAAACAGATCCCGATGTGCCGCAGGAGGATAATCTGCCTTTCAACCTCGAACCGCGGGACTACGATTTTATCCAAGAGGTTGTGGATGGAAGTTGTCAGATACTACAAAAAGTCTGTCAGCTATCTGAGACAGGAGCGCTGCGTTACTCGCCTGTACGAATCTTCCTCAGGATAACTACGAGTTCAATCTACCTGATCAAAGGCCTGAGTCTGGGATCAAGAAATGCAAAATTGCAGAATTGTCTGGATATCCTGGATGCGGCTATCCGGGCTCTTCGCGCAAGTAGGTCACTCCTCCGCGTTCGATACCCTGTTACTAACAAGACGCTCCAGGCACTCTCGACGACATGCACCTAGCCTCCCGCTACGCGACCCTCCTCGACCTCCACGTCGCCCGCCTCCGCGAATCCTTTGTCGTCTCCTCTCGTCCCCCTCGCCTACCTTCCCGCGCCACATCAACCACCCACAACACATCCTCCAACAACAACAATCTCTCTTCTCACACTCCATCCGCTGCAACAGAGGGCATGGCCTTCTTGAACAACCACAATGCAGGCCAAAGCAGTTTATCAAGCTTAGCGGAAAACGTCACCGGCTTGATGCCGGATATGCCGGATGATGATTGGTTGGCGCTGCCTTTTGACCCGGCGATGGCACCGTTTGGATTGGGGGATGGTGGGGTTGGGGGTAACGGGGGGTTTCAGGGATTTGACGATGGTACGCTGGACTTCATATGGAACTTGCCCATGTAGAGAAGTGTGAAAAGGGATAATGTGATGGAATTCAGACTTAGCAAGGGTAATACGGTCTAGCTGTGTAGCTACAATACTCGGCTAACTCTGTCATGGTGGCTCAAAAAGTAGAATAGATTAATAGATTCTAGCGGTTATCTACATGTCTGTCCCTTCGATGTATCCCATGTTGCTGTTGTCGCTGGTTTCGCCAACATCACAATACAGTTTTCTCATGGTTTTAGGTTTGTTCAGTAGATCTTTGGAGGCACTCTGAGTCATGGAGTATATGTAAGGAATGATCAGCTGAGTGCCCAGAAAAGATTGTAAGGAGTCATTTGATGTTCTACATGCACTTCGCACGGAGAAGCTAATCACCAGTTAAGAACGGTCATACCTTGTTCCAGAGTTGTGGAGTTTGTTTTTGAGAACCAAAGAGTCAGACAACGATGGATGGGAGTGGAGAAGAACATGACATGTAATCCGATGAATCTAGTAGCCATGTACGCACGTCTTTCATCTGCTTCCTAGAACTCCAACATAAGCTGCTTGTGAGGTATACGCCATCGCGGTACCACTAGTATTATCGGAGGCCACCACGGCGAAGACCTGGAAAAATAAATGAAACGGCGGCGAATGATACAAGCAGTGGGATGAGACAAGGTGTTTCAGGAAGTAGCTGGACACACCTCAAGTGTTGCATTGCGAACGAGGACTTGCGATGTACTTGCCAGACGCTTCTCGGCCTGATCTAGTGATAAAGAAATGTTTAAAGCAATGTCCGTTTAGAAAATAAGCACCCACACCTATCGTATATCACTCGATCGACTTCACATCTATCTCGTCTGCTCTAGCCTCTCACCTCCAATCTCAGTTCACACGAAACACATAAATGTCGTTACCAAGATGCATTGCAAACCCCCCGCCGCAACAGTCCGACAATATGGTCGTAGTAATTGCTCTCACTTTACTGACCGTAGCCACCCTGCACGCAGTTTCCACAAATCTGGTCTTGTGTGTTGAGTATGGCGTACAACTTAGCTTACTCCATCAAGCCTTCATAGGCAAGCTACCAGAACTTCCACGCGTTTATCTCTCGGTGATGGGAACATGGGCAGTATTTCGTTTTTGGTACTGGCATTCTCATGGGAAGGGTGAGGTTGCGCAGTTGGACGGAAGTGCATCCGGAAAAAGGAACTGACGAGGCTGTGACGGTCCATATCAAAGTCAGAGTGGAAGCTGCAGGAAGGAACTATGAAAGGGTGTAGAATCTTCTAGTCAAGACAGACTTCAGATGTAGAGGAAGATTTTGGGATGAATGAAAGGGTCTCTGGCCAATACTGTACAAGCGATAAGAAGTCCACAAATCGCATCACAGACTTCCTGCATACGTGTATGGAATTTCTATACAAATAGGTCATTTGTGCAAACTCATCTCCTCTCTCAACGCATCCCTGACAATGACTCCACACATCTTCTTATACGGATTCGTCCTAACGCTCATCTCCCTTGCAACCTCATCCCCATACCGCGCCGCAGCCGCAAAATCTTTACTTGCTGATTCCTCCAACTCAGATGTCGTCATCCCCTTCCACCGCGACCCTGACTCCACAGCTTTCAGATAAAGATACGCGCGGTGCGAGTAAGCTGTCCGAAGAACCTTTGCGGCGTGAGGAGATACCGCTGGCGTGGAAGAGGATGTTGAGGAAAGATGAATCGCTTGCGCAAGATCTGAGAACACCGATTCGACATCTGATCCTAATGTCTCAGTCGTGTTCTGAAAGATGTTTTTCCCCACTTCCATGTTTGCTTCTAGCTTCATCCTCCTCACCATAGCTCGGTTCACCCAGGCGCCCGCATATTCTGGGTACTGCTCTACCACCCTGTCCAACTCTTCTATTGCAGCATCTATCTCAGCGATGCTCGAGGTGCTGGATGTACGTGCTATGATATCGCTTTGTTGGCGCTCCAGCAATGTGAGCAGCGATGTGGGAATACTGGGATGAGCGGGTAATGAAGGGTCGATTGATGATGAAGTTTCTTTTTGTTGGCCGACAGATGATGGAAGGGTTTCTGGGTCGAAGATCGCATTCAGGATCCTGGCGTCGTTTGCGGATAAAGATGTGTTGGGGAGAGTGACTGCCATGATTGTGTGATGTCTGGTGTGGTCCTCGTAGTGATGGGCTTTGGAGCGATGAATTTGGTCACGAAGATTAAAGACGGGTCAAAGTTCAACTCGGGGTTTTGCTATGCGTTAAGAGCAATGTACGGAGAGTTTCTAGCACTATTAGTTTGATCATTTTGACATATGCAGATCACGTTTGCTCACTCGGCTTAGGCGGGAGTTCACGGCAAAGATTTAGGTCTGGTACGGAAGGCGGCTGGTGCAAGGCTGCCTGGGGTCTCGGCCTATGCGGGACCATGACACCCACCACAACGAATCTCAATACACGCTCGACCTATCAGGCACTTGAAGAGACAAAATTTGTAGAACTGACCAAGCGCATCAGCACAAGATGAAGATTGTCGGATCATAGCATGTGACAATGGACTTGCGCGGTATTGAGCCGTGCTAGCGGAAAGACAAAGCCTCGCCAGGCAATCGCCGGCTGACCCGCCACGACGCGACGAACACTCTTGACACAATGTCACGACTGCGCAGCCTCACACCCAGATCGCGCGTGGATGATTACTAGCGTCATGTCCTCGACACGCTCTACATCGTTGGTCGTAAGCCTGCTCCAGCTACGCGGTTGAGACGCGATGCATCCACGGCGGCTGCCGGCGGAACATCCATTGGCGGAAAGCGGCGGTACCAACATCTGCTTTCTTCTGGCGGCCACCACACGTGAGCTCGGCATAACCAACCTGATGACGCTACCAGGGTTGGATATGGCAATTGCTAGCAAAAGAGATCGGATAGCGGTTTGAGAAGGGAAGTGGATGCAGAGTGGTAGAAGATAAAGAATGGCTGCGCATCGGTGCCTAGTGTTGAGTTCACTACACTTCACAGTACTGCTCTGGTACCGCATAAGCAAAGGCTTGGATACTTTCGGTTCTACTTACATATAGTCGTTGTTCGCTATCAACTGCTCTATCATGGCGCCCGCTGCTATCTCTCCTCCTTCATCGCCACGGCCATCCGCCGCTTCTCCTTCAGAAGTCTCGGCATACCAAGGCTACCACCATGTACACTGGTATGTCGGTAACGCCAAACAAGCAGCCTCTTTCTATGTATCGCGCATGGGCTTCGAGCGTGTCGCATACCGTGGCCTAGAGACTGGATCAAGAGCTACCGCCTCTCACGTTGTACGGAACGGCAACGTGACTTTCATCCTCACATCACCTTTGAGGTGTCTAGAGCAAGGCTCAAGATTCAGCAAAGAGGACGAGCAGCTACTACGAGAGATCCACGAGCATCAAGAGCGCCATGGTGATGCCGTCAAAGGTAAGCGATAGCATCCCTTGTAACCATGGCGACCATCACTAACTAGATTCCCAGATGTCGCATTCGAAGTCGACAACGTAGATGCCATATACTCCGCTGCCGTCTCATCAGGCGCAGCCACCATTTCCGCTCCCCACGACATCTCCGACACCTACGGCTCAGTCCGCCTCGCTACCATCCGCACTTACGGCGACACAACGCACACGCTCATTCAAAAAAATGACTACACCGGCATCTTCCTGCCTGGCTACCGCCCGGAATCATCCGCCGCCGACCCCCTCCAAAAATACCTGCCGCAGGTCAATCTCGAAGCAATCGACCACTGCGTCGGCAACCAAGACTGGGATGAGATGGAAAACGCATGCGAGTATTACGAAAAGGTGCTTGGTTTCCATCGCTTCTGGAGCGTCGACGACAAGGACATCTGCACTGAATACTCAGCGCTCAAGAGTATCGTCATGAGTTCGCCCAACGATGTCGTCAAGATGCCCATCAACGAGCCGGCCAAGGGCAAGAAGCAAAGCCAGATCGAAGAATACGTTGATTTCTATGGCGGTCCCGGTGTCCAGCATATCGCGCTACGAACGGATAACATCGTTCGCGACATTACCAACCTGAAAGCGCGAGGCGTGGAATTTATCAAGGTACCCGAGACGTACTACGACTCTATGAAGATGCGACTCAAGAAATCTGGACTCACGCTCAACGAGGACTTTGAGGTGCTCAAGAGTTTGGACATTCTTATCGATTTCGATGAGGGTGGTTATCTGCTGCAATTGTTTACGAAGCATTTGATGGATCGGCCTACAGTGTTTATTGAGATTATCCAGCGGAACAACTTTGACGGCTTTGGCGCAGGCAACTTCAAGAGCCTGTTCGAGGCGATTGAGAGGGAGCAGGATGCGAGGGGGAACTTGGTTTGAGTGGGATCGTGACGTTGATCGTTCGGGTGTTGTCGCATTTTCCGGTGTTCATCTTGTTACCTAGCGAATCAGTCTCTGGCTTTCCTTCCGCACATTAGCACAGCTGTTGTCGAATACGATACACGTTACGTCTATCGCAAAGTTCATACCTTATCTTTGGCATTCAAATCCTACATGACTAGTTCTTGTGTCCCCGTCTCAACCTGCAACGCCACCCCGAAACGCGTTTCATCCCCCTGCTTCAAGCGTCGTCAACACCAGCACCCTTTGAAACGCACATCCTCTCATATCACACCCAGCCAAGAATAAGTGACTCAAGGAAACTCACCCGAGAGGACGCTTGCCCAAGCTTGTTCATACCGCACCGCGACGGCTTGACCCAGCCAAGCCACAACCGCATTGTGGACGAGCGATAGCATTTAGAATCCCGTGACGGGAGATCTTCCGGCCGCGTTCGCACCCGGTCGCGAACGTTGTCGGCATTTGTATTTCCATCGGTGGTTGAAGATCCGTGATGATTGGGGAGATTGCGTATAAAGCAGTCGTTGTCGCTCGGCCATGGTAGAGCATAACGAGAGTAGCGCCGACTTGTGCTTTCTGAAGCCAACAGCGAAGCTCTGCCAGATGAACGGATTTCCAAAGGAACCTCTGCTTCAGCACTTCTTATCGTTTGGAGGCGAACCTCTGCCGCTGTAGCTCGTCGCGAGCTGAAAACTCCCCAGATCCGCTGGACTGTTCATCGTGGGTATTGGATCGTCCAGCGGAGACGAACCTGGGGGCGTCATGAAGCGCGCAATGGCTTGGTTGTGGCAATGTGTCTCTTAGAAGATATCGGGCTTGAGGTTGGCATACATCACATGTTTGCAAAGTTTTGAACAGCTTGGCGTGTGGTCTAGTGTCATTACTTCGTCATGTCTACAGTCTGATAGCACATTGAGATCCAAGTACAGTGATAGAGTGAGAGACAAAGACATGGTGATGATAGGCAACGGATGAACATGACATTATGCACTAACAGAAGAGATGACCACGTAAAGAATGAATGGCTGCCCCGTTTTATAAGAAATTCTTGTTTCAGTTTAACGTCTGCCGTCATTTACGTAATGACGGCCTATTGTGTTCCCATACTCGTACAGTTGATCGTTCTGCCAGGTTGTGGTGGCAGATCTTGTCTAGACATGAAAGAAAAGCGTTGCGTGTGATGTAGTTGAGTTCAGCAACGCCGCTGATCGCTCAGCACAGCTGTGACTGTGCGCGCTTAAGCAAAGGCTCCGACAATGGACATACCAGCTGCACCCATGAGGACGTAGCAGAACGCAGTAGTCTTAGTCTTGCCAGTCATTGTGTGTTGAGCCTCTTCAGAGAGGAAGTCCTCAGCCAACAGATCAACGAGGGCAGCGTAGATGAGCAGACCAGAGGAAATAGCGTTGAATACTCCGACAATAATAAGTCCAAATGCCGAGTTCGGATCGTAAGATCCACGAGTGAAGAGTCCGATGGCCTGGCCAATGGGCGCGGTGGTACCGAAAGCAACAACGAGAGCCCAGGGCTTCCAGCTGTTCTTAGGGTAGGGAACATCCGCGATACGCGTGCCGAGACCGAGACCTTCGAACATTTGATGGAAGACAATGGCAATGAGAAGGATGATGAAGCCCTCGGCTGTGATGGAAATGGTCATGCCAACGAAAACGGAGTGGAACAGAATACCACCTTCAATCAGCGTGATCTGCATGGACTGCTTCTTGAGGACGAGAGGGTCAACGGCCTGCTCGACATCATCGTCAAAGTATGAGTTCTCTTGCGGCGCTGGAGCGGCCTGCTGCTGTTGATAATTGGGGAGAGCAGGCATGGCGCGGTTAATCGTGGCAAGCATCTCGTCGCGCTGGCGCACATACTGCTCGTAGAAGACGATGAACCATGGTGGCATTTCAGATTTGGCCTCGAGCTCGTCGCTCTCGCTCTTGGGGAACGGGAAGTTGTCGACGGGGTAAGTTGACTCCTGAGTCCATCCTCGCTTCTCGTCCCGCATAGCCAGCATCGTCTTTTGCGAATCGTAGCTGTCGACGCGTCGGATGGGGTTGTTGAACTGGGCCTGGATGCCGGTGGTCGAGTGTTGTGCGCCGTTGAATGCTTCGCCTGTTGCACCTCCGTGGCTGTGACCGCCAGTCTTCGCATGGAGCCACATCTCAATCACGAACAGAATGAAAAGAGAGCCCATCATGATGACACCTGGTAGAGCTGGGTACTTCTCGGTGAAAAGATCAGGTAGGCATGGGTCGTTGAGCGACGCGAAGGCGGTCGGCAGCAGATGGACGAAAGCAGTGGCAATGAGCACACCAGTACCAAAGTGCTTGCAGAAGAAGAAGACCTTTGGTGGGATCTTCATCCACTTGATCTTCTTTGCCACTACTGGGAAACCAGCACCGAAGATGGAAGCAATGAACACAATGACTTGGAACGTGTTAGTGATGTACCATCAGATTGCCTCGTATGTACTTACAAACTGCAGCAACGTGCAGAGGAAAGTCGTAAGCAGCAGCATCCGCCTCACTGCCACACTGCGGTTTCTCCATGTCGGCCATTGCGAATTACAAAATGGGTAAATGTGTGGTTCAAGGAATGTACGGAGTAATCCCAGACTTGCCAGCAGTCCCGTCGCCGGCGACGATGAACAAGAAAAAAAGAGATGAAGAAGAGAAAAGAGGAAAGAAAGCAACTCAACACACTCTCTCAAAGAGTAACAGAAACTCAAAATGCAACGAACTGATGTTGTGAGGTATGGGGCAATAGGCTCGGCATTGCAGACTATGTATTGCTTTGAGGGCCGGTAGGATAAGAGACACTAACCGCATCATGCTGATCAGCACAGTCTCCAGAACACCTGAAGACGAAAGTGGGACCTCCATACAGTGGCCTGTGCCTCAGATGCCGTCTCTAGTGATAGGTGCTTCACGCAGCAAACGCGGAGGTCCAGACGGTGCCAGGGCCAGCCAGCCTTGTGCCAAAGACAAAAGAAGCATTGCTATGAGGCAGCAAGGCTGGAATTGGAATTGCTGTTCGCCGAGACGACGAAGCTCATTGGAGACGGCTGTCATGCGCGTAGATGCTTGGCAGGCACGCTCGATCTGCGAAGGGGTGGGGATGTGATGCGGCTCAAGTCTCGTTTCCGTCGAGTGGGACAGCGAGTGGGTACTGAGTGGGCAGCGGGTGGGACAGCTGACGAAGTGTGGAGGTGCCAATCATTAGGGGTGAGGCTTGACTGCAACCATCTGTTGCAGCTGAGGTATCGAAGTGGCTCAGCACACAAATGAGGTTGGCCAATAGCACGTTTCGCGATTGCGTTGACGTGTATGGGCCAAGATCGGCATGGTTTCGTGCCGGAGAGGAGAAGCTTGGCATCGTCCGACGTTGTGAGTTTTGAAACTTGGAGAGACGTAAAAGAAAGCTTTGTGGGGTATAGATGGCGTTCGCTATGGACCCACGCGTATAGCCGATGCAATCCATCCGTGACGATCACTGCGTTACGCGCTATTCCTGTTCGTTGTGTGACGACTTTAACCGTAGAGCGCAGGGGAAAGAATAGTCGGCCCTGAAGAACTTGCGACGTGGCCGAGTCATCACCACCGCCGCATCAACGACTCCATCAAACCCACTTGATCCATCGCGATGTATGCGGGGAAATACTCGTCTTTAGACAAGCTTTTTGCGCGTCTTAGCACCTAAAATTTCCGGTCAGTTTAGATCGCGCTAGCATCGCACATCCACAGCACACGCGTGCTCGTGAGCATCTTCAGCACGCCTCCGCGCATGCAGAGAGCCAAGCCATTTAAGGTATCAAGATTAGGCCAAGCTCTTCGAGCCTCTCCCCAATCGGGTATTGCCCTAACCTCAGATGTAGTAGCGAGGCGTTGAGAAGGCTTAGCGAGTTTCATGCTCCGCGCCGAGCATTCCTACACCTGCACCAATGTGCAGCATTCACACAATCTGACAGGAAATTGGCAACGTGCAAACGATCTGGCCATTCTACCATGACTTCAGGGTTCAAAGAAAGAAACTCAAGCGGAGGTGAGCGGGAAGAGCGCCGCGGGTGGCGTTCGCAGTGTTGCTTTATTACACATGCTTGCCCGACGCTGAGGCATATATCACCCACTTCGTAACCTCCTCGCACCACAAGATCCTAGAGATCGCCCATACACACATACACAAACGCATACGCGTCGCTCAGCTCATTTTCCGGACACCATGTCTTCCGACACTCACAGTACGTCTCAGGCAACCCAAAGCCGTGGTTCTCTTGTCTGACAGTCCGATTAGCTTCACCTAATGGCCCAGCACAAGACCAAGCTGCCGGGCAAACAAGCGCTCCAGTGATCGCCGGCCCTACAGCATCGTCAAACCAGGCCAACGTCGGCGCCGAGCATAGGTCAGATGTCATTGAGCGCCTGCCATCTGTAGACAATGCATCGTCGCGGGAAGCCAAGGACGATGTCACTATCGTCGTCAACAGCGACCCACTCGATCTTGGTAAACACCGTCGAGACGATGTCACCCAAAAACAGATGAAGGCAGACCATCCGCTCGCCAAGCCCAGACACATGAAGAAATTTTACACAAGACAGAATGCCTTGATCGACCAGTTCCTCCAGAGCGGCGACGAGGAGCGGTTAGCTGCTCTTGACCAGCTCGAGAATGGACCAAAGGTCCGGTTTGCAGTCAACGCTTCCTTCATCGTCAACTTCTGTTTGTTCGTCATCCAGTTGTATGCCGCCGTCTCGACAGGATCGCTGTCGCTGTTTGCGACAGCTGCGGACGCTTTCATGGACCTGGTCTCTTCGGTAGTCATGCTCATCACATCTCGCATGGCGGCACGGCCAAGCGTGTACAAGTACCCCGTGGGGAGGACCCGCATTGAGACGATTGGCATCATCATGTTCTGTTGTTTGATGACAACGGTTGCTATCCAACTAATCGTAAGTGCTTGTCTTGGGTAGATGAGGAGGCGGCTAACACGTAACAAGATCGAATCTGGGCGTGCCTTGGCTGGCGGTGCCACTGAATCAGAGGAACTCCACATCATCCCCATTGCCTTTGTCGCGACAGCCATCTTCTGCAAAGGCTCACTTTGCATCTATTGCTTCCTCTTCCGACGCTACCCAGCCGTCCATGTCTTCTTTATCGACCATCGCAACGACATCATCGTCAATGCTTTCGGTCTTGCCATGTCCATTGTCGGTAGCCGAGTCGTCTGGTATGTCGATCCTATCGGTGCCATTCTCATCGGTCTCTTGATTCTCGTTTCCTGGGCTGCCAACGCCTTCGACCACGTTTGGTTGCTCGTTGGAAAATCGGCACCAAAGGACTACATCAGCAAGTTGATCTATCTCGTCGTCACACACGACAGCAGAATCCAAAAGGTCGATACCTGCCGCGCATACCACGCTGGGCAAAACTACTACGTCGAGGTAGACATTGTCATGGATGAAGGCCTACCGCTAAAGGTCACCCATGACGTCTCGCAGACCCTGCAGAGGAAGCTCGAAGGCCTCGCCGATGTTGAGCGAGCCTACGTACACGTCGACTACGAAAGCGAGCACGATATCTTCGAGGAGCATAAACCACTCTACGAAGTCACGCAGTCGAAGACGATCAAGGAGCGTGTTCAGGCTATGCGCTACTTGTTCAAGAAGTCGGAGAAGGGTGCGTGAGCATCGGACGATGCGTGTTTTGTATATTACGGTGCTACGATCACCAAAAGTTCACGTTTTCTTTAGAGTCATTTATACCCCCGTGCAGCAATACACAAGACTGCAGAAACTACTGTTAATGCGAATGTTATTACCATCAGGCCGAGATGTCTTAGTTCCGGGCTAAAAGTCTCTTCTTGCGTGTTTTTGCGATCCTTGTGTCTCACCATGAACTGTTCTTTGTCTCTGTGCCTCTGATACACTGCTAGGAAAAATGGCGCACTAATCAATCACAATATTCTTTGTCTCTGCATCATGGGATATCCTTTTAGTCGTGATTCCACCATCACCGTTCGTAATGCGTCTTATCAATTACATCACGTTATCCTCCATACACCTCTCCAAACGTCTATCCACCGAAGCCGTAGGCATTAGTACCTCGCCATGTTCCAAGCTTATACAGCACTGCCTATGCCCGTTTTCCAACTCGCCCTCAACAAATCTTCTACTATCGCTTATCCCCCATCGTCACGATCATCATCACCAACGACAATCCGATCTGACCATTCTGATATATCCATGCCACAATCTCTTATTCAGGAAGGGAAGTACGGGGATCCTCCGCGAATTGTACGTGAACTAGCTGCTTGGTTCGATGGAAAGACAAAGGGAAGGTTAAAGCTAGAGGTTTTGACATGGGATGGGAAGATTGCAAAAGTATCCATGAATGAGTCGGGTGACACTTGGTAGATTGATCATTTGCGGCACGATAGTTTTAAAGGGAAGACTAGGGTACTGTAACAAGATCTCGCAAGTCACTGTCATTTTCATATGCTCTACACGTTCTAGCCGTGGCCAGGGCTTGTGCACTATACCACCAATGTTGCTGCTCGAGATCGGGGTCCGGAAGCTCCATTTCTTTCAGTTCTCGCCCACCGAAATCTTATCACCAAGTACTGGCGTCGGTAGTCGTCCGACCCAGGACCAACGGGGTCACGTCGTCGTATTTTCCACTACAATAATCGCATTCTACAGGTTTTCTTTTTAGTCGGTCTGCCAATTCCATCGATGAAACTCACTTTTCACTGCGAACTCGTACCACAATGGGCCATCCTCCCCTTTCATCTGTGAAGGGACACAGCTTTCTCTGTCCCTCCTCTCTTGACCGTACCTCTTGAGATGAAAGTCATCCCAAGACATCATGAACCATTTGTCATTGGTCGCGAGCATACCGCATGGATGGTCGGTTTCGCCAACGGGCCATTCTTTTTTCTATGTAAATTATTTAGTTTGTTTCTCACTTGAGTTCGATTTGCATTCAGACCAGAAGCTTACCAGATTATGATACTTGAGCCAGTAATCAGTCTCGTCTTTCACTACGAGCAACATAGCATGCATCTTCTGGACTCCTAAGAGACGAACTAAGTGTCCGTCTCTCTCCTCGTCAGATAGCGGTCGGGTCTGGCAGTTCATCCTTCCGCCATTCTCGACCTGTTGCTCGATCCACACCTTGTTCTGCCGCACGATGTCTTCTACAGCGGGGTGGCGCCGTATGTGAATCTCAGGGCTATCTGTAAAAAAGGCATCCTTTTGAAAGATGTATTTATTCATATTGAACGGTTGCAGGGAGATGCTCTTAGAAAGTAGGTAGGGAAAAGCAGAAGAAGATGAACAGTGACACCACACAGCGCGACGCGTCTTATCTATCTACGCGTCTGCAAGTCAGCGCGAAGTCACGGGACCAACAAGAGGCATCGAACTCCGTCGAAATCTGTGGAAGCCATTTCCTCGTGACCAGTAAAATGGGAAGAAGATTCCAGGATCGTAAACTACCTGAGCCAATCAGCTGTAACGCCGGTTAAATCCATCTATCGGACATAAGCATGTGGTACGATAGCAAATACTTGGCTTGCAGATGAACCATGACCTAACACGGAGATAAGAGGAACTACAAGTTCAAGTTTGTGACAACAAGAACCTAGAGTCAATGGAGTAGTAGTGTATCAGTGGTGCTGACAAACCGAGTTCGTTGAATGACAATAAGCGCATATCACGAAGCCTGGCTCTAGTAATGGTAGTGTTGTGATTTTGTTCCCCGTAAGGTATGTTTTCTTACATGCTTTCTCAGGGCCAAAGCGTCCCGTCCACCTCGACATCGGCAACCAAAGGGCATACATACACAGTCTCGTTCACTAGGTAGCCACGGCTGCCATCTCCCTCGATTCTTCTTAACGGATGACTTGAATTGATCCTGCCTTCTCCCTCTCAAATTTCCGAGTGGCTGGACTGGTTTGATGAGGTAATTGTTCAAGCTCTTTTACGTCGGGATTGAAAGTGAGATCCCTAGCCATCTCTTTTCTCAGGTGCGATGGCGGCAATCCAAGATCCCGTGTGATTTGGAACGAAGGTGAGTGTCTCCAAACCATCCTGTGCTGTTACAGCATGTCGCAAAGTATACATGCTCCTTGCCTGGATGGACATAGACCTCTGGAGCGTCAATACCCAACGTATACCATGCACCTCCGTCAATTTTGGCAGCCTCGTAGCGAGCTTCGCGGTTGACAGCGAAGAGAGTGGGGTAGCCACGTGTTGACATGATACTCAACTTTTTCTCCCCATCCTTTCCTTCATGCTCATGAATGGTTAGCGTATTGCCGTAACCAGCATCAATAGAACAACAATCTGGTACTTGCTCTTTCTCATCCTCTAGTGCGATAGCCCATATTTTGGCGCGGAGCTCGGCGGGTATTCGGCTGAAAGGATGGAATACGGTCTGCTGCGTGGTTTGGGCCTTGCTGGTTTCTTGGACTTGAGCAGACCCTTTAGTCTTTGCGGCTCCCTCAACTTTTCCAGCTGCTTCGGCCATGACGGATGCATGTATATTCTCGGAGTTGCGAGCGAACCGCTCACGGTGGATAGGAGGCCAATGAATCGCACCGGAGATAGACAAGGAAATCGTTAGGGGCAACATGTTTGCTATGTTGTTGGACACGATATCGGCGAGTGGGTGTTGACAGAAAGGCCTGTAGAGAGACTGGTCCGTCCGCTTCCGAAGTGTCTGCTCGCTCTCTTGTCGCGACGATGGTGTAGATGAGAAGTTGGTAAAGATCGGAAGAACACGATTTTGACTGCTTAGCGAGACCGCCTCTCACCCAAAGTGAGGGTGAGAGCGTTTGCTGTTCAACGCAATGCCAAGCCTAACCTGGTCGTCCCTTCCCTCCCAGTCAACTTGTTGTATTCCGAGCCATAGCAGTAGAAAATACTACATCATAATTATTGAAACAGATAGGACTCATCGAGGAATTTGGATTTTAGATAGCTGCCTGGACTATCGTTTCTGTCGTTTAGATCTTTTGCTACGACACTTGGTCACTAGTAAAGGAAGAAAAGACGGTTTAGGTAAAGAGGCTATGGCGTGAGCGTTATCTCAACTTAACAGACCTTGGACCCTAGTTCCGAATATGCAATGTCTTGCTTGTTTCTGTGAAGACTGTGCATCGGATGCGTACAGGGCGAAGAAAAGGTCCGTTCAGCTACCTCTTTCGCTCGTCATAGGGGATTGCGTATGAGTCCTGCTTCCAAGTCGACACTGACAATGAAATCATCGAACTAGTTCTACATGCAAGACTCCATCGTAAGGAGGTAAAAAACGATATGCACAGTTCATCTCAAACCATGAACAAACGTTGATGTTCCTCTCCCCGAACCGTCAAAAAACCAACCGCTGACGCCGCACCCGCAAAATCCCGCCTCACCTGATTCGCCCAACTTCCCAACTCCGCCAAGCCCAGCGATCCCGCGCTTTCTCTGCCGCCATCAACCTCACCTACCAAACCCACATCCACACCCACGCGCGACCGTACACCCCAACCCGACCGCCAAAGATGTCTGTCTCATCCTTCGGCCACCATGGCAAGACGCCCGCTGCCGTCGTAAGTGTTTACCCTCCCGCGCGCGCGCAATTGGAGCGAGAAGAGGAACAAGGGAAAAAGGACGCTGGAAAGGCCGATGACGAAATGAAGGGAACAAAGGAAAATGGAAGCTAATCAATTTGGTCACAGAGCATGCGCAGCCCGTACAAGGCTTACAGAAGTCCTTTCGGCCCTCAGTAAGTTGGTTTTCTTCCATGTTACAACACACGGCAATGGCGTGGGAGACGGGTGGTGGGCAGACTGCGGACGACAAGGTTGGAGGAATGTTGTCATTGGTACAAGGGAGAGCTGTGGAAAGAAGAGGAGGATATACAGCGATGGTCTCGCACGAGCAATGGCATCAGCATTCAATGCTCTACACCGAAACCCATACGCCAAAGAAGGAGGAAGACGTCAACCCACCCAACAACCCGCGCCGTCCCC